AAATGGACCTTTAATTTCCTTTTCTTATACTATTCTTGTTTGGTTTACATATCAAGATTATACTGGCCCCAAAAAACTGAAATGTGGAATATTCATCATTTTCTAGTTTCTGTAATAATTTGTAAAAGATTCAGATAATCTACTTCTTAAAAGTTTGGTGAAACTTGCCAATAAAACCAGTAAGGTCTGGAGCTTTCTCTCTGTGAATATTTCTAACTATTGCTTTAATTTTTTAAAGTATTTGCCTTATCTATGGTTATATCTCCCTTTTCATTTATACAATTATCTGTGTCCTTTCTCTCCCTCTTTGATCAAATTATCGTGAGGTTGGTGTTTTAAAACTTAATTATCTTTGTTTTTTAGTTTACTAATCTCTGCTCAAATTTTTGGTATTCTAGCATATCTATATTTCTTTTGGATTTATTCTGTACTTTTTCTAATTTCTAAGTTGAGCAGTAAATTCCCATTGGGTCTGACTTATTGGAATTTTAATCCCCCTAAATTCACGTCATTGAGTCTGAAAGAATTCCATCAAAGATTTTGACCCAGAGAGGATTAATGGGTTGATAGTCAAGACATGCTCTTTCTTTGGCTGTTGTTCACCACCTCCCCTGCCCTACCCCAATGGAAGACCTGCACAGAGGGTTGTCTAAGGGGCATTTTCCTTCATTGGGCAGTTTCAAAACATGTGCTCAATATTTCAATGTGCTATGGGCTTAATTGTGCATGTATATTTCTTTCCTAGTACTGTTAGGTCAAAGAACAGTTAATGTGAGGTGCTGCTAAAAATGTGAGAGACTATAACCCCTTGTACTACAGATTAGGAACCTATGGACGTGAGGTGGTGTTGTCTAAAGTCACACAGCATTTTAGGAAGGGAGTGAACACCGGGTCACGAGACTTCATAGCCTGTGCTCTTTCCACTGAGCTAAGCACTCTTCAACACAGAAGAGTGTTCATTTCATATCATGGCAAGGTCCACCTGCATGGCCTTGTTCAGTATGATCAACCTATACAGCCCCTTTCAGTGACTCCAGAAAATGCAGCTGCGGGAAGTGTGACTTTAACAGTAAAACTGTGCACCTCGCTTGCCCCAAAGGTGCTCGTGTGTGTGTGTTGCTTGGCGCACCAGCCTAGATTCAGTGTTTATTTGTTCCTGTTGTGTGCCAAAGATTTATCCTGCAGCATCTGAGCATGAACTGAATTCTTACATTGAAGATTTTTCTTTCTACCTTTTGACTTCTGAGAAGTAGAAATAGCTCAAGGAAGAGAAATAGTGAGAGGTCAGGGGTTAAAGAAGAGAGCGACTGTTCATCTGAACCCTGTGGCCCAGGCCCAGGGTTGTTTCTTCCAGGGCAGCAGCTGACAATATTTTCATTTCTAAAGAAAATTAAAATTAGTACTTAGAAATGATGTATTCTGCGTGCTTGTTTCAAAGGAAAGAAATCACAATTATCTTAATTCTGCTGAAGTTTACTTTGTACTTCTTCTGGGCTCTAAGTGTTGTTTTTTTAAGACATGTACTAGATTATGAATTGGCCTTTATGAAGTAGAGGTCTCCCCGAAACCCCTGGATCTTGATAACCTCAAGAGAGGTATTGCACAAGCTCTAAATATTCTCGTTTGAAGCCAAGGGTTGTTGGTTGGCTGTGTTGCTTTTGCAGCTGTAGTTTAAATTAGAAACATCCTACCTTCTCAACAAAAAGTTTACAGAGATCCAGATTTTTAAAAAAGCTTTTTAAAGCATAAAACTTCCCAAAGGGATGTATTACCTTCAGCTTGCTTTATTCAGAATAAATGCAGTGCAACAAAATTGAGATTAAAGAGACTTATACCTTTGAGAGTGTTTCCATAATGAGAAGCAATCAATCACACGGTTGTTACATTACAATAGAGTATACCATGAATTTAAATTTTATGTTGTTGCTTTAAGTAAATTTCTATTTCATTCTCCCCTTGATGCCATTGCAATAACCTGATTATTATTTAACAAGAAAGGAGTAAAGGGGAGTCTAGCAGTTTAACACTCCAGGTCTCTTTCCCCCTGATCCATGGGGAAGGGACTGGACAAAGGCAGTATAGATGCTCACCCAATCAAGTCTGAGTGATGTGGTAGGTGCCTGCCTGTCTGTCACACCTGGGAGCCAGTCATGGCCAGGATAGGCGTGGCCAATGCAAGGGTGGAAACTTGAATATTTAAATTTCTGAACAAAGAAAGTTCTCTTTCGTGGTGCTCAGCCCTCCTGCATGTCTTTGAGGTTATTTTGGTTTTGTTTTGTTTTAATTTATTTTAAATATTAGATATTTAAAATTTTTAATGATGTAAATCCTGGTCAAGTCTAGTGGTAAAACAACGTACAGATTATAGGCAATACATCTCTGTTTTGATATGGTAAAAATGAACCCAAGCCTCCCAAGCATGAACTTGGAGGTTTAGTCCCACCACTGATCCTAGACACACAAACAGGGCCCATGAACACATCAGGATAACCTTTCACTGAGCTTCCACAGTGCTGAAGAGCCTTATAGCACACCAGATTTGGGGTTCCATTAAAAGACTGCAAGGAAATGGTTATACTAGATGCTGTCCCAAAGAACTCAACTTTAACGTTTCATGTCCAACTTTTAGTGTCCGGACCATTTGCATGGGGAAATTCCTGGGTGCTACATGCTGCTTTGGGAGTGTTCTGGCCTTACCTAATCCTCACTTTTCTTTTCTTTCTTTTTTTTTTTTTTCCTCACCCGAGGACATTCTTCCATTTTTTTGTTCAGGTAGAGTGGGAGGGAGAGAGAGGAACAGAGAGAGAGAGAGAAACATCGATGTGAAAGGAACACATCGAGTGGCTGCCACCCACACAACCAACCAGGGCCGGGGACAAACTGCAACCGAGGTACGTGCCCTTAGCGGGAACCGAACCCGGGTCTCTCCAGACCGCAGGCCGACGCTCCAACCGCTGAGCCAAACTGGCCAGGGCCTTTCTTTTTTTTTTTTCTTTATTGATTTTAGAGAGAAGGGAGAGGGAGATAGAAACATCCATGAGAGAGAACATTGATTGGCCGCCTCCTGCATGCCCCTCTCTGGGGATTTGGCCCACAACCTGGGCATGTGCCCTGACCTGGAATCAAACCAGCAACCTCTTGGTACATGGGTCAATGCTCAACCACTGAGCCACACTGGCAGGGCTAATTCTCACTTTTCTCTCTAGGTTTTAACTTTCATTCAGTACTCTTTTCTTCCCATCTTTGACATTTATCCTGTGGACTCTTTCTGAAGCATTTTCTCTTTTCTCTGTCATAACTCCTAAAGATAGCACTTATTTATACAGCTCATAATAGAAACAGAAAAAGAAGTGACTAGCACAAAGCCCTGGTTTTGAAAAGCAAAAATAAAAAGGCATGAAAACAAGTACCAGTATTTCCTGATACTCAGAAAAAAGACCCAGAGCAAAGAAACTTGGAGACACTTTTTGCAATACTGAGTTTAGGATGTAGAGTAACGGAGTTTGAAAGTGCAGAATGTAGAGTCAGACAGACATGGGCTGTAGTCTCAGCTGTGGCCCATTTTATCAATGTGACCTTGAGTCAGTTACATTTACTTTATGAATCTTCATTTTCTTATCTGTAAAGTCAGAGTAATAATATCACCTGCTACTAGGTTTGTTATCAATATCAAACAGGAGAACACAGGTGAAGCTGTTAGCACAGGGCATGGCACATACTAAAGGCTCAACAAAAGTAGAATTTGTTGTTATTGTTATAAACATTAGTAAAAAAAATTATACAGATGCTATGACTTGGTTTTTCCTTGGAGAGATCCAGTATGGGACTAAAGTTCCTCTAAAATGATAGGATTGAACTAAAAAACAACCACTTGAGAGTCCTTTCCAGCTCACTGATTACCTCTAGAATGGGACTGATAAATTGATTTACAGCCTAAAAAGTTTCTCATCTAGGATTCTGATCAAGGAATAGAAGAGAGTCCCAAATTCCAGAATGTCAGAAGGATGACAAAGTAGGTGAGAAAATAGGAATGGAATTTTCCATCCTGAAAGTTTCTATCCTGAAGAGATAAAATATTAAGCACCAAGAGCCTGCTAGACAAGGAGTGCAGCAGCGTACATAATATCGCTAATACATGTTTGGGCAAACATAAAGCAAGAAACATACACTAGTTGATTAATATGGATCAATTAATTTTTTTATTCAATGGATGAATGACAGTTATAAATGAGCCCAAGGCTTAATTAAAATATTTATTTTCAATATCTTTAATACCCTGTTTCATTCAATGAAATGAATAAGTGAATGTGGCTAAAAATGCCTTAGGCATAATTAGAATAGGAGAACTCTTATCTTGTGCAGTTCTAGGTAGTTGGAAGCAAAATAGTACAAATTGAGTCATTCTGTGGTGTAAGACCATGCGGAATATGGAGGATCACTACTTACTTTTTGTCATCTTTCAAATTTAAGGATGAAGGGAAATGTTTACCTTTCTAATTAATTATGTAGGAAAAGGAAAAACTTTAAAAATTGACCATGTCTAGAAATACTGACTGCTCCGATGTGAAATACACCTACGTGTTCATGATGGAGAAATTACAAAATCGGGTCTTAGACTGTCCCAACCATGAACTCTGAATTGTCTTGGCAATGGGTAGACAGAGGATGATACTAGGTTACAGGAAAAATGACTAATAGGAACACATAACATCGTTGGAACGAGAATGCTTCTGGCTTCCTCTATTGATCATCTAAAATCTTGTCTTTCTACAGGGTCTGGGGACCAGGAGTAACTTATGATTCTGTAAATGTCGGTGGCCCACTTTTCTCTACGGCACTTCACAGATCAGAAGGTCAGGAGGAAACCTCACAAGTTCCTCATCCCCCGTCACACCCAATTTATTATATATTTTTGTGTACTCTTACATGTGTAAGTCTTGTTTCTCAAATAATATCCCGAACAATGTTAAACGTTTTTCTTGTCTCCTTTTCAGATTTCAAGTCAGAGATTTTGTGGTTCATCATATAAAAATGCTGCTGATTGTGTTCCTCATAATCATTTGCTCCCATGTTTCTGTGAACCAAGATTCTGGTAAGGAAAGAATTCTTTAATTTTCATTTTGGAAAACAGATAATATATGATTTGACTGACTTAAAGTTGAGCTTTGTTTCACTTCATTTTGATAGTGGTAGGGGTGGGATGGTAGCTCAGTTTCTTTTGAAGATCATTCGTCTCTGGGATTTATTTCTTGTTAACAATAGAAAAATAGGAGAGCTATTATTTTGTGCTGTTTCAACCCCCTTCAGGTCTGAGATGAAGCATAAAGATTGCATAAAGATCTGTCTCTCAATATTAGGTTCAGGCCTGGAAATTTTGGAATGTCTCTTCCTAATCCAGTTGTGCCAAAACATTATCTTGGTTAAGCATCCGGCTGTTGCTCTAATTCAAACGATTTCTCTATTATGGTAAAGTGCTTTTACTCAGAAGAGAAAGTACTACAGCTCTCTGTCGGTCAGTGATTTACGTCCAGTGGACTTGAACTCAAAATACTGGCCTGCCCTTCTCCGACTCAAATAGTTCTTTCTTTTTATAGAAAGACAATAGTTTTCCCACGATTTAGACATAATGATGGGACTTTTCAGAACCTGAATCAAGCTCACATGCCAGTTGTCTACATTTCCTTTCTCTGCCCATGAATAAAAAGGTCTTTTGGTGCCAAGTCAAGCCCTCCTGGGCAGGGCTTGCCTGAGTCCTTGTCGGGGCTCCTTACTTCTCTTGGAGGAAGATATTAATTCACCCTCTCTTATTTCCTCCCCTAAAATGCTACTGGCTACATGGTCATCAAAGGGGGCTCAAACTGCTTGAAATTAGGTTATTTAGAAGACAAGAAAGAATGGTTTTATCCACTGTGCCTCAATCAGACTGCTAAAAAGAGAATGAATTAGATACAGGAACAAAGCTGATTTCCTAGCAGCTGTAGATAGGAACAGATTGATGTTATTTTAACTTGATTAGAATTTATCTAGTAATCATTTCAGATCACCAGAATCTCAGAGTGAGGAGGGACCTTAGATATTTTCTCATTGAATCTACTCAAAGGTGAAGAGACTAAGGCCCAAGTATATTGAATGGCTTGACAGAGCTGGTAGAGTTGGCTGATAACAAAGTCAGGACTTCTGTTACTTGGTCAACTGCATCATATCTTCTTAAATATACACCATCCAGACACACACAGACATTTCCCTTTCTTCCCCGGATAAGAAATAGATCATATACTAAAGTAGTGAGAGCTCTGAATTCAAACCAACAGATCACCAATAAATAACGTTGTGTGTTTCATGTGATTCTCTATCACCTAAAAATATAATTCTATATACCCATCATTGAATATGGCATTGGATGAAGCCTTCAAAGTTCAGGAAAGCATTGTGTTCCTATATAAAAATTATATTTTTAATAGAAACTAAGACCATAATCGTTTTCCTAGGTTAAGTTTTCTCTCACGTTTTATACATGTGACAATAAAGTTACAGGCTGTAATGCTCAGAAAGAGCATTATCAAAAAATATGGTAAATCACTTTAAGATAGATGAAGACAATGCCATGTTTTTATAATTTTTAGGTACTTTTTAAACTTCATCAACCTGACACTGGCATAGGAAACTAATACATGTGTAAGTTTATCAGATTACTTTGTGGCAGTGCTTAAATTGGAATCACAATAAAAGATTATCTTTCAGTCCTGGCCAGTTTGGCTCAGCAGTTCGAGCATCGGCCTGCAGATCAATGAGTAGCGGGTTCGATTCCGGTCAAGGGCACGTACTTCAGTTGCTATTTGTCTCTGGCCCTGGTTGGGGTCATGTGGGAGGCAGCCATTTGATGTGTCCCTTTCACATCACTGTTTCTCCCTCCCACTCTATCTGAACAAAATAATGGAAAAAAATGTCCTCGGGTGAGGGTAAAAAAATAAAGATTATCTTTCAGATTTCTTCAGTCAAACAAATCTGAAGCAGTTCAGTTCTCAATTAAAATTTTTATCCTCTTGATATAGCTAGAGATCAAATTCTGAAGGCAAAAATAAAAAGGATACAAGGCGCCCTGGCCAGTTTGGCTCAGCGGTTAGAGCGTCGGCCTGCGGTCCGGAGAGACCCAGGTTCGGTTCCCGCTAAGGGCACGTACTTCGGTTGCAGTTTGTCCCCGGCCCTGGTTGGTCGTGCGGGTGGCAGCCACTCGATGTGTCCCTTCACGTCGATGTTTCTCACTCTCTCTCCCTTCCTCTCTCTCCCTCCCATTCTATCTGTACAAAAAAATGGGAAAATATCCTCGGGTGAGGATAAAAAAAAAAAAAAAGGATACAAGGGGAAATTATCTACTACAAGTATAAAAACCCAGGAGTTTCTACTTAAATTTATCTATTTCTAATGAACTAACTCCTTGCAAAAGTGATACTTAATTTTGTAATCAGTTTAAAGGAGAGGACATATAAAAGAATTAGCCTGAAAAACAAATTTGTTTTTCTTGAGAGGATGTGTAATTTTAGGCTATTCTTTTCAGGTCAGTGGGAAGGTATTAAAAATACAGATGAAAGAGGAAAGTATGTTTCCCCCCATTCGGTTGGCATTAAACACGTAGTACGTTTTAAAAGTCTGTGCTTTGTTGATTTGTTTGTGTATGGGTTTCCAGGCCCTCAGTATGCAGATGTCGTGTTTCTGGTGGACAGCTCTGATCATCTGGGGGTGAAGTCCTTCCCTCTTGTGAAAACGTTCATCAACAAGATGATCAACAGTCTCCCCATAGAGGCCAGCAAATACCGCGTGGCGCTGGCCCAGTACAGCGACGAGCTCCACAATGAATTCCAGCTGAACACCTTCAAGGGCAGGAACCCCATGTTGAACCACCTCAAGAAGAACTTCTCGTTCATGGGCGGTTCCCTGCGGCTCGGAAACGCTCTCCAGGAGGCTCATAAGACCTACTTCTCTGCACCTGCGAACGGGAGAGACAAGAAACTGTTTCCCCCGATTTTGGTGGTCCTGGCTTCAGGGGAGTCCGAGGACGACGTGGAAAAGGCTTCCGAGGCTCTGCGCAAAGACGGGGTGAGAATCATCTCCGTGGGGCTGCAGAAAGCTTCGGAGGAGAACCTGAAGGCCATGGCCACGGCTCAGTTTCACTTCAACCTTCGGACGGTCCGAGACCTCAGCGCGTTCTCCCAGAACATGACGCAGATCCTCAAGGATGCGGCTCAGTACAAGGAAGGAGCAGTCAATGATACTCTTCTCGAAGGTGGGCTTAGGGTGCATGGAGAGAAATGGTGATAAAATAGTTTGGAAAGACCAACAGGGAGAGAGGATTGAGGCTCTATGAATGTCCCTTTCCCCAGAACCTGGGCTGTATTTTCAGCTGTTAAATATCTGTGTGTTTGAAGGGCCCATTGATTGTGACCGTTTTAAATCCAGTGAACCCCACAAGCCGTGGTGTTCCTTGTCACCCCTTCACCATGTTGCACAAAATTTACAGGCTCCTTAGAACTAAGGGAAGCCTTCTCCCTGCCACCAGCTTACCTCTGGGCTATCTCCCTCAGCTTGTTGCTATATAGTTTTATGATTTAAAAGGTAAATGTTTTTTCCTAGAGAAATCATTGGCCACAGAATGTTAGAGCTGGAAACAGTTTTACAGAGTCCCAACCCTCTATTCTTCAGGGGGAACAGCAGGCCTCCTTAGAGGTGGTGAGGGAACCCGGGCCAGGGCAGACTGCAGTTTCCAGTCAGAGTGAGGCCAGGTCTCTCAATTTCCAGGCCCATGTGGTTTTAGCCCCAAACTTTTTTTTCTTTATTGATTTTAGAGAGAGAGAGGAAGAGAGAGGGAAAGAGAGATAGAAACATCGATGAGAGAGACATCTATTGGCTGCCTCCTGCATGCCCCTCACTGGGGATCGGACCTACAACCTGGGCATGTGCCCTGACAGGAAATTGAACTGGTGACCTCTTGGTGCACGGGTCAATGCTCAAGCACTGAGCCACACTGCTGCTTTGTTCTATAGTAGCTGCCCTGTGTTCTGCTCCATCTCCAAGCTCCTGTCCTAGGGACCTCGTACTATTCTATTAACAACAGCCAAGAGTTTGTGAACATCATTCATGTGAGGGGCAGGGGAGAGCCAGTATAAAACAATTTGCTCAAAGTGTACAAGCAACATAGGAAACTCCCAATATTTCTGCTTAAATCAGTTTGAATGACATGACATAAAATTACCTATTGTTAATAGAGAATGCATTTCTTAAGGTAATCTATGAAAATATGAATACTATTACTGGTATCTTTCCCAAATAAAATAATGGGCAAAGTACAATTGGTGTCTCAGTACTATCCCTTAGGAATATTTGGACTATGCTGATTTCAACAGCGATGATGCTTAATGATTTTAATATGATGGTAGTAACTGCTGTTCACTGAATGACTGTTATGTACCAGGCCCCATGCTAAACACCTTATCTCATTTAATTCTCATAGCAGGTCTGTGAGGTCAATATTTCTATTGTTCCCAATTTATAGAGGAGGACATTGAGCTGGGAGTTTAGCTAAGATCCACTATTTGAACCCAGGACCCTCTGATACCATCTTTGTAATAATTTTGTATACCTCCTTATTTCTTTAAGTGCATAACCAAGCTCTGGTAGGCGATCTCCATGCCTTCTAATGCTGGGCAGAGATGCTGAACCTCCAGCTAAAACTGTTCTTCCGTCCTTGCCCACACAGTTTGCCAAGGCCCTTCCGTGGCCGACGTTGTGTTCCTGTTGGATGTGTCCGTCAATGACAGCCAGGAGAACATGGACTATCTTAAAGAATTCCTAGAAGAAAGTGTATCTGCTCTTGACATAAAGGAAAACTGCATGAGGGTTGGCCTTGTGGCCTATAGCAATGACACACAGGTGATAAACTCACTGAGCAGGGGCATCAATAAGTCGGAGGTTCTCCAGTATATACAGAACCTCTCTCCCCAGGCTGGGAAGGCCTACACCGGAGCTGCCATCAGAAAGATCGGGGAGGAGGTCTTCAGTGTACAGAACGGCAGTCGGAAGAATCAGGGAGTGCCCCAGATTGCCGTGCTGGTGACCCACCAACCATCGGAAGACAACGTGACCAAGGCAGCCCTGAACCTCCGGCGCCAGGGAGTGGCCATCTTCACCATGGGCATAGACAGTGCTAGCGACACCCAGCTGGAAAAGATCGCATCGCACCCCGCCGAGCAGTATGTCTCCAAGCTGAAGACCTTCTCAGACCTGGCTGCCCACAACCAGACGTTTCTGAAGAAGCTGCGGAACCAAATAACGCACACAGTCTCTGTCTTTTCAGAACGGACCGAAACCCTCAAATCCGGTAAAGTGTTTTGCTGAGAGAGGTTTTATTCAATCCTTTCTCTTTTTTCCTTGTCTTTTAGGTATTCTATCAACAAGAGCAGTTGGTGGGGTGTGAGGCAGGGAGTGAGAATAAGGTTCTAATTTCCTTCTTGACCTTGACCACCTGAAATGTAACGGGGGTGGGGAGGGGGAGATAAAAGCTCCAGGGACGCTGGAATGGGTCAAAAGGACTTTCCTTTTTACCCCCTGTTTTGTGCAGCCTCAGTTAGGTTCGCTGTTACTTACAAACACCCCAGAACACCACTCTGCTATTTTTCTCCCTTCACTTTTTTACCCTTTCCTTTGCCTCACATGTTCCCCTGCTCTTTCCTCGTTTTTTTTCTTTTCCTTTTAGTGACTTTTCTCTCCTTTCTCCTCTACCCGCATCCTCAACTTCCAACATAGAGAATGAACATGATTTGGATTGAGGACTTTGTCATTAATTTGTTGTCAAGTATAGTCTAGTATCTGAGTTTAGAGAGACAGAGGATGTCTGTTATATATTTTATGTATACACATGTATGCTCTATAAATATTTTGTGTGTGTATATACACATGTAAGTACATATGGATACATTCTTCAACAAATATTTATAGCATGTTTACAATAAAAGTGCCATTGTCGGCCTGGCTGGTTTGGCTCAGCGGTTAGAGTGTTGGCCTGCAGACTGAGTGTTGCAGGTTTGATTCCCAGTTAGGGACACTTACCTGGGCTGTGGGTTTGATCCCCAGCCCCGGTCGGGGTCATACGGGAGCAACCAATCGATGTGTCTCTCTCACATGGATGTTTCTCTCGCTCCCTCCCTTCCATTCTAAAAAATCAATGGAAAAATATTCTTGGGTGAGGACTTTGTTAAAAGTGCCATTGTCCTACACAATTAAGATCAGTGGCAACATCCCCAGTTTTGTTAACTGCCTGGGAGTGAAAGAGGAGTAAATAATTTGTTCAAGGTTTCAAGACAGAGAGCTCATATTGTCCACAATGTTCAGTTAAACACTGTCTCCATTTCACAACACACCACTTGACTTTTGCAAAAGTTATTCGCTGATGAGAGAAGTGACTTGTGAAAAGCATCTCCAAGTTTCCTTTCTAATCTTTTTCTATATCCTGCTTTACCTTGACTCCTGGCAGAGAATTATTGACATAGTCTTAAACTGTCAAAAGAAGCTCATGTGGTCCCTCTGGTGCTCAGAGTCCCCTAGGTTAAGCTAGCAGAGCATGTCTCATGTCTTTTATGCCTAGAGCTGTTTCCCATTTTCCCATCTGAAGATGCTCATATTTGTTCTTACTGTCTGCTCCCAATTCTTCCACATGCCCAATGCCACGCTCAGCTTCTTGGTTCCCTTTCAGGCTGTGTGGACACTGAAGAAGCAGACATCTACCTGCTCATTGATGGCTCCGGGAGCATCCAGGACACAGACTTCCAAGAAATGAAGACCTTCCTGTCAGAGGTCGTAAAGATGTTCAACATCGCTCCCCAGAAGGTGCGGGTGGGGGCCGTTCAGTACGCTGACAGCTGGGACTTGGAATTTGAGATCAATAAATACTCTAACAAGCACGATCTGGGGAAGGCTATTGAGAACATGAGGCAGATGGGTGGGAATACAAAAACAGGTGCTGCCCTGAATTTCACACTGGGACTGCTGCAAAAAGCAAAGCAGCAGCGAGGAAACCGAGTGCCGTGTCATCTGGTCGTCCTGACAGACGGCATGTCCCAGGATAGCGTCTCGGAGCCTGCTAGAAGACTGAGAGAGGAGCTCATCCGTGTTTATGCCATCGGGGTCAAGGAGGCCAACCAAACACAGCTGCAAGAAATTACAGGCGAGGCAAAGAGAGTGTACTACGTGCACAACTTTGACGCTTTGAAAGACATAAGAAACCAAGTTGTCCAAGAAATCTGTACTGAAGAAGGTAGGAGAATGGCAGCTTTACCTTTGGACTTCAGCTCACAGGTGGCCTTCCTGCAATATTTGATGTTGCAGTTTTGCAGAAACAACATGAATTTCTGGGTTGAGATGTGTTGACGTGTGTAGCTGTGTTTGTTTCCAGAACAAAACCAGGGTCCCATTATACTGTTGTTCTAATTCATATCTGAGGCATAAAGATATTTGGTGGTGTTCTCCCTTATAAGTATTAATTAGCTTCTTCCCACAAATCCCTGCTATCATAGATAGATAAGTGCTTAGATACCGGGTGTATAAGTGATCAAGTGATTTCTTATTTTAAGGAATACTTCAGGTTTATTTAGATGGCCTTTTAACAAAACCTTTATGAAATCTTTTAGAGCTATATCAGTAGTTTTCAACCAGGGGGGATTTTGTGCCCTTAGGGGACATTTGGCAATGTCTAGAAACATTTCTGGTTGTCATAACTAAGGGAGTGCCACTGGCATCTAGTGGGTAGAAGTCAGGGATACTGCTAAGCCTTCCACAGTATCCTGCAATGCACGGAACGCCCTCCACAGTGAAAATGATCGGCCCAAAGTGTCAATAGTCCTGAGGTTGAGGGGCCCTGACTAACATACTAAAGCATATTACTAAATAACAAATAGTCACTTTTAATGCCTCCAATGCTTCATGTACCTGCTGACCATCCTTGCCAAGCACACGTTTAACTTCAATATAGAATTTTTTTGTGTTTTGGATATTCCTGCTCTCAATTTTTTTTTTTACATGAGTAAACATTTCACTTTCTCCCATGCAGCCTGCAAAGAGATGAAAGCTGACATCATGTTTCTGGTGGACAGTTCTGGCAGTATAGGATCTGAGAACTTCATCAAAATGAAAACATTTATGAAGAACCTGGTGAGCAAATCTCAGATCGGGGCCAATCGGGTGCAAATCGGCGTTGTCCAGTTCAGTGACATCAATAAGGAGGAGTTTCCGCTCAACAAATACACGTCCCAGAGCGAAATTTCAGATGCCATAGACCAAATGGCTCACATTGGACAAACCACGATGACTGGTAGTGCCCTGACCTTCGTGTCTCAGTACTTCAGCCCCACCAAGGGGGCCCGGCCCAATATCAGGAAGTTTCTCATCCTCATCACAGATGGGGAAGCTCATGATATCGTCAAGGACCCAGCGGTAGCACTTCGGCAAGACGGCATAATTATCTACTCTGTGGGAGTGTTCGGCTCCAATGTCACCCAGCTGGAGGAGATCAGCGGGACGCCAGACATGGTTTTTTATGTTGAGAATTTTGACATTCTGCAGCGCATTGAAGATGATCTTGTTTTTGGAATATGCAGCCCCCGTGAAGGTAGGCCTGGGCATATCCACTAGTGGAGCTATCCAAACACCATGGGTCCACGTTAGTTATGATTTCTGAAGTAGACTGCTATTTGAACATTGTAAGTTTTTTGTTTAATTGAAATGTTTATCCGAATGGCTTTAGACCTACATATGAAATGTGACTTTCTTCCACAGAACCGTTGAATTAAAGAGTCAGTAAGGAACAGTTTGGGTCCAGCTAGAGTCTTTCCCATTTGTAGACAAAGAGCACTACGGTGATGAGGCCTCCATTTAAGAAAAAGAGTATTGTACTGGGTCTTAGGCGGTTCCGCAGAGTCAGAAGCTGAGATGGGTCTTGTGGATGTGGTGTATTGAGGTGTTTTTAGAAGGGAAGTAAGGAAAGCAGGACAGAGCACGGGTAAGAACTAAGCAGGAATGTGGTCTTAGCTGGAGCCTCGCTTCAGCCGGATCCCATGGGGACTCTGGCATGAAGTGTACCACAGGGTCGGTTTCACCTTGAGGTGAAGGGCCCAGCCAGAGACCTTGGGCTACGTGTGGGCTGTCAAGGCAGGTCACAAAGGGGCTGACCCTGCTGGGCAAGGTAGCTTCTCTTTGACCTAGTATTTACTCTATGTTGGTTTATTTTACAGTTTTAAAAAAACTATTATTTGTATAAAATGAGATGATTCTTGTGAAAATGCATTGGTATTTCTTAAACCCTATAAAGGAGGACTATAGTAGGGGGACTTGAGCAGTGGATGCTTCAAAGGAAGTAAATGGTAAAGTCCCAATCCTCCTCTCCTGAAAGTACAGAGGAATGAAGTGATGAAATAAAAGTCCTGCAAAGATAAGGAACTTACTTGTACTGTGACTCGCAGGGCTTGATGACAGAAGCATTCTGAAAAATCTCTGAAGGAGATGGTCTCAGTGGAGTTTTGCAGGAAGTGAGAAACATTGTTCTATTATTCAAATAACCATTTTGTTCAACTCCCACTAGAAGGTTGATCGTGGTCTGTGTTTTATGGTAAAAGAAACACACCTAGATTTTACTTCCCGGTAATTCCACTGAGAGCAAATCTGAGCTCTTTGAAGGGTGCTCAACCCTGAACCATCTACCCCCAGTCCTCTGGGTAATCCCAGCAGGCTCCCCAGGGCAGCGGAAGGTCAGAAGAACATACTTTCTTCTTTTCTGGAACAAACCTATCAAGAAAAAAAAACTTAGGTGTTTTTTTGTTTGTTTGTTTGTTTTCCCTTCCTACATAAGGAAAAACTCAGTTCTTCCCTACTGTTTCTTTCCCTACTGTCCTCTTTACATTCACATGGCACACTTCACTTCTGGCACTTCTGGTCACTGAAACGGTTAATCATGTTTTAACAAAACTAAATTCCATTCCAACCAGTTATTTCTGCACGTAAACACCCAAGCAGTTTTCTAAAAATCCCCGGGACTGAAACCCAAAGGAGACATAAAGATAAGGGGTTGATGATGGCCTTGGGAAACTTGGAGGGACCATAAAAAGAAAGCGATTAGTGATGGCCCAGACCCCTGCTGAAGCAGACTCCTTACCTCTGAGACAGCTTGTGTCAGCCCCGGCACCAATTATGCAGCACCAAGAGGATGCAGTTTTTTGTTTGTTTGTTTGTTTTTTATGTAGTTTTTTGTACTTTCTGTAGTTTGTGTCTATAGAAGCCAGAAAACAAACAAATTTGATGCTGAGCTCTTCTCAGCTCAGCACACCTGCACCCGGGCGCGTGCCATAAAGCTGTTTCGCTCTACACTGGCCTTGTGTTGTGGATGTGCCCCCCCCCGCCGGCTCAGTCCTTTTATTTATTTTATTTATTTTTTTATTTTTTTTTTTAGTCCTCACCCGAGGATATTTTTTGATATTTTGTTCAGATAGAGTGGGAGGGAGAGAGAGAGAGAGAGAGGAACATCGACGTGAAAGGGACACATCGAGTGGTCACCACCCACACGACCCCACCAGGGCCGTGGACAAACTGCAACCGAGGTACGTGCCCTTAGCGGGAACCAAACCCAGGTCTCTCCGGGCCGCAGGCCGACGCTCTAACCACTGAGCCAAACTGGTCAGGACCCGGCTCAGTCCTTTTAGTCACCAAATGTGTGGAAGTTTTTTCCCCATATCAACAAGCAGTTCTCAGATACCAGCAGGGTGTCCAAAGATTCAACTCAACTCAGACACTGTCTACCTGGAGATAGTATCAGATTCCGCAGATTGAGGGCTTGCTCCCCTAAGACTGCCCCCCACCCCCACTTTAGACACCAGTCATAGGCCCAGGTTATCACCTGTGCTTCTGACCATAGGTGGGAGGTTCAACCACCACCTCCTTGGGTTTGATTAATTTGCTAGAGTGGCTCAACTCAGGAGAACTCCTCTGCCAGTGTATTAAAGGATATGCCAAGGGATCCAGAGGGGCACCCAGATGGAAGAAATGCATAGGGCACGTGATGAGGGAAGAGTGCAGAGCTTCCGTGCGTATGTAGCATATTCTATGCCGTCTCCAGGCACCCCACTCTCCCAGCACCTGCATGTGTTCACCAAACCCTGAAGCTCTCTGAACCCCATCCATTTGGGATGACCCATCATTAACTCCATTTGCAGCACTTCTACCTTCTCAAGAAAATGGGGGTTGGGAGGACTAAAAACCCCAAGCTTGCTCTTTCTGGTGACTGGCCCTCAGCCAGGAGCCTTTCTTTCCAGGAGACAACAGGAAAGAAACACACAGTAGGGGCCTACCCAGAGTCACCTCATTAGAACAAAAGACACTCCTATCACCCGAGAAATCACAAGGGTTTCAGGAACTCGGTATCAGGAACTGCAAACAGAGACCACTTAGATATTTTCTATTATCTCCACACAGCCTTCCTTGAAGTCATTGGAGTAAATATATTGGCCCCAGGGTTTTCAATAGGCCTACCACATAGCAAGAAGTGGCTGGCAAAAGAAGGAAATGGGGTGAACATCTGGTGTGTGTGGGGGGAAATACTTCCTCACAACTCCACTTCTCCAGAATGGATGAGTTAGCATTCGAAACATACCTTTGTAAGGCCTGCCAAGTCGCTGTGCTGCGTGAGGACTGAGTCATGCAACATCTCGCAAACCCACTTCTCCAGAATGAATGAGTTGGAGTTTAGACGTCTGCACTGTACACAGAATGTGCTGCACACACATGGCTTAAGTATTAATTGGATCTTTCCGGCCTTTCTTTCCCATGGCGTTGACCCAAGGAATAAAACGCTACTTCAGTCTAGTACGAAATGGGCTGATTTCTAGGATGAGTCCCCATCATGAAAATAGATAATGTTTCTGGAATGTCAGAAAGGGGGAAAATATATAACCTTGGAAAGTCAGCTATCATATAACCATGACAAAATAAACAGTGTTGCCAAATTCATTTTTACTTGGTCATTTTCCCCCGGCTTAGTTTAAGAATAAAATCTCATGAACCCTCAGGGTTTAAACAGACAAATTTGTATAAATAAAAACTCATGTTGAAGGAACCATTTATACAGGAAAATTTCCACAGAATCGTGATTTTTTTTTTCCAGTTCGAAAGCATGTCCCCTTACCGAAGGCTTAACTTGACATTAGCCTTGTCCTAAAAACTCACCTAATTGAATTTTACTACACACCGTGAACACCAGTCTGTATGCATTGTGTATGTTATCTAAGGGATGAACATCCTAATATACAGCTTGATCCCACGGAGAGGAGACACTGGCACTTAAAAAGCAGGCAAGGGGAGGTGAGTTTCCATGATGTCCAAAGCTAAGCTTGTGGTTTTCCTTTCTCTTCCCCTTAGAATGCAAGCGAATTGAAGTTTTGGACGTTGTATTTGTAATTGACAGCTCTGGTAGCATTGACCATGATGAATATAATATCATGAAGGATTTCATGATAAACCTGGTGAAAAAAACTGATGTTGGCAAGAATCAGGTCCAATTTGGGGCTATGAAGTATGCTGATGACCCACAGGTACTATTTTATCTGAATGACCTTGGCACAAAATCACAGGTGATCTCAGCACTCCAGAGTGACCAGATAATTGGGGGCAACACGTACACTGCCGAGGCACTAGGCTTCTCAGACCACATGTTCACTGAAGCCCGTGGCAGCCGCCTGCACCGAGGGATCCCCCAAGTCCTCATCGTGATCACCGACGGGGAATCTCACGATACAGCAGAGCTCAATGCCACAGCCAAGGCCTTGCGAGACAAAGGCATTCTGGTCCTGGCTGTGGGGATCGCTGGTGCTAACCCCATGGAGCTGCTAGCCATGGCAGGATCAAGTGACAAGTACTTCTTCGTGGAGACTTTTGGAGGCCTGAAGGGGATATTTTCAAATGTGTCAGAAAGTATGTGCAACACTTCAAAAGTAGGTAAGTTTTGTCAATTAAGTTTGTCTTGATTATCAGCAGAGGTCCAAATAAGGGAGAAAACAAGATCCCTCCGGAGCAAGCTCCCCAAACAGGACAGACGCACTAATCGTGTTGTAGGACATCTCCTTGGGCCTCCTCCCTAAAGAGGAATACATTCTACAACATTCCTCCTCCCTTCTGCCTAACCTCTTCTAATGCTGGGGAATTCACCTTCTTTTTGAGTAAAGCTTTATTTATCGGGGCACTGATTTGTCTCCGTGTCATTTCCATCCAGCGGTGGCTCTTCCCGCTCTTTACACAGGAAATCAAATTCCATCTCTTCCCCACAAGAAGCGATCCCTGCCTGTGGTGTTCTCTTCTGCAGGCTGAAGGTCCTGGTCTCTTCACCTATTTCTATTATGACACAAGCTAGTTTAAAACATGGAGCCCAATAACAAACATTCTGTTCCAGTCTCAGATGTTGCCAGAACAGTGTACAGCAGGACTTTCTTTGCCCTGGACTTCCCATTCCAGCATCTGGAGGTTGCATTGCTATATTTATGAATGTATATACGTACCTGTGTGTGTATGTATATATGTATGTATGTACATATGTGTGAGTTCATTCATTCATTCAGCTGTCATTTTACACCATTCCAAAGGGAGATCATGGTAATTTAAAATTCCTTATTTTTATTAAAAGTAGGGTACTAAAAATACTGAGTATGTTTTATTAGCTGAATTACTATTAATCTAGGATTTTAACATCTTGGTGCAGTTTTTTTTTTAGTTAACTTTTCTGGCTTTCATATGCATAGCCTCCTAAGAATGCAGCTACTATCTTTTTCTTTCACAAAACTAACAAACTCTGTCTTACTGAAAACTGGGACAAATCTCCTACCTTCTGGTGGCCAAGACCTAAAAATCTCTCTGGCCTGTTCAAGTTCACTGTAGAAGTTGACATTGCATTTTTAAATGGGAAGTTCTTCCTCAGGCAGAAGAAAAGACTTTCTGTCCTTTATTTGAATCTGAAACAAAGAAATTTAATAAGTTAACCAATTCCTGAAGGATCTATTTATCATATTTCTTTTCCTCTCTTTCTTGCATATCTCAACTGTAGGACTCTCAGACACCTTTAACTTTTCACAAGGCTAAAATGAGATTTAAGTGAGTTAGGTCAGTGGTGAGCCCTCTGGGGAATTCAGGGAAATATTAATGATTACCAGAAGGCTAAGGGATACACAAGAGCATGGGCCAAGCATAACTCATTCACTGGCAATGGCCTTTCCTAGTCTTTTTGGTTTGCGTTTTCTGTGTTAACACAGAGGAAGCATCTCTAAACTATAACTGCATTGTTTGTTCAAAAGAGTATCCTTAAGTAGATCTTTTTGCCTATGTGCACCAAAAAGGGGGCTGATGAAAAGGAAAGCTGACAAAATATAGGTCAGAAGACATGATTTTAACACTGCAGTTTGTCTTAATAAACAGAAAAGCATGTATTGGCTCAACTGGCCAGGGAGGCCAAGTCAGTATTACAGACTATTGGTCTCTTTGTTTGAAGCTCTAAACAGATGTGTGCTACTTTATTTTTCTTGCTGTGCTACTACAGTCACTGTGATTTCCAGAAGGGCTAAGGCTAGAGTGCAGATAAGAACAAGTCCTCTGCAGTACCTCCACCCCAGTTTCCTGGCATCTTGGAAAAGAAAATGGTGTAAAAACAATGGGAAAAGCTCAGAGAAGCACAAAAAGATGTGAGAGCTGGTCATGCCTAGGGCCACCTTTATGAACCGATCGTTTTTATCCTCCAATTAATGTAACCACTGGGTATCATAAGATAAGAAACCACTTTCAGAAATACCATTTCTATATAGCTGCAAAGACTTAGCTTACTTGGCCTGGGTGAAAGAAAGAACAGCCTAATTTTTTATTGTTGTTCCTTTTTCTCTTCTTTGTAGATTGTGCAATTGAAAAAGTAGATGTAGTTTTCCTCATGGATGGTTCGAATAGCATCCATCCAGATGACTTCAAGAAGATGAAGGCGTTCCTGGCATCTGTTGTTCAAGACTTTGCTGTCAGTGCCAACGGAGTGCATGTAGGAGCAGCCCAGTTTAGCCATACCTATAGGGCAGAGTTTCCACTGGGAAAGTTCATGGGCAAAAAGGAGATACTGCTTCAGATTGAAAACATCCAGCAGATCTTTGGCTACACAAGCATTGGCGCTGCACTCCAGATGGTGGGGAGTTACTTCCGGCCAGACATGGGCAGCCGGATAAATACAGGTACCCCACAGGTGTTGCTGGTCCTCACAGATGGCCAGTCCCAAGATGAGGTGGCTCAGGCCGCTGAAGACCTGAGACGCAAAGGGATTGACATTTACACCGTGGGCATCGGGAGCGTGGATGACCAGCAGCTCATTCAGATCACCGGGACCGCAAGTAAGAAACTTACGGTTCAAAACTTCGATGAATTGAAGAAGGTCAAGAAAAGGATAATTCGCAGCATCTGTACCTCGAAGGGTGACAGCAGTAAGTATTCAGATGTGTTCCTCATGTTTAATGCCTCCCCTGTCTTCGCTGACATTTTCCTCAAGCTCTGTTTATGCCTGGTGGGAGGATTTAGATGTGTGCCCCTGGATTTCAAATTGAAATCTTCACAGTTATCAAGCATCTTTTGTGGCTTGTGGATTGAGAAACAGGGCATCTGAGAGACTTGTCTTTTTTTCCTCCCTATCTCCTGGGAAAGCATGCCTCTTTGTGAATGGGAATCCTTCAAGTTCAGAAGCTGTGAGGAAAAAGCCTTTGTTGACAATCCAGTTGGTTTCAGAGGCTGGAAAACATGTATCAAAGAAAAAAACTATTCGACAGATTTTGGTTGCCTGGCAGTAGGACCTACAGAGCTTCCAAGGGCTGCAGTACAGGGAAGTAGGGAATGTCTGTAGAGGGTTATATCTTTATTACAAAACTTCACTGCAAAAGTTGGTAAACAACTTCTAAAAACTCAACACATTTTCACATTTTTCCCCCAACAGTTGGAAGAAAAGGTTTTAAAAGAAAGATAACTTTTTCTACTTTTATAAAAGTGCCCAAAAGGTTGGCCATGATTCTGTAGAATGGTATACATTAACCTTGGATTTTTACCAGGGAGAGAAAAGCTTACATGGTTGTTAAGAGGCAGTTTGAGGACAGGCAACCTGGCTACAAATCCCCGATTGATGGTCATTTTTCACTGGACAAGTTTCTTAACTTCTATAAGTTTAATTTTCTCATCTGTAAAATGTGAACAATAGCAGCGCCTAGTTTGAAAGATTATTGTGAAGCTTAAATGAGAAAATGAATAGTTAAACTTTACTTTGATTAAACATGACACCAGGGATGTAATTATAAAGTACTCTATTATTATCTACCACTGACCCATGAAATTTATTCATAGGGGCCAGCTCCTCTCTTGCCCCTATTCACTTTCAGGAGATAAGTGTACCTCTTTTTGGCAATTAATAGGTCCATCCCAGTATAATGATTAAAACTTCAAACTTCGTTCAAAGTGACTCAGCTTTCCTAGCCAGCTGTCACAGGCTGTTCACCTGTCCCGAGAAGAGGCCACGTGTGGCTGCATTTTACCCATTGCTCCCACCTCTCATTTCTACCCCCTTCTCCATGGCCCTGCCCTCTTCTTGCTAATCATGCTTTCTGGCTGCCCCAGAATGGGCTGGGGAAGGGAGAAGAGCTAAAGAGGTACAGGGAAGTTGTCAGAAGTTGGTTATTTTTGACAGTAGTCCATGTCTCAAGTTGGGTCCATCAAAGATTTTTCCAACCTGGCCCCCATCATCTCCACCCCCACCAAAGCACAGTTGTCAGGGGATCTTTCTACTATTGTTCCCTCGAGGAAGATAAGCATGTCTTGATTCCAGATGTCCCTTGTGCCTTCCTCAGCCTCTGAGCATCTGGTGATACTTTCAGCTTTATTCGACTGCCATCTCTTTGCCCTCCCAGGTAGCCTTGTTAGACAGGAGATTAGAGGAGCCCAGAACAGCTCTTTCCTACACATGGCCACAGCAGCTCCATGGGAAACAATTACTTATCAATTTCCCTGATAAACTGGAAGTTATGGGTCCCCTGGCTCCAGCATGACCACCTCTCCTCTGCAGAGAGCAGCGTGCCGTCTGGATCTCATACTTTAGAATTCCAGGCTTATGTGATCTCCAAGTTAATCTCTTAAAGCTCGTCTCTCTTGACTTAAAAAGGAAATTACCTCTTTTCCGTGTGTGTGTGTGTGTGTGTGTGTGTGTGGTGGAAGAGCTCACCACACATCAACAGCTCTCTCCAAGAATGCTTTTCTGAACTCCCAAGTTCGAACCTTTTATAAGACCCAATGTGTAGGCTGAAGTTTAACAGTCCTATAATTGATCAGGGGCTGTTGCCTTTGTAAATCCTGCCTCATGATCTCCCCATACTTTGGAGTGTGTCTGGTGACTTCAGTCAAACCTTTTACGTTAACTTCCTGCTTCACATGGACATACCCATTTCCAATGATTAGGCAGAAAATTATCTTGGAACCATCTAGTCTCTACTTGAGAGAGTAAAAGAAAACCATGTGGAAAATCAAAGCCAGGAGTGTATGCTCCAAGTAATGAGTGAGTTATCTTTAAAGGAAACAGTCACAAGTGTAAAAATAAATAAATAAATACGGAAAGTACTCTAAGATAAACTTGAAGTCATTACTGCAGCAAGCAAGAATGTGAGGTCTCTGTAGCCAAGCCGTGGGCTGAGGACTGATGAGGCTGGAATGAACACTGATAGAGCTTCAAAGGCATCTGCAAATATATTAGAGGGTGCCTTTTCTTCTTAAACTATAAACTCAGAACCCAAGAAAATCAGACAGTAGCTTGGTGTGGCTCAAAGCAAATCAGACTTACAGCCTAAACATCTAGTTTTGCTTCTATTAAAATTCGAATAATTTTGGAGATGTCACTATCCCTTCTTAGTTTTCTCATTAGTGAACGTTACATCATCTCTGTTTCTCTGATTGTACACTGTGATTTAATATGTGTGAAAGGAAGGTCAGTTGTGTGGAGTTTTGAGGGAAATGACTAAGGATTGTATTTCTTAAGCATCTACAAAGGGTCAGGCATGGTGCTCTAGGCATTTTAAGTGCATAATCTCATTACATTCTCCCCAAAACCTATATGTGGTTTATATTTTTATTCTCCATTATAAATAAGGAAAATGGGACTCAACGGAATATTGCTAACCTGATCCAGAGCATACAGGAAGTAACAGTCAAAGCAAATTTTAAAACCTAGGTCTGTCTGACTCCAACCCAGCTTTTTGTTCAATTAAGCTGCTTGTTGTTGTGTTTTATATAGTTGCCTAGAGTATCTGATGCTGATAGTTATAAAGAAATAATGTCTCAGCATTCTGCTTCACCAATTTATATCTGGAACTTAGGACATCATAGGTTTGTACATTGAAATCGTTTCCATAAGCTGCTGCTCCCTAAGGAAACCACTCGCTGCTAAGCTGTCACCTCCAGCTTCACAGCCTAGTAGCAGAACTAGTAACCTACCTGACCTACCATCGCTGGCCACCCAGGAAGTGGTAAAACAAGGTCATTTGGCATATGGACTCCAGACAGGCCTAGATCTGAATTGCAAGTGTGAGATCCACAGCAATAACTGTGAGACCGTGGGCAAGCTGCTTTGTCACGGCTTCCTCTTCAGCAAGAGAGAGAGATAGAAACATTGATGAGAGAGACATCGATTGGCTGCCTCCTGCATGCCCCCCACTGGTGATCTGGCCCATAACCTGGGCATGTGCCCTGACCGGGAATCGAACCAGTGACCTCTTGGTGCATGGGTCAATGCTCAATCACTGAGCCACACTGGGTGGGCAGCAGAATGAATGTTAGAAGAGTTCTTAACTTAGTCTGTGTTTCATGAGGATAAGTAAGATCATAAATGGAAGGTAGGTGGTAAATGCTCAGTGAGTATTACTAACTTTCACAGAGTGTTGCCGAGGGTATATGGAAGTGGTCTTATACATACAGAATACATGGAATGATGAGTTGATTCCCAGAAGGACAATATACTGAGTTCCTTGGATTGGGAACTTTAACATTTTAGCAATATTTTACAGCTATATTCATATTTAATATCTCAACATATACCAGATTCCCCTAAGATACTAAACTCCAAAGTCTGGGTTTTTGTTTTTTGTTTTTTGTTGTTTAACCTTCATTCATGGTTATTTTCCTGATTTTTCTTTGAGCCTGGCTATTCTGACTACCTAGAGAAGACCAGGCAGTTCTCAGGATATGAAAGTCCTGCCTCTTTCCTTGGCGTGGAGCCATAATTAGGTAGCCAGAGACTCAAGAGTACCTCTTATCTTTTGCATCATCATGGATAGATGATGAATCACAGAGATTAAGCAAAAGACCAATCTGATTAAGGTGAGGTAAGAGACGCCCTCAGCATTTGATTCAAGGATTGTGGGAACTATAAGGAAAATTCAATGGTCATTTCCAGCTTTTCTTGACAAGGATCTCTATAATATGTTCCTGTCTTTACTGGGTTCTCTAGAAAACAGAGCTAAAGGCAAAGTTTGTGCGAATACTTTATGTGTTAATACTTTAGAGGAAGCAAGAGTCAGTGGAGGGGAATTAGTACAGGAAAGGGAAGAAGGTAATACAAGGTGTATGTTACCAAGCTAGACACAGCTTCTTGAGAAAGCATAATCAGCATGTTGGTTGTGAACACCAAGGAAGCCATACAGAACCACTGTACAGACCAGTCCTTCCTAGGAATAAAGGAGAGGCTTAATCTGCCAGTTTTTCCCCATCTATGGCCTCTTATTGGTCAGAGTTTACTCTATGGAGAGTGAATTCTCCTAGCCTACTGTGTTGTGTTATCCAACCCTTTGGGGAAATCAGATACAGAACCCACAGTGCTTTATGTCTGTGGCGTGGTGGAAGGGTCCAGAACTCTTTGTGAGTACAGTTGGGTTGGTCACGGGCACCAGAATTATTGGGGCCCTACTGCAGTGAGCATGATGGAGGCCATGTCAAGGCCCTCTCCACCCCTACACAGCATTGGAAGACCAAACAATCATGGCAGCTAAGGCTCTCCATTGGATAAATGTCCAAACAAATCTGGGAGGTATATAAACTAGGTCTTTACAGTAACTATGTTTTCTAGATAATTAAAAAAAAAAATCTAAGATACCCCTCCTTTCAAGGACCACATACAAATCTTTTATCCTTGCTAATAACTACCACCAGTGTGACTTGCCTCTTTATTTTCTCAAGAATCTGTCTTCCAATCCTATTCATATAGCCTACCGTCCTGACAGTATTTCTTAATAAGAATCTGCCATCATCAACTCTGATTAAAGACTCTCTTACAAGTCAGATAATTAAAATCAGCTTTTGGGTCTGGCAGGGTAAGACTATTCTTTTCTGTTCTTTGGTATTTTTATTTTGAAATATATAATCTTATTTTTGTAGGCAAGAAAATGAATGCCGGGAGAGCTTAAGAGATTTGCCAAGTTATTAAGCAGTAACAGAGTCATGATTAGTACATGACTAACACTAAACAGTGTGCCTTCCCCTCCAAGACCTCCCCCTCCAGGCTTCCACATGCTGCTTGTGAGGACTAGTCAAATGCTTAGGACACTAATTTGACTTCTCCTTTTCATCACCCTCTATAGCCAGTCCTCTGAATCACCTTCCAGCTTTCCTTGCACTTATTGCCCCCTTCGATTCTCACTCCTGCTCTCCTAATTTAACCCTACATTTCTCTTTGGAAATCCAACTTTAGCCTTCTCTCTAGCTCAATCCCCAAACCATCCCTGCCTCTTATTAACTTTGAAGGCTCCTACTTGAGAGCAGATGTCTCTGTGGGATTTTCAAGGCCCTTATGTGAAAGTCCACATGTTTAGTATGACCTAGTTCCTCTGATTGTATTTGGACACATAGCCGCTGACTCTGGACTTGCTCCCCATATTCTGTTTCATGGATCACATTGTTATGAAAGTATTTGTCAATTTGAATTCAAGGAACACAAGGAACTTATTTACTAGACATTGTATTTTGAGTAATTTAGACATAAATACTCCATTTTTATAGGGGGACAGTTCCCAGGACCACTCAATGACATTTTGCCATTTTTGCCAATGTTTGTGTTTTTTCCACAAGGACTATTTTTCTTGAAGGCAGTAACATATTTTGGTTACTGAATGATTTTCTGTTCAGGAGTTGAAACAGTGTTCATCCAAGAGGGAAACTTTCAGTCTCAAGATAAAAATGAAAGGATGCAGATTCAAGAAGAATTTGGGTTTCTTTCACTTCATCTCACTTTCTGAATATTGGAGAAGAGGTTGTTTTTCCAACAAAATACAGTGAAATAAGAAAACCCACCTTTCAGACTTTTTTGATAACATATTGATTTACTTCAAATGTCATAGTGAAAATTGATTATCAAATAAGGCTTTTATTTTCCCTCGAGGCCCTGACTCTTTTCTCATTAAAAATGAATCAAGTTACTGGCCCTTGTTTTAAGAATTGAAAGTGACATTTTAGTTTCAAAGATTTGCAAATGTTCCCCTGACCAGTGTGTCCGGAGATAATGAAGGCAGGCATATGTTCACACAACAAATATCTGAAAAAATGATGATCTAAACAGAGTAAATTAAAAATATGCACTCCTCCCCCTTAACTTACCAAGCAAGCTGTATGTATTGAATTTATTGGAAAAGGGTGAAGTTTTTAGCTATGCTAGAAGTTCTTTCTTGAAAGAAGAGTGTATATGTCACTTGACTTTATTCTTCTCTAATTATCTTCCCTTTATGAGGCTCAGCTTAATATATCAAGCTCCTTCTAGTTTCTCCAGTGCTTAAATGTCCCTGGAGTTGATCAGGATAAGAGCAAAGCATTTTAAAGATTTTTTTTTAAATATATTTTTATTGATTTAGAGGAAGGGAGAGAGAAACATCCATCTGCTGCCTCCTGCACGCTCCCTGCTGGGGATCGAGTCTGCAACCCAGGCATGTGCCCTGACCAGGAATCAAACCAGGACCTTTCAGTCCATGGAACGATGCTCAATCCACTGAGCCACACCAGCCAGGCAAGAGCAAAGTATTTTTAATGCAATACGTCTCTAAATATTTCTTAAACTCCCAAATGGCAACAGCTTTGCCTTCCTGACTGGCTGAGCTCTGAAGGCAGCACTATCTTTGACGTGGTTAAATGTGGGTAATTTGGTGTCCAGTTTCTTTACTTGTAGGACCTAAACCAAGCAAGATCTCAAAGGATCTCTTGGGGCATTTGCCTGTCTTTTTACTTTTTCTTTTCTCAGTGGATTTTAGAAAACACGAAGGAAAAGCAGATTGTATTTTGGAAAGATAAGTCATTAAATCATTCCTTTAGACAAGTTCTTTGTGATTTCTTTTTCCAAAGGACTTGCTCCATGCAAGTGTTTTTATATTTCCCTTATAATTCAGTATTTGTCGAATGACCTGAATTGATAAGTAGAGTGATATGAATTTGCTATTTCAGACTATTAACATTTCCTCAATATACTTTAGATATTTAAATGATTCTGCATAGCTTTTTCAATACCCATAATAAAATCTTTTAGGACTTTAATTGTTATAGAATCGCCTAGATTTTATACCAGCTAAAAATAACAATACTGCCCTGGCTGGTTTTGCTCAGTGGTTAGAGTGTCGGCCTGAGGACCCAAGAGTCACAGGTTGAATTCCAGTCAAGGGCACATATGTCGGTTGCAATTTGGTCCCCGGCCCTGGTCAGGGTCATGTGGGAGGCAACCAATCGATGTGTCTCTTTCACATAGATATTTCTCTCTCTCTCCCTCGCTCTCTCCCTCTCCCTTTCTCCTTCCTTCCCACTGAAGATAAATGGGAAAATGTCCTTGGGTGAGGATTTAAAATAATAATAATAATAATAATAATAATAATAATAATAATAAATAATTATTATTTTTAAAATAATAAATAATAATACTATGTACTTATATTTTTACAGGCTATGAAAGAGTGATTCTGAGCCTCTGCCATTATTCCCTTATGCTCTCTCTCATTTTCCAACTCTGTAATTGGAATAGAAATAAGAATGCCAAGTCCCTGCTTCAGACATGGCATCCAAGTCAAATAAGGGGATTATTTGATCTAATAAGATATGTTTTTCCCTTGAATCCTAGATTGTTTTGTGGATATTGTGGTAGGATTTGACATCTCAACTCAGCAGAAGGGGCAGACTTTCCTCGATGGTCAACCTTGGATTGAAACCTACCTCCCAGACATCTTACGTGCCATCAGCTCCCTCAATGGGGTCAGCTGCGAGGTGGGCACAGAGACTCGAGTCAGCATGGCTTTTCAAGTGACGAATGCCATGGAGAAACATTTCCCAAAGTTTGAGATCTACAGTGAAAACATACTGAATAGCTTGAAGGATGTAACAGTTAAAGGACCATCGTTCCTCAACGCAAACTCCTTGAGTTCCCTGTGGGATGTGTTTCAGAATAAATCTGCCGCTCGGGGCAAGGTAACTTAGTTTTATTTTGTTTGTTGCTCTGTGGTTGCAATGACCTCATTTTTACTCATGTTTCTTTTTTGAATACTTTCCTAGGTGGTCCTCTTATTTTCAGATGGATTAGATGACGATATAGAAAAACTTGAACAAAAATCTGATGAGCTTAGAAAAGAAGGTATTGAACATGGTGGGGGGGAGGGGGAGCAGGAAAGGGATGTTTATTAACTTTATAGTCTCAGAACTCAATTCTGGCTCTTAAGTTTCCAGGCACTCCACCCTGAATTGGCCAGCCTTTCCACTCTGTATGGATTTGACAGAGCGAATGAATTCTCAGAACATCCTGGCATCTACTCTTTGCCTCATGCCCTGTGTATATGAAACAGCACTGAGGACAAAGTCCTATTCTTTCACTCTCATTACTGTTTCTTCTTCCTGAGCTTTCCTGGAGAATGTTCCTGTCTAACCTTGCTTCACATTATCTAATATTGCTACTACTTTACTATCTGCAGAAGTGAACCATGTATTTCTTTGTGACCAAAGAACTGGAGAGTGGGATTATTTTCTTCAACACCCTTAAAGCTTTCAGAGTTGCAAGTGTCGGATAAATTGGCTCATGTTTCAGGGCTTTCTAATCAGTTCATTCCTTCCACCGCAGATAGACCAACTAGGGTGTTTGTGAGTTTTTAAAACTCTGGCATCACACTTTTGGCTTGAAGAACCAGTGCCCAATCTGGCTTATTGTCAGTTCTTGCTAAAATATGGATCAGTGGAAGAAGATAGCATCCAAATGTTCTGGTTTGACTAAGAAGAGAAAAAACGTTTCTGTAAGTGGATGCTGTTAGTGCCCCACCCAGACTTCCTCCAGCCAGGTTCTCCCATCTCCAGATGTGAGTGTTGGCTGCTAACAACTCACAGGTCCCCCTCCTCTGAGGAATTGCCCTTGGTCAATGGGAGCCCCCTCACCTGGAAGTTTACTCCCTATCCCTTCTGTGGCAGCAGATAGATTACAACAAGTTGAACCTTTGCCTCAAAATAGCATCATGTGGTGTTATTTATGCTCCAAGTTCCTATAGGATTGGGCTGACACCAGACTCCAGCTGAAACGCTGTCTTGCTAAACTCCTTTCTCTGCCCTGCCTCCCTTACCCTTTTTCTTTTTTTTATCCTCACCTGAGGACATTTAGGACATTTTTCCATTTTTTGTTCAGATAGAGTGGGAGGGAGAGAGAGAGAAACATCAATGTGAAAGGGACACATTGAGTGGCTGCCACCTGCAGGGGCTGGGGCAAACTGCAACTGAGGTACCTGCTCTTAGGGGAACTGAACCAGGGTCTCTCTGGACCGCAGGCCAACGCTCTAACCGCTGAGCCAAACCAGCCAGGGCTTTCTTGCCCCATTTTTTTCTGAGAGTGCTTCCTCAATAAATCGTGCCACCAAATGACTATCTCAGGCTCTGTTCCTGATACTCTGACCCAACACATCTGCCTCCAAGCCTAGGATTAGGGGCTGAGTGGATTTTGTCTTTGCTATTTGTTTCTCTCTCTTCAATCTTTAAACAAATTGCAAAGGTCACTGAATTTACAGCTGGAGGATAAGGATTTTTATTTTGCCCTTTATTTACTGAAGCTGCTTTCTCCATATTCTATTAAGTCTTGGCATTTCTTTTATGAGCTCTAATGGACATTTTAATGAACAGGACCCTAGAGTGCTTAGTTTGGATGGGTAGAGGGGGTTTTTTTTTTGGTTTTGCTTCGATTTTGTTTGTTTGTCTTTTGTCTCTTTTGTGAGGAAAGATGTATCTTTTATAGACGACATAAGAGTTTTCTCCAGGAATTTCTCTTGGAACACCCAAATTTCCCATTCCTCCCACTCCCACAGAAAATTTAGTAAATAGATTTCGACTTTAGAAGCTAGATTTTTCATGTCCTTAGAAGTTCAGAACCTTTGGAGAATGATGAAAGGATGATGGCCATCACGTTCTTTGAAAAGTGGCAAATAGTTAAGGGTATCTCTAGCTCTGGTGCCCCATATTTAAACAGGCATATTCTGGTGATACTGGCACCGGTGCTCTGTTGACCTAGGAGAGCCTCCCTAATCTGAGGCTGTGTAAACTGCTGTTTTACACATGTGAACTATGCAATCAGCATGGAACTGGAAGAGACCAGGAGAAAAAGGGCCTCACTGACGGATACGACTCTCCAACTCCTCTGTGTGGATTGGGGTTTGAATTGGTTTCTTAATTTTTAAAGATCTAATACTCTAAAATCTATTCAGTGATTATTTATGTCCCCAATTTTTGCAGTCTTTTCTTCCTTAATTTACTTTTAGGAATTGAAGACACTACATTTGAGATCACATGACTCATTTATTGAACAAGTCTGAAAGGTGCAGGACTGGAGTCCCCCTCCTAAGAAAAGCAGTTGCAATAATACTCATATGACTATTTCCTGCAAATCAACAATTCCATGATTCTCATAACTCTTAAATTCCCTGGAATTTATACTCAGACGTGAGATTTTTTCCCCCTTATAAACCTCCACCATAATGATTGCCAGGTTAATTACTATCGTTATTTAATGTTCTTACTTTGCAAAATAAGTCAACCCTGTTAGTCCCTAAAAGTTTTATTTGAAATATTCTGGTCTATAGAATCCCAAAACCTATGGGCCATAGTTCTTGATGTTTGTGTGTCGTCTATTTCTAATTGCCTCTCAGGAGGGCTTTCCTGTCTTGTGCTCCCTAAAATTCCAACTGCAGTCTCGATTCCTTATGAGGTCATTTAGATCTGTGCTGCTCAGACTTTAATGTGCACACAGATCACCTGGGGATTTTATTAAAATACAGATTTTGATTCCATAGGAGTGGTGTGGGGCCTGAGAGTCTATTTTTGGTAAGCTCCAAGGTGATGGCTGCACTGCGCTCCAAGCATCCCCCACTGAGTGGAAAACATTTAGAATAGTTACTTTCTTGATATATAAATTCCTCTACTTTAGTGTGTTCTGTGGACCCTTTTATTATTATGTTTACTTCTCAACTGAAGACATGCTTATTTCGAGAGAGAGGAAGGGAGGGAGGGAGAGAAAGAAACATTGATCGTGCCCTGACCAGATTGAACCCACAACCTAGGTATGTGCCCTGACAGGGAATCAAACACACAACCTTTCGGTATACGGGACAACACTCTAACCATCTGAGCAACTCTGCCCAGGGCTGCAGACCCTTTTAAACTCACTGTATCACTTACTTTGCAACTGTTTTCCAAGAACAGCAGTTTAGATACACATGAGCAAGCAGATTAAAATGAGGCAACCCACCTCACCTGGACAACTGTCACTGTGTTGGACAGGCCTGAATGCCCTCATAACTGTCGCTCTGGCCGGAGCCACGGATTCAAGTGATCTGGCTGATCTTCTCTACATTGAATTTGGGAAAGGATTTGACTACAGGACCCAGTTCACCATTGGAATGAGGGATCTTGGGAGCCAACTGTCAAAGCAGCTGGTAAGTTATTCAGAAAAGGCAGGTGAGTTTGCATTTCCTGTTTGTTTTGCATATAGGCTTAAAATGTATGCTTATGAATTTGAACTCATATTGTTCATTTGGGAGTGAAGAAAGACTTTTCTGCATTAGTGGACAGCCAAAATAAGAGGGTGTTTTGAAAGAAATGTAGAGATATATCAAAGCATCTTTAATTTATATGCTTGGCCAAAAAAGAAGGAAGAAGAAACTGAACAGCACTACAGTCCTGCTCAAATTACAGTCCAGTAACACACGTGCCACAGAGCTCCTGAGAGTCAATGCGCTGCTTCCTTAGCCAGCTCTCACACCCTTCATGGGTCCTGTGCACTGCTTACCACACTGAGTGTGATTCTAGGGTCCAGCATGTGTTTTCCCTGCAACATGGCCTGTCAACCAGAGCCAGTTACACTCAGGGTTTAAGCATCTGCTCCAGTGTTGAGGAAAAGCTAGTGATGTGGTGATAGACCTCCTGTGCTGTGCCTTCTGAACGATCAGAAGCTTTTTGAAGGCTGTCTTGACTAACCGAGATTTTTACCTTATGATCTATTTTTAGAACCTAATGTCTACATGCAATGCATCTCAATCATATTTCTCTAAAAAATGCACAAGCATTCAAACTAGAGTGGTTATGAGGTACCAGGTTATGTGGTACTCTCTAACCTCAGTATGTGGCTAATAACTTGTAATTTGCTTATACTTTATAAAATCTATAATCAGCATGTGGGGATACTTTCCAATGAAGTGTGAGCTCCTGCTGTTTGCACCTATAGAATTTGTAAATAAATAGATGTTTAAACACAATTTGTTCAGTGTAGTAATTACATAAAAATAATTGCATCAAGCCCTAGCTGGTTTGGCTCAGCACTTAGTGTGTCAGCCCACAGACAAATGAGTTGTGGGTTTGATTCCAGTTAAGGGCATGTATCTTGGTTGCAATTCGTTCCTGGCCCTGGTTGGGGTCGTGCAGGAGGCAACCAATCTATGCGTCTCTCTCACATGGATGTTTCTCTCTCTCTCTCTCTCTCCCTCCCTCCTACTCTATCTGAAGTTAAATAGAAAAATATCCTTGGATGAGGATTAAAAATAAAAAATAAAAATAATTGCGCCCTACCCGGTTTGGCTCAGCGGTTAGAGCGTCGGCCTGCGGTACAGAGAGACCCGGGTTCGGTTCCCGCTAAGGGCACGTACCTCGGTTGCAGTTTGTCCCCGGCCCTGGTTGGTTGTGCGGGTGGCAACCACTTGATGTGTCCCTTCACATCGAAGTTTCTCTCTCTCTCTCTCTTCCTCTCTCTCCCTCCCGCTCTGTCTGAACAAAGAATGCAAAAATGTCCTCGGGTGAGGATTAAAAAATAATAATAATTGCATCAAGAGTGTGAAAGTTTTGTTGGAATTTCTTTGTACATGGGAAGACAGTGTCTATATTTCAAAAGAAATGTTTTCTATCTACTGCTCTTTGAAGTTTGTAGTGGTAATTCATAGAGGGAGGAAGTTATTTCTCAAAACAAGCCTGTCAGTTTTAAATATTACATAAATGCTACACTATACAAGAAAAATTTAAGTTTTAGACATGCATTGATTTTAATGTTAATAGTAGAAGATTTGATGTTGTAGGAGTTTGGTGACTGAAAGAAAATGAATATTATCTCATATGAAGTCAGAGAATCTATTTTGTTGTTGTTTGGTTTCATGTTTCAAATGTAATTGGTTTTTCTGAGATTTTCAGGAAAAAGAATTTCTAATGTCAGAAAAGAAATATTGTATAATAGACAAAGAGAGGAAATTGCTAAATAATTATAACAAAATATTTTATTTTTCATCACCCTAGAATTTTGATGGGAAACTTCTCAACACAAACACTGATTCTACCCCACTAAAGGCAAATCATGGCATTTACTTTAAGCAGTATTTTTCTTAAACTATATTTTGTGCGTTAATTGTAAAACTGCTATGGACTATCTTTCTTATTCGGGGGATGATTAAGTAGGTCTAGGATGAAATTCACTCACATTTTAAACAGAGAATATGCATAGAATACAATTTTTTGCCAGAGTAGATAGAGGAATATTCTCCTCATGCCCCCACTGTCTATAGCAAGTGCTTCTGAAATGCTGAAGATGCAACTGGTGTTTTTGAAATCCTGTCGCACACAGTCTTCTGGAAATGTTTAGCAATGGACTGGGTTCCAAGCAGTGTGACATTGAGCACACTAAATCCTTTAGTATACAAAGAATCCACAAGACAAGAAATGAAGAAAACCACATGCATTCATTTTATTGAACAAAATATTGGGGGCAGAATTATGTAAGGTGATCAACAACACCATGGTCAATTGTGGGATGGAGTGGGAACAGGAGATCACATAAATAAACTAGTACACCATGAGACGGTCATGGCTAAACCGACACCATTTTGAGAACATAGAAACATCTTTGAGTTGATTCTGAAGTCCTCATATGATGGACAATGTGGATCACAGAAGGAAAGATGGACGCCAAAGAACGTCTCATGCCTTCTCTCTAGAGCACAGTCACTTTAATGGTGAACAGGCTTCTAACATGATAGAAGTCTGAATCACACCGGCGAGATTATGCGTGTGACTGGGAAGCAATGCCACCAAATGTAATGCATTTCCTGCCCTTCCCCAAGGTCAATGTTGCTGAAAGGACTTGCTGCCTTTTATTCTGCAAGTGTATTGGAGGAGATGGCACAGTGGGAGATCCTGGACCGCCTGGGAAAAAGGTGATTTTAAAATTTATGGCTCACTTTATTTGAAAGTGTATGTCTTTCCGACATGCGTTCAGGTAGAAATAAGGGGTGATTTTCACTTCTAGGTAGAACCTCTGAGAAAACCTATGGTTATGCTTCTCTTTTTCATATGGCAAACTAGATGGTCATGGCTTTTGCTTGGCATTCTAAGTTGGAGTTTTTCTGAAAACTTCTTGTACAAGTCTCAGGAGAAGCAACTGCCAAGATCCTTGATTATCCAGTGTTCTGGCATTGATGACCGTGATGCACCAAAGTCAGTTGTCAGCTCTCATTCTGAATAATGAAAACCTCCTGAATACCATTGTCATTTCAATTTCCATTTTTAATGACTGCAGAGTCATTTAAATCTGGTAGGGAATATTTTGTGTCCTCGGCTCAAATCAAGCTAGATCAGATCACCCTATCACAGCAAAAGATGTTAGGATGTTTCATTCAGCTTTAGCCAGACCAAAATGTTATCACCGATGTATAGACAAAAACAGGCCAATTATGAAAACAGTAACCGACAATAGACTTAGATATTTCCTAACCGAAAAAGTTTATGTACCCGCATGTAAAACTCTGATTTAGGGGTTTAGGAAATGTTCAAATATGTACTTGCGTATTATGGATGTATTTAATAATGATTTTGATCCTGCTTGTTTACATGTGTGCTTGACTTTTGAATAATTTATAAATGGCACTGTAACTCCCAAATCGCCATGATTCTGTCTCTGAAGAAAGCTTTTGAACTAATTATTTCCTGATTGCTTCGATTTCATGTAAAAAGAAGGGTAGAACTAAAAAGGGAGGGGGGCTCAGAAAGAATGGGGAAAAAATGTGGGTGGTCTAATTTTTATATGTAGCATAAATCCAAAAAAAAGATTTTTTTGTGAAAAGAGGATAATTCTGGTTTGTCAGGGGCACATAGAGCTGTGTTCATTTGAACATTGGTCTGGATAAAAACTTTAGCACTATGCGTACCCCCAGAGAGACTATGGACAATGTTATGATTGACACAGTCACACATCCCTGAGTTATGTGGCTATTTGTCTCAAAATTCCATTTATTTTTATGTGTATAAATGCAGCCTAAGTTGTGGCAGAGAACTAATTTTTCAAACTCTTACTTTCCTAAACGAAGTAAAACTGTGAAGTTGGGGGATTTTTCTTGACTACTTCTGCGTTTTGCTCTGCGGCGTGCTAATGGACTCTTCCTCTCCTGTTTCCAGGGGCTGCTGGGTTTCAAGGGCAGCGAAGGCTACCTGGGAGAGGAGGGCATGGCCGTAAGTCAAGGGGTTTTCAGACTCATTTATTCCTAAGGATATAATCTACAATATGAAATCATTTATGTCGATTCAGGAGATATGAGAAAGTCAGATTCTAAGGGTTTGTGTGCAAAATCAGAGATCTTTCCTAATCCTCATCGGGCTTTGCTTCTGGTGATCATTAGTGGCAGTCTACTAATCGACTGTCTCCTCTGTCACCATCCACCAACATTGCACAGTGAACTCAATGCAGAAGTTATCTTCCTCACCAGAGGAGTAAGATCACTGCCATTTCCCCCTTCCCGTTTCATTTGGCACAGGTAAACCAACTCACCACATTGTGTATTAAGAGTCATGCTCTTTCTTGCATCCATCTATTCCCTCCTTGCCTCCCTCCTTTCCTTCTTCCTTTCCTTTTCTCCCTCCCTCCTTCCCTCCCAATTTTCTTCCTCCCCTTCTCTCCCTCCTTCCACCCTTTCTTCCCTTCTTCTCTCCCTCCCATCCATCCATGCATCCATTACTTTAACAATTATATATTAAGTATCTTACCATTTACCAAATTATTTACCAAAATCTTCACTCACAAATCCATTTATTTATTTGATTATATATATATATATTTATATTTAATATTAAATATATATATATATATATATATATATATATTTAGACATCTTACCATGTGCCAGGCACAGGGCTATGCCCTAGATATAAAAATAAATAAAAGACAAATATGATTCCTATCTCAGGTAACTTCCAGACTAGTGGAAAGACAGACGAGATGATCATGGTTCCAGCTGTTACATACAAGGACTATACCAGAGGGACACTGAAATGCAGTGTGACAGAGTGAAGCAGAATGAATACCTAACAACTTCAAGTAACCACCTTGGTGGCAGTTAGGGCTTGGAAGAAGAGGCTACAAATAAAGGGGTGATGCATGGGCAGATCTGAAAGACAAATAGAAATTTCTTCAGGCAAAGTTTGTGGGGAAGAACATTCTACTATAGAGAGAATGTGTGCAAAGGCATGTAACTTAGAGAATTGTGTGTTTGCAGAATGGCACATGGTCAACCTGGCTAGAGCCCAGGACACAGTGAGAGGTTATATATCAAGCAAGACCTAGATTATTGGGAGTCTTGAATATCCTGCAAAAGATTTGGAGGTGTCTCCCAGTTGGTGGGCAGTCATTGAATGATGTTGTGCATAGAAGTAAAGATGATGGGGGTTTGGGTTTAGAAAGCATGCCCAGGCAATATTACAGGTGATGATAAGTCTGGGATTACAGGTGGGAATCATGCAGTAGTAGGTGTAAGACAAAAGTGGTTCTAATCTTAGAATGGAGGTAGAATGGACATAACTCATTGACCTCTTGGTGGGGAGAGAAGCTGAGAATGACATCTTTGTTTCCAGTTCACAAGATGTACACAGACTGGTGGAGTTATCGAGATAAGGACTACTGCAGGAGCAGTATTTATTTGAGAAAAAGAGATAAGAATGATGGATTTTGGTCTAGAAATCATGCCTCTTGCTTAGATTATACCTGGAGCATCCTTCTCTGATGTCTCACCAAGTTTTTGCCATCTGTTCCTAGAATGCCTCCTGAAATCTTGAGATTACATTTTCGCTGCCAGTTGTTTGTATGCCTGTTTTAGTTAGATACTATTCCACTGCATGGGATCTGAAGCAAAGCAAATCTATCACCAGAGTAGCTCTGATTTACTTCCATTCTTAATTTTTATAAGCATGAATTCTGGACTGTAAAGCATGAGCAGTCACATTTTTTTCCAACACAAAACTTGCTACATTTCCAAGACAGATTCCAGATTATAATGGAAAAAGTTCACCTGGGTCTGTGCTCTTTCTCAGGGAGAAAGAGGAGCCATTGGACCAGTGGGAGAGCAAGGTACTAAGGGATGCTACGGTTCCAAAGGTCCTAAGGTAAGGGCCGCATAAGAGATTGTGAAGTCTTCCCTACAGTAATTCCTTTTTCTTATGTTAACCACTGCTCTCCTTTCTGTTTTCAGGGAAACAGGGGACTAAATGGACAGGAGGTATGGTACCAAACATATCCATTTATCTTCTCATTTGCTATCGACAGATATTTTTATTTTTGATATTATTGACGAGTAGATTTTACAAATGAAGTTTCTATTAAACTTCCTTTTAGGTCAAATATTTAATTTTGTTTATTCCAGTATTGTATTTTAGGCAATGTATATTATTTGTTGACAGCTTCTCTTACTAAGTAATCTTTGATATTACCTAAGGCCAACCTAACAAAGAAGCTATATACAGAACACAAAATTAAACTTTTTGTGGATGTCTGACTTCCTTCCACATAAATGTAACACACTCTCTTCTAATCACCTCTGTCTTAGGGAGAAGTTGGGGAAAGCGGAATTGATGGATTAAATGGAGTACAGGTAGAGCTTTCTCTTTGTGCCATAAAGACCTTTCTGAGCTACTTTTTCTCATTAAGAAAATGGGAATATGAATTTCTTCTTTTGTTTCTCAGGGTGACAATGGCCTTCCTGGAAGAAAAGGAGAAAAGGGTGATGAAGGATCCCAGGTAGGGATTCAGTAATAGACCACATGAAAACTGTACTGGGAATTAGAGATTCAACTGATCTAGGCTGAGCATGGCTACCCTTGGCTCAGTATCTGTAGATTGGCTGGGGGCTTTGTTCCATATGTCTCTTATCCTGCTCCAGGGACCAGAGAGCTGCCGATCCATGTTGGCTGTGACCTTTTACCTTTTCATGGTCATGGCAGAGGCACAAGAAAGAAAGTATAAACACACAAGGTCACTCAAGACTTCTTGAGATCTAGACTTGGAACTCTCACAGTGACATTTCTATTTTTTTTCTGTTAGCCAAATCAAGTCACAGCCAAACTCAGAGGTAGGGAATCTTGCCCCATCTCCCCCACCCCCATAAACACACAGTCGGAAGGCACTGCAGAGGTACATGGCAAAGAACATAAATTCAGAGAGGAGTGAAGAATTCAGAGGTCATTACTAAAAAGCAGCTACCATGCCAAGAATGGTAGCAGGGTGTTGACAAGTCTGTGGTTCAAGGCAGCACATTGAAGGTGTATACCACCCATTCCCATCTACAGCAAATACCAGCAGCAGCCATACTTCCATCTACTTTATCTGTCTTGAGAATGTGAACAGTTGAATCAAACCCACTTTCTAGCTGATGCAACCACCTTGGAGATAATGGATAGTCTCTCTGAATCTCAGCTGCCTCATTCAAAGAAAGAAAATAAACAATACCTGGTTTGTAAAGTAGCTGTGAAAACTAAACAAGATGATCACTGTGTCTGGAATGGAGTTCGCCACTGTGGCAAATAATTGAGGTCACTGTTAAATTACTCATATGATGGCTAAACTCTTTTTTGGTTGTTCCTCTCTCTAGTTCAAAAATAACTTTGGAAAAAGTGTTTAATTATTCAAATCAGGGAGAAGACAAGCCAAGGTTTTCTATTAATGTGTTTAAAAATTATTGTCCCATTCTTCTTCTGACTTTTATCTACTGTAGGGAAGCCCAGGAAAGAAAGGGACTGCTGGTGACCGTGGAGCGAAGGGCATGAAAGGAGACCCTGTAAGTACTGGGCTGTGCATGCTATGAACCAACTTCAGGGCTCAGTTCCCATCAGCACGTTTGATAGGGAGAGGCATCCCCACTTTAGGGAACTGCACTCGCAATCCTTAGGTCAAATCATCACAAGCACAATGGTAGAATTTTGAAAGCAGTTTCATTGAGATCCTCATCATATACGGGATGAATGTGGACACTGAAAAGCCCTTGCACTTCACTAGTACATGTATTTTTTGAGAAGACATATTCAAAATAGCCTTGTGCTTCAGAGCTGTGAAGGGATTCCAGTCTACTTCATTATCTTCCTCTGGGTACCTCAAAATATGGACAGAAGAGAAGAAACAAAACCATATATTTTTTTCTATTCTCCAAGAATCTTTCTCAGTTGAGCACAATTAACTTCATTGCTTTGAATCCAAGCCAGCTAAGATTATATTAGGCCAAACTTAAAACACAAAGGTGCCTGCTCTCACAGGGACACAACCCAGTTAAGTAGGCATCACCTATACCCAAAAAGGCATGACCCACACCAGTAGAGAGGACATGCCAAGTCAAATGAAACATTTCTACTGTAGGTTTTTCATCACCATGCTCCTACGTAAAGACGTCTCCAAAACTTTAATAAGTTAGCATTTAGGTTTGTTTCTAAATGTTTGTTAAACTTTTTTATTGAGATATAATTGACATATAACATTGTGTAAGTCTGAAGTATACAAAGTGTTGATTTGATACATTTATGTTTTGCAATATGATTACCACCAGAGCATTACCTAACTCAACTGTCATGACACATAATTATTATTTCTTTTGTGTGTGTGTGTGTGATGAGAACATTTGATATTTAGGCTTGTAGCAACTTCGAAGTATGTGATATACAGTATCATTATCTATAATCACTGTGCTGTGCATTAGTTCTCCAGAATTTACTGAACTGTAAATACATTAGAAAAGTACACAAGTTATAAATGTATAGCTTGATGAATGTAAATACATCTGTGTACTCACCACCTATGTAAAGAAATAGAACATTAGGTAACAACAGAGCATCTGAGAATCCCCGCTCATGTCTATTCCAATCACTACGAGCCCTCCCTAATGTAATCACTATCCTAGGATCATAAATTAGTTTTACCTGGCCCTAAGCTGTGCCTGTTATGATACACTCTTCTGTTTCTGGCATCTTTTGTTCAAGTTTATGTTTGTGAGATTCATTCATGTTGTTGTGGATAACAGTAGTTCATTCTATCCTATTGCTGTATAGTATTCCACTGTGTGACTATACCATGATTTATTTATCTGTTCTGCTTTTGATAGATATTTAGGTTGTAACAATTTTTTGCTACTATAAATATCACTTCTATGGCCATTCTTGTACATATCTTTGAGTGCACTTTTGCACATATTTTTATTGGGTCTATACTTTAGGAGTGGAGTATCTGGATGATCATTGAAATCCTGAATTCAGCATGAATTTTACAACCAGTTTGCATAATTGTTTTTACTAATTTACACTCCCACCAGCAATGTGCCAGAGCAAGATGGCTAAAATTGATGCAGACTGACAATACCAAGTGTTGATAGGATGTGGGGCAACTGGGACTCTTACAAGACTTTGTCTTTGATAACTCCTCCTCCAGTATACATGGGTTGACCAGAGAAAGAATTTGGTGCAACATTTATAGACACATGTAAATGTTAAGTATGCATTGAAGATAATAATTCATAAGACAGGGAAATTTGCACCTGAAGACAACATTGTTTACTATGTAACATTTCCTAACAATAGTCTGGTGACCTGAAGGTTTTCAAACAACTTGAAACTATCTAATTAAAAACAAATAACTTGCCCTCAAATACAGATAATTAATAAATAGTAGTTCAAATGCAAAGACAGTTTAGTCATCTGTACATATGGCCCCAAATCCACCTGTGGCATTGCTATGAAATCGCCATTCACTTTGATCAGAATCCCCCCTAACTGTCTGTAGGATTATGCAACACCTTTAAAGAATCCGAATAATGTAAGAGGATTTTTATTTAACAAGAAATGTTCTGTGACTTCAAGATGACTGAAAAATTCAGCCCATTAGACCTTCTCTGTATTGTGCTGTTTGTCATTTTACTAACTTCAATGGTTTTTGAATGCATAATAATTCTTCACAGAGACATCTCAAATTGAAGACAACTCTGTGTTCTTTGTGCAGTTTTGTGGTTACTATCTCAGAAAAAAATTTTTTTAAAAGATGATAGGATTAGTAGAACACACACAATCAGATTATTTATAGGAATACATGCAAATGACCTTAATACCTGAAAAATCTATGCTTATTTGGAGAGAACGGAAGCTAGTTTGGCTGTTTTGAATTTCCCATTTTGACCTAAATATTTTTTAAAATCTCATGTAACTTGAGGGGAAAACTGAGCTAGATCATTTGTCTGAGCTATAGAGTTCATCATTCTAAAGCATACTATTATTAGAAGCCCAGGTTTCATAAGTTTGCTACATGTTGCTCTTTTGTCCAGTTTAATAGAATCTGAAAGATTCAACCTGATCCCATTCAGACTAACCAAACAATTGGTCCACATGCAAATTAGGATGTTCTGGTGTGTAGAATGTGTGGGAATATGATTTTTTTTAACTGTCATTTCTTCAATTAAATGGTTCAGAGTTGGCCCACAATATGAAGCTTGTATACCGAGTGGAATGAAATTCTAGACTTTCCATTATGTTCCTTTTTTTTTTTTTTAACATAACTTTCTCACCAAAATATAATTTTCTAATATTGTAATTTAGGTGTATCCTGCTTGGAGAACTTATCAGAGAAATACTTAAACTTAAGAATAAAACAGAAAATGTAGAAAATAATCTTTGACTTTGCTATGTGGGAGAGAAATAATTTTTCATTTAAGTTTTACTATTATCAGTTATAAAGTAAATTCTAAGCCCCTCATTTTCACTCTGTTAGCCTATAAACTCTGTAAGTATAGAAACTACTATTTTAAAAAGCTTGCTACATATCTAGAACAATGACTTGTCTCTGTTGGTGATCACAAATTACTTATTGATTGATGGAGGTAATCTGGGCTGCTGTCAGCCAAGCAGCCCGGCAGCTGGCTCTCAGCAGGACTGGGTAATTGTTGTCCCCTCTCGGTTTATTGGAGCATTGACTGAACTGACTGGCTCCATTGACAGTCTCGGCATCACAGTGACAACTGCTCTGTTTGTGGTCCTAACTACCCAAGACAGAAAGCTTTTGCTTTGGCCCGCTTAAGATAACATCCCACAGTGTGTGCCTGTTTCCAATGAGTTTCTGCTGGAACATTTGTAGGAATATTGGGGAAAACTCCAGGGTTTTCTGAAAACCAAAATGTAGGGGTAAGCATATGAGGGAAGAAAGCAGCCAGGCGTGCAAGTGGAAGGGTGGCCGAGCAGTCCTCAGCTCTGCTCAGGGTGCGTATGTTCTTGTGGTAGAACCCATTATGATCACTTGCCTTTTCCCAAGGGTCGGGGAGAGTGAAGTCTACCAACCCTCAAGGATAAACTTGCCTAGGCTGCAAGAAAGCAGAACAAACATTAAGAGAAAGGATAGCAGTAGAGAAAGGGGTACCTCCAAACCCAGGATAAGAGTTGTCATAAACACAAGTCATCGCACCCTTGCTTCCTTGGGCTGTGCTTTCTCTGGTGAGCTCTAGATTCCACATACACACACCTTGGGTTTCCACTCCCTTCTAATAATGCATGGGAAGCAAAGAAAACTCTTGCAAGCCATGTACAGTTTTAACTCATTTCTACTTTCAACTGGGTTGGACTTCTGTTCACTTTCTGGTGATGACTAAATATGTTATATTCAAGTCACATGTTTAAGAATAAATGTTCAAAACCTATTCATTTATCTTTTATTTTCTGTTTTTTAGGGACTTCCTGGGCTTGACAACAACATAGAAGGACCCAGTGGCTTGAGAGGAGAGCCTGGAAGACAAGTAATTCTGTGGGCATTTGAAAGCAAATGTGTGACGATGTGACAGCTGTGAGGCTCAAGTTCTTAATGATAGAACAGGAAATGCATACAATTTGGAATCAGAGTAGATGTACTTCATACAGAAATTTATTTCTAAGAGCAAAAGGATCTTTTACTCCTTATCTGCTGCTCCAGGATTCAAGAAACATTTTCTTTTTCTGAATTTGGAATGACTTGCTTCGCTAAGCCATACCCTGGGGGTCATCATTTATGAATGTAAACATCTGAGTTTCAACTTAAAGTGTAGGGCTAGCTGATAGAAAGAACTAGCAAAAGAGTTGTTGGCCCTCCCAAGATACAGAGAACACATACCTTAAACAGACATATTCTTCATAGTACACAATTTAAAAATACAAGATCCGGTAGATCTATTCAGCCCACAACCTCAAGGGAGGTTTCCTGAGAGTAATCTCATGAAACTTCCCAAGTAACAATTTGATCAACTTAACTTGGTTTTTAGAATTTAAAAAAAATTGTCTGGATAATAGTCTCTCTGGATCTTCTTGGTGAGGAAGTTTCCTTGGTGACTCTACCTGGGGGAGAGGTCTGATATGGTGGAAGGACTTTGCTTTGGGGACAGTCCTTTATCTTCTCTGTGACCTTGGGCCACTCTCTGTAAACTTAAATTTTCTCATATGCAAAATAAGAGAAAAAACCTACTTATTTACCATAATGGTGGGAATTCAGTGACTTACCCTGCCACATCAGAAACCTTCAGGAAATGTTACCTGCCATTTTTATTAAGTGGCAAATGTAAGTCTCATTGTAGACTCATAATTTTCTTTCCTATTCTATCTTGGGAAGACTTGTGAGTATTAGGAGATTTTTTTTATCCACATGCGGGTGTAAACTATACAGGTTCGCTAAATAGAACAAGAAGTCCAAAGGTAGAAATCCAAACCAGTAATATCTATACTGAACAGGTGGCATGCTTTAATTATCCACTCTGTGGGGATAGTTTGATTTAAATACTCTAAATACACCATAACTGCAAGTTAGGCAGTGGTGATGAACAGATGAAGCCATGTTATTAGCATTTTGTCCTCTAGTTCCTCATGACCCACGGAGAGGTGTGATGTATGCCCAATGGAAGTAATGCTGTATTCCAAGGAGAAAATAACTCTCCAGTTGGTGGGTACCTAATCTGCCTCCCTGGAGGAAACAAGCGGAGGTTGAAGAAGAAATGTGTCCATGCTGTGTAATTACTGTCATACATCTGTTTGTTCATTTGACAGGGGAGAAGAGGCTGGCCAGGCCCCCCTGGAACACCAGGCTCCAGAAGCAAGACAGTAAGAGCCTTTCTAGAGAAGGAGACACGCTGCTCCGGTAGCCTAGATTGTGATGAAAATGGCTAATGACGGAGAGTGACGGGGTGGTTGTGCTGGGGCTCGGTGCCTTGGGGAAACTGACCTGGGGTGTCTGTGAGAACAGAGCTGGAAAGGACTTGGGGAAGCCTCTGAGGTACAGGCAGGAAGGTGCTGGCTCAGGGGAAATGACCAACCACGAGAAAGAGCCGGGCAAAGAGAACAAAGCAGCAACCAGCCAGGGGAAGAACTGTCTAGGTTGGGCCTACTCACTAGGCCAATGATTTTAACCTCTTTCATCTCGTGGCACACATCAACTAATTACTACAATTCTGCAGCACACCAAAAAAGATATTAATTTTATTTGCCGATCTGACCCCCCCAAAAGGTATAATTTTGATTCTTTCACACTGGATGGGTATTATTGTGTTGGCTGTTGTCATCTTTTTTTTATTTTAATTTTTACCCAAGGATGTTTTTACTGAATTTTAGAGAGAGAGAGAGAAAGGTGGGGAGAGAGAAACATCAATGGGAGGGAGAAACGTGGGTCAGGGGGAATCATCAAATCTGCAGCGTAGGTATGTGCCCTAACTGGGAATTGAGCCTGCAAACTTCTGGTATAGAGGACAGTGCTCCAACTAACTGAGCCACCTGGCCAGGGCTGTTGTCCTTTTTAAAATTTCACAATCTAAGGGAAAAGGGGTCAGTGCCCCTGACCAAATAGGTCTTTATTGCATGTTTTAAAAATTCTTACAGCACACAGGCTGAAAATTGCTGCAGTAGGCTAACTGAAGTGGCCAGTGATGTTATTTTCATTCCAAAACTCCATTCCTCTGCCAAATTCTGTAACCATGTACTTAGGAAAGTGAGTCCTGGTGTAAGTCCTCTCTCTGTTCTTACTTCCATTTTTTTCCACCTTGTAAATATTTTCTTGATAAAGTATAATAGCTGGTTCTATGAACTTATGCCCAGAAAACACAATGCATAGTAAATACAGTATATTAAACCAGTTTTTATTTATGCTCAATTTAAAAACATTACATATTTTTTATTGAGCTATGATACTGTATTAGTTCCAGGTGTTCAGTATAATAATTCGATATGTATATATGTTGCAAAATGATCACCACAGTAAGTCTAGGGAACATCCATCACCATACATAGCTACACATTTTTTTCTTGTGATGAAAACTTTTAAGATTTACTCTCAGCAACTTTCAAATACACAATCCAGTATTATTAACTACAGTTACCATGTTGTACATTGTGTCCCATGAGTCATGTGTTTTATAACTGGAAATGTGTACGTTTTGACCAGGTTCAGCCATCTTCCTCACCACTCTACCCTCTACCTTTGGCAACTACTGATCTGTTCTCTGGATCTATGAGTTCGGTTTTGATTTTTCAGGTTGCACATATAAGTGAGATCATACAGTATTTGTCTTTCTTCGACTTATTTTACTTACCATAATGGCTGAATAATATTGATTGTGTAAATGAACCCATTGTGTGTATGTATACCACGTTTTTTTCAATCCACCCATTCATTAGTGGACACTTGGTTTGGTTCCATGTCTTCACTATTGTAAATAGTGCTGCAGTGAACACGGGGGTATCTTTTTGAGTTAGTGTTTCCATTTTCTTTGATAAATACCCAGAAGTGAAATTGCTGGCTCATATGATGGTTCTATTTTTAGTTTTTTTAGGAACCTCCATACTTCTGAAAACATAATATATATTTTTTAAGGGCATAAAAATACAAACCTGAAATGGAACCTTTTAGAATCTTTTTTATTTGTTTATTTGTTATTTTTTTTAGTGAGTATTTTAAACAAAAGATTCTCTGCTTGACTTCTTGGAAGAGCACAGAGATTGTAAAAAAAAGAAAAAAAAAAACCTTTATCCAGTAAGAAGAGAAAACTTTGATTAAAAAAAAAACAAAACACTTAAATGCCTGCATTGGATTCTGAATCAGACCTGCCTCTTCTCATTGTGTAACATTTTCTTTCATTCTTTATTTAGCTATCTGACCTTCTCCAACTTCCTTTACCTGCCCACCTGCAAAATAGATAATGTTTTAAAATTGAGCACGAATGAAAACTAGTTTAATATATTTTATCTATTACGTATTGCGTTTTTCTGAGCTGAAATTCATAGAAACCGCTATTATACTCCAACAACAAAATAGTTTCCTATTTTGGAACACACTCCTTCTTTGCAAGGCTGAGAAATGAAATTAAAAGTAGAGATTGCATTTAAAATGTACAGAATTTGATTGCTGTTGGGAAGCACTTTATGACTGCTGCTTTAATGCACCGAAAGATTTTTTGAAATACATTTGCTATTCATTTCACTTTCTAAAAGGGTGTAGCCAGCTTACATACCCCGAGAAAATATTTGAACTTAAAGAATATCATCCAGGAAATCCTGGCAGCAGGTGTACTTTTATTATTGCATGGAGGCTGTAGTCTCGATGCAGTATCACCGTGTGTTATTTAAACAGCACCACTCCTGAGAAATGTGGTGCCATCTTGGGTTTTAGATGCAGCAATGTCGTTCATGAGTAAAAGTAGGACTTCCAGCGAAAGATGGCAAAGCCAAGGTGGTTTTTTATACTATTCCCTTTTGTGCAACTCACCAAAAACAACAAAAAAATTTTAAAATAGTTTAACAAAGAAGGACCACTCTTGAAGCTACACATGACAACTATTGACTGACTTGTTGTTGTTGCTGTTGTTAATCCTCACCCAAAGGTATTTTTCCATTGATTTTTGGTCAGAGTGGAAGGGAGGGAAGGAGATAAAGAGAGAGAAACATCGATGTGAAAAAGACACATTGATTATTTGCCTCCTGCACAACCCCAGCTGGGGCCAGGGATTGAACCTGCAGATCAGGTACTCACCCTTGACGAGGAATTAACCCTGAGACCCTTCAGTCCGAGGGCCGAGACTAACTGATGGGCCAAACTTGCCAGGGCATATTGACCAACTATTTTGAAATCTGGATTCTATTGAGGAGGCTTTGGAGAGCTGACACACACACCACCTCAGACCTTAGTTGGGGATCCAGTTTTCCTACAGTAGCTGCCATATTCCTGAAAAGGGTGAACAAAATCCAGGAGTACTAGAAGTTTTGGGAAGATCAGGAAATATAAGGATAGAAACATAGTTTAGCAGAGGAAACAGAAATAATGAAAAACTGAAGAATATTTTTTAATACACACACACACACACATTTTTTTTTCTTTTAATCCTCACCAGAGGATATTTTTCCATTTATCTTCAGATAGAGTGGCAGGGAGGGAGAGAGAAAGAAACATTGACGCAGGAGGGACACATCAACTGGTTGCCTCCCACACAACCCCAACCAGGGCCAGGGATGACCACAACCAAGGTACATGCCCTTGACTGAATTGAACCCACAACTCATTGGTCCACGGGCTGACACTGTAACCATGGAACCAAACCTGCCAGGGCTTCATTTTTTTTTTTTTTTTTTTTTTTTATCCTCACCCGAGGACATTTTTGCATTTTTTGTTCAGACAGAGCGGGAGGGAGAGAGAGGAAGAGAGAGAGAGAAACATCGACGTGAAGGGACACATCGAGTGGCTGCCACCCGCACGACCAACCAGGGCCGGGGACAAACTGCAACCGAGGTACGTGCCCTTAGCGGGAACCGAACCCGGGTCTTTCTGTACCGCAGGCCGACGCTCTAACCGCTGAGCCAAACCGGCCAGGGCAGGGCTTCATTTTTAATATCTATAGTTTAGCAGTCTAGACCACGGAGGCTGTAGAGACAGAAGAAGAAACAGTGGCTATCTCAGCACAGAGAAACTATGACATAAGGGGCTTTGTGTGAGTTCCACGAGTCTCTTAAATGCCAAAATTTGATGGAAGAGGAAGCCATAGGGTAAAAGAAATAATTCACGATGAGAAAGTGTTTGAGGCAACATGCCTATATCAAAGCTATTGACCAAGTCCAGCTGCACTCCAATAACAGTTATTCAGTAAATAAGTGACCCTATTCAAAGGTGATTAATAATGACAAATATTAATAATCTTCATTATTAATCAGATGATTACTAATCTGTACCTATGCATAGAAATTTCAAGAAAACGAGGAAAACTACATGAGCACAGGGCAGATAAACCCTCATTTGAAGAGGAACTACTTAAGGAGAAGGTAGAACAACTCTGGCAAATAGTTCTCCAAAGTCTCAAAAAAATTAAGATAGTCTAACTGCTTTAGAAAGAATCTAAAGAACAGATAAAATGATAGAAAGTGAAAAAAACAAACTGGTAGTGCTTGGGGAGTGATGGGAAAGGAAAAAATATAGAATGTAAAATATATTAGAAGCAACAAAAATTAGAATAAATCTGACTGAAAAATATAGGCAGGCATATGGAATAAGAGAAAATAGAATATCAACAGTAGAGAGCCAACACATACAGAATTTGCATTACTAAATTAAATAAACCAAATGCATTTTTTTAAAAATTTATAAGTATAATAAAATATACCTCCTGGAACCAAAAGTGCAAATAAGTGTCTATCTAGAAAAGACATATTCTGACTTAGAAAAAAATCTGATACAAATGTATCAACACTGAGCCACATCCTATTAAAATTACCAAACTTATTACATAATGAATCATGATCATTTCCAAGCAGGAAAGATAGAAAATTCAGTCTGTCTTCAGCCTTTTTCCCGACATTCAGGGACAAAGGGGAACAGGAGACGGGCTACAGAGTTCTGAGACAGAGAGGTCCAAGGTTTGGATACTCAGGCAGGTTGTCCTGTAAGCATGTAAGTACTTGACATGATCAAGCCTTCAAAAACTCAGACAACATACCCTTCATGTTCCTTTGAGACTTTATAATAATAAATTTGAGTTCCTTTCAACATGGAAATAAGACTAAACCATAGAAATTGTGATTACAGAACAAAATGTAAATTTTATACATTTGATGATCTAAAAATTATATGGAAATAAGAAAGTGGGAAAAGTTGTGGGGAAAGTACCGATATGCCATGTCCTCATCTTTCATTGTAGCGAGTCAAGGTCTCAGCATTATTTTAAGCTGACATATGTATTACAAAGATACCCTAACCTCCTGTTTTTTCCCATAATTATATTTTTTCTTTTAGGAATGTATTATTTCTCATTGTCAAGAAATGTTACCACCTGACATTTCCAGTTCTTTCAGGATTATTTTTCTTCTTCTATTAAATTAAAATAAAATTAAATGTAATATTTTCATTTAAAATAACATGAATAGCATAATCCTTTTTAAATAAAAAGTACCACTGTTTAGAACTCTATCTGAAAACACGCATAAAACGATGCCAGGAATCATGATTACCAAATGTTAATGAGAGTTATTTTTAGATAGAGGATGTGGGATGACTTTTAAATTTTTATTCTGTATTTTCTGCATTTGAATATTTAAAAATCAATATATATCATTTTTAGAATAACAATAAAATCACTGTCTTTAACAAAGAAGAAAAATTTTTATCACTGCCCGAAAAACTCTAAAATGTAGAAGAGCTTTGAGGACTCCTCAGTGCAACAAGGTTCTGCTGAACTGATCAGGGCTCGGAGGGTGGCCCGTGCTAGGGTGTGCTTGCAGGGAAATCCATCCGCTGATCAAATCGGACTTTCATTCATTTGGTAAACATTAATTGAACACCTACAATGTACCAGTAACTATATTAACTACTAGAGCTACAAATTCAAATAAGGCATATCCTTTGCTCTCAAGGAACTTAGAATCATTTTGTAGACCATGGCTTCTCAACCTATTATTGGCATTATTGGGCTGAATAATTCTTTGTTGTGGAAGGCTATCTTGTGCATTGTAGGATGTTTAGTGTCATCCCTGACCTCCACCCACTAGGTGCCAGTAGCACCCCTGACTTGTGACAACAACAAATGTCTCCAGGTAGTGCCAGATGTTCCCAGGGAAAGAGATGAGGGGTGCTAAATCCCTCCTTGTAGGTAAGAACCACCATTATAGAAGGGGAGAGACCTGTAGGGATAATGAGCACTGTGTCAGGAATCTGTAATGGATTGAGTGGTTGGGAGGAGGAAGGACCAGGGCCAGAAAGCTGCAATGATGAGGGTGGGGTGGAGATGGGAGCCAAACTTTACGGAGAATAAGAGTAAATCTTGTGCCATAACTAATGAGAAGCAATGCTAGTCTCAAACTAAAGCATGACCTTCAGTCCTATTAAGTCCTGAGGATCTGTTAGTTATGCTTTTCCCTTTTCCTCTCTCTTGGCACTATTTTAGGGACAGCTTGAAGTGCTCTAGGACAGTCATTTTTCATTGTGAATGAGTTTGTGGTTAAGATTCAGTATTAATGGGATGCTTTACCATTAAGAATATCCTTCTTTATTTTCCTGGGGATTCTGTGTCCCACATCAGCCCATTCCTAACTGGGAAAGTAGGTCATGGTAAACCACCAGGAAGCCACGCTATGAGGGACCAAGGGGCCAAGGACTCTTCTGGGTCTTCTTACTCTCAGGTTGTCTTTGGGGAAATTTTCTTTTCTGCTGTGCTCATTCACATTCCCTTGCACAGATGAGTGAGGCTGTCTGGATGTGTTACCAGACAACTGTAAGCCTTTAGGCAAACCATTAAGATGTTTAGGGGTTTAATCTTTCTCATCTAAAACATTGAAAATTTGAGGCAAAACTAAAAATCATCTCCCCTATTTCCTTGTGTGTGTTTTCTTTCTCTCACATCTACCCAAGGTATTTAAAACCACGACTTTTGTTTGGAGTTTAAATTCCCAGTAGCCATTCATAAAAGTGCCCGCTGATTACTTCTGGAGATGTTTCCACTATTTGTGTGAATGGTAGATTAAGGTCTGTCTCCTCCACTAGGCTTATAAAGTCCTGCCTAGGGACAGGAATCGGGTTTTCCTCATCATCACGTAGACAAGTGCCTTGTAGGCAACAGGAGCTCAATAAATATGTGTTAAGATCAGTGATTTAAATCAAGCTCTGTGAAGGTCAAACATTAAAGACAGAACAAAGGTTTATTGATGGTGGAGGCTTGTTTTACATCCTTTATTACATAGGAAGCGCTTTATTTTGCCTAAATATAAGGTTGCATTTCATTGTTTCTACCACAACCAGATGTCTCCACCTAGACCTCAGGTCTGGCCATGTACACTTTCTGCTCCAAGAACCCCAGTGGTTTCTACTAAAATAAGTATGAACACTTCATGTAGTTTTTTCAACCTTAGTGATCCTACTACTACTCACTTTCATTATCCCATCTTTGACCCAGAATTGCCACTAACAGATATACTTCCTATTTTCCTATTTTTATTACTTAGACTGGTATCCTCTGCTAGAAAGAAGACTTCTTACATCTTCTCCCTGTGAGATTCTTACCCATCCTCCAAAACCCATCTTTAAAATTTCTTCTTCCAGGAAGGTTTTCCTGATTTGACCAACTAGAAATGATTGCTTTCTTCAAAGCCTGAATTTCCACCATTCCCCTTTCCTGGGGCATTTGCCACACTCTGCCTTGTAAATATTTATGTCCTCCCTCCAAACCCAGATGAGGGCTCCCTGAGATCAAGGACTCTGGGTATGTGTATGTCGTTCTTATGCTCCTGTGGTCCCATGCACTGTGCTTTGGGAATAGTAAACCCTTGGTAGATATTTTTCTTAATGAAACTGAAGTGAACTGATTCAGAACAGATAAACCCGTGTGCTAAAGGAAGAGAGGAAGTTTCTTTCTCTCCCTCTGATAGGATGTAGACTTTCATCTCAAGCTGATTCATTGGGGTTTTCAGGAAGTAAGCCTCTAAACATTTCCCCAGATGCCCAGTCTGTTTCCTAGATAATAATACATTCTGAATGAAATGTGATTGGTAGAATTTAAAGCCTGCAATATTGACCTGAATATCTCAGATTTTCATCAAGAAAATATTGTCTGATAGTTCATTGAGTTTTGCAAATCCTGGGCATCAGTATTGCTATGACCTTACTGAGAGATCTTAAGTTAGACAATAAAATGTCTTTATCTCTTGATTTCCAGCTCTAAGAAATATTGATCTGGACTATACCCAGAACCCAATCTTATATATGAGAGTAATAGGAAAAATCCACTTAATTATGTAGCACCATTATTTTGATTGGATCTTTTATTAACAAACTGAATTGAGTAACTTTTGAATGATTGTGGTGATTCTTTCATCTTTTGACAGATATTTGGCTTTGTGGGGGTTGGGGTAAAATTAGTTTGGCTATCTTTAGCTTCTTACATTAATCTATAATAAAGTTCATGAAGTCAGTTCTCCCAGCTTCTCCTCTGGCTTCCTGCCTATTGGCCACTCTATTCCTGATTTCTGGCTTACATGGTAGTACTTCAGAAAAATGAAAAGAAATAAAATTCAAACCGGTCCATTTTGGAGCTTGTGTGAACAGCTCCAGTAACTATTTAGTAGAGGATGAATTATTGACCACAATCTGCGCTCATACATATCTATAGATTTTAATTGTCTATTATTTTAATCACCTATTGTCTTAGGATGGGACTTCAGAGTTGACATCATTTTGCTTTCATGGTGCAGTGGATAATTTCATGTTTGAGCAATGTGTGGAAACATTTTAATGGCAGTGCCTTAAGGTGCCCATTACTAATTTAAATAAAATATAAAAAGTATTTTTTTTTCAGAGTTAATGATATATACCCTTTTTCTCCTATTTTAGGCAGCTCATGGCCAAAGGGGACCTACAGGCCCACAGGTACAGTGATTTTTTTTTTCTTAACTCCAAGTGATAAATATTCTGTGTCCAATCAAAGAGCTAGAATAAAGACTCTAAAATATCTCTTCCAAGCCTGAAGTTCTTTTCTTTTTGATGATATTGGTTGTGGAATAAAATGTTAGAAAAAATTTAGGCTACAATTTCAAAACAAATCTTTAAAAAAATAAAAATGTGTACACTTTATTCAAAACCATAAAAATTAATAAGAGACGTTACTTGGCCCAATTATTGTTAAATTGAATTTTGATTGGATTACACATACAAACTAATAACTCAGTGGGTGACTTTTCTTTTAGATTTTTGCTCAACTAACTCTGAAACCTTATTTAGAATAAACCCATTTTAAGCAAAGAGAGTACAATAAACCTTAATATAAATGGGAATTCTGCATATTTTGTTCAAAAGTGTACTACACCAAATATCATAACCACATCCCCTTTGTACATGTTGGTGATACGTTATACATGCTTCATGAACCTACAATATTTATGAAAGAGCAGTTGTGACTTCGAATTTTTCAAAATTGAGGAAACACATCCCCATATTGAAAATACAATGAGGATAAATAATAAATCTACTCTTAATCACATCATGGTGAAACTCCAGAATGTTAAAGAAAAAATCTTAAACACCAACAGTGAGAAAAAGCAGTTTTACTTGTGAAAAGAATAACAAGTTAGATTGCAGCAGACTTCTGTTCACTAATAGTACATGCCAGAGACGACAAATTAATATCTTGCAGATAGCCCTGGCCGGGCAGCTCAGTGGGGTAGAACATCGTTCTGATACGCCAAGGTTGCGTATCAGGGCACATACAAGAATCAACCAGTGAATGCATAAATAAGAGCAACCAATTGATGTTTCTCTCCTCTCCTCTCTCTCTCTCTCTCAAATAAATAAATATAAAAAATATATCTTGCAGGTACAGAGGAAAAATACCCATTAACCTAGAACTTTGCTGTAGCTAAACTGTGAGGAAAATAGACATTTTCAGATAGGTCAAGACTCAGAGTTTACTATCCACAGACATTACCCCACCCACACACATGTCAAAGTTAGACATGAACAACTACAACAGCAAAAAGCAATTCCAGAAAAATGGCATGAAATAAATGATGAATGGTATGAGATTGGGGAGAGAATGTGTTAAGAAATGTCTCCTTTCTGCTTTCTAGGAAAAGGTATGAGTAACAGACATTTAATCACAACCCACTATCAAACAACTGAGACATACATTTGGGCTATTCTAGTAGTTGTTTAAACTGAACTTTCTTAATCCTTTCTTACTCTTCCTGGAATCTTATCTGTGGCAGAGTTCAAGCACAACGTGAAGAGAATGCTCAGCTATTGATCCTTAGATATTTAAATTATTTGAATGTAAATGTAATGTTGTAAGATGCCTAGAGATTTTTGAAGAAAATGCAAAGTAAATTGTGAGATTCTTTTTCAGGCCAGATGCCCAACTTAGAGATAGCATGTTACAAATATTATAGGAAATTAAGTGTGTGTGTGTGTGTGTGTGTGTGTGTGTGTGTGTGTGAAGACTGAAAGCAAATATAGTAACATATTAGCTGTGGCTATTTCTCTTGATAAGATTAGAGACATTTTTTTAAATTTCCTCCTTTGTATTTTCCTTTATTATTCATATTTTTTGCAAAGATCCTGCACTGTCATTATGATTGAAAAAAATATGTGTAATCTTATACGTAAAGGAGACAAAATTCTCAGGAAACAGTGTTAATGGGTTGATTCTCTCGCATCACAGGGGACAGCAGGCATCCCAGGCCCAGATGGACTTGAAGGCTCACCAGGACTTAAGGGCCCTCAGGTACATATTACAAATAATCATGATGTGAAAACTTAAAGAATCAGCTTGATAAATACCCCTTCACACACACACACACCCTACACACACACACACATACACACACACACCCCCCTTGCAGAATTATAGCTGTTTAAAGTGGTTTTAGGGCAATAAAGTAGAGCGGCAACACGATCTTGACTTATACAGTATTTGGTCTCCTTTATCTACATTTTGTCCGGGGCAGGCTCAGGAGATGAACTGAAAGGAACATGCTGGGCAGCGGTCCCTGCACGATGGTTTCAGGCTAGCTAGGGTATTCTCAAGAGACCTCGAGCCAAGGAAAACGTCAAGCCTCAAACTGGGAATTTTGGTCAATTTAGCACAGTAAACTCTCAGTTACTTATCTAGATGACTGTGCTGTAGAAAACATGGCTCCGTGCTAGGAAACAGTTATTGCAAATACAGCTGAAGTCTTTGGCAGGGTGATCTGTAGTGAGGCACTCAGCCTGTGCTTTCTAGCTCACTCCTCCGGGGAGCTGACTCCAGCACTTTTTCCTTTACAAGGAACAAGCCATGGCTGGATCATACTGATCACATTGAGAGGAAAGGAAGCATGTGCGAGGAAGGGCAAAACGCAGCCTAAAATAATAAGAAGGGAAAGGAAGTCCTAGAAAAGGCTGAGATGCAAGAAAAGAGTCAGACTATAGAACATTAAAATATTATTTTTTTTTTCTCTCTCTCAATTTTTAGTCTTGAAATCTTGAGAAATAATTTTGCTGTTTGGCAAATGCAGGATAAGCAAGGGTTCTGCATTCAAAATTCCAATCCACATAGTTAAAAAACAAAAACAAAACACTAAAGAAAGTAGTATATGTTGGCAGTTTGGTGCATGAAAGTTGGGCAAAATAGCTTTGGAGATCAGAAGAAAAACTTGGTTCACATTTTACCAACATTTCAGAGCAGTAAATGGTCTGCCCCTTGGACCTCTGTCTTTTTCGAGTTTGACTGTATTTCTGTGCCGTACTTGCCAGCTGAGGAACATTTGCTCTTCCCACCTTCAAATGAGAAATATCTGCCACTAGGGCAGTGGGGAAGCATTTTAATAGATTGGCTGGCTTTTTCCCCCCTGCTAAACAAGTAATACTACTACAATATTCCTTCTTCCATTTTATAGATTCTTCCATTTTATAGATTCTTACCTTTTTATGACATAATTCTTACTTTTCTATGACATAAAATTTTAAAAGATGCAAAAACCAAACACGGCATGAAAGTGTCTCTACATAACATATGGAGGCCACAGTTAATAAGCCATATAACATTCCAGAAGAGGAAATATCCAAATTTCATCTTCCTGCATGCCATAACTTATTTATGACCGGACTTCAGTGCGGTTATTGAATAGAAAATCCATTTACGTATTTGTTCCAGACTTATATAATTAAGGATTCTTCTCTCCTTTTTTTTTTTTTTAAGGATTCTTTTCTTTTAATATAACATATGCAATTGGAGTATAAAGATGCTTAGGATAATTAGAAAGTAATACTGAAAAAAATTGCCTGTTCAGTATTTCTTCACTGGGACTGCAAATGCCCAATTGCCTAAATGTCAGATTGGACACTTGTTCCCCCGCACAGAGGGAGAGCTTGACAGATGAAGACAGAACGAAAGACATGAGTGGACTTCTCTTTCCAATTTCTGTCCCTGTCACTGACTTAGCATTTCTATTTTAATATTGAAGTTAACAACTGTCGAGTGTTCTCTTTTAGGGAGAAAATAATGCTTTCATTCTCTGCATGTAGGGCCCAAGAGGAGAGGCTGGTGCGAAAGGAGAGAAAGGAGGTCTGGGCGGTAGAGGTCCCCAGGTATGTAATGAAAGGAAATGACTGCATCTGGCTTTGATCTGGGATGTCCCTGTGGTTTCTTCCCTGCAGATGGATTACTTATTGCCTGTGAACCAGCAGAGAAGTGTTAGGTTTTTCTTCGTTGCTCAATAGGGACATACCACATCCTGGCCCCTATCTTGCTAAGTAGGCTGTCATTCTGTCCGACAGAGAGCTGGTTTCTGGCTCTTGGCCTCGGCAGTTCAGCCATTATTATGAGTTAAAGACTCCTCCTTTGTAAATCAGGGTCTGTCACTCCCCTTATCTCAATCCTCAGGAGCTTCCCATGCACCCCAAATACAACCTCTTCCAGTGTCCTCAGCCTTGCTACACCTGAGAACCTCCTGGGCAGGCTGTAAACACTCCACCACTCGGGACCCTCCCCAGACCACTGGCACATCAGAACCTCTGGAGGTGAGGCCAGGGTCTCAGTAATGTTCACTCTCCCCAGGTGATTCTAATATACACACCCAACTTTGGGAAGGACCGTCCCACATCAGCACTCTCCAACTTCAAAGTATGTAAGAATCACCTATAGAACTTGCCAAAATGCAGATTCTAATTTAGTAAGACTGGGGTGGGCTTAAGATTCTGTACTTTCAGTAAACCCCCAAGGGATGTTGATGATGCTGGTCCCCAGACCACACTTTGAGTCTCTAGGCCCTACATGATTAGACCCTTGCCTGATTGCTATCATAGTATATATTTGTTCATTTAGTTGTTTTTGTCCCACCTTCTAGATTGTAAACCCAGTGAGGGCCAGCACTTTGTCTTGCTAATACACTATTCTAAGCCCAGAACAGCAATGCTGCTACACAGTGGAGCTCAATGCATATTTGTATAATGTATCAATTAGTAAGTGAATGAATGAGACATAGTTGGGACTTTCACTCAGTTAACAAGAGGATAAAGGGACGCCATTACTTTGTGTCCATTAATTAAACTGGGCAGTGGTCCAACATTTAAGTGGATGTGGTCATCACCAAAATATATGAGGCTATTTGCATAAACTTGTATCTCATGACACAATATTTTAAAGTGTATTAATTACTGCTCATGAGGATACTTTTTCCCCATATTTTGATGAATGTGCTCCTTCAAAAAGCATGAAAATTTTAAAATGTCATGGACTAAATTGATGAAAAGTAACTATTTTGCATTCACATCTTTGAATCATTAGAAGTTTGCTGGCACCACAAATTGGGATTTTTAAAAAAATGCCAAGGGAAACATATATCGGGTGATTATCTCATCTGTTTATATAAAATATTGAGATGTAGATGGGTTGAAATTCAAAGAACTTAGTAATTTTCTTGCTCTAGAATACAAAATTTTATCCAAGTGGCTGTTACTTTAATAAGTTATTCCATTTGCCCTGTAGTGTACTTCTAAGTGAGACCCCTTTAATCTTACCTTGGCAAGATTGGTCATGGTCATAAATCATTCAGCGTCTTGGTGTTGCCAAAGGTAGTCAAAAGGCACCACTTGTCCCTGGTCTAGCTCTTCCATTTATCTGGCTGGAGAGCATGGTTTTCTTTCTTTGCTTGTTTTTCTTTAAATACCCTTGTCAACACAGTGAAAGTACTGTTTCAAAGATGTGTGGGATTTTCTATGTTCAGGACATAATGAATGAGATCTCAAAATTGTTGTTTCCAAAGGAAACCCATGGAGACAAACACAGTCAGGTATACAAGAGGCTGTTCTTTACTGGCTCTAAATCCACTGACATAGGGTTCGTGCTGCATTACAGCACACAAGGACCAGCCACTCGGGCGGAGTCACGCAAGTGTTTTCTAATTGCAAGCTTGAAAGTTGTTCTTAGGGTATACATTTAGAAAAAAAGGGATATGATTTCCGTTGACAGCATTCTGAAGACTTGTTAATTTATGGGGTGTTGGAGCATTCTGCATACATCAAATGTGTGCTAATCCAGCCAAGTATACGGCTATGCTATAAAAGACATACAGTCCATGGCACAGTGAAAAAGAAGAAAGTACTTTGGAAGTCATGGCATATTCTTTTGTACTTCCCTTTGTTCCTTTCTTCTTTGGTTTCCTGAAAAGTCCTGCAGCCATGGAACCAAGGCCTAGAAAAGGAATGGAAAATCAGGCACAGAATTCTAATTCCAATTACAGCTGGAATTATTCTTTAAGAGCATAGGGTTTTTAGTGAAATAATGACTAGTATCATGAAATGTTTCAGGGCAAATGTGGGATACAAAGTAGAATTTCATCTTTACAAAGCATAGCATAGTGGTCAAGGGCACAGAGTCTGAAGCCAGGCTTCCTGGGTGTAACGGCCAGTCTTGTGCCTCCCTCACTGTGTGGCCTTCAGTAATTTATTTAGCCTCTCTGGGCCTCAATTTCCTGTGCTATAAAATAAGAATGGTAATAGTAGCTACCTCATTGGATTGTTGTGAAAATGAAAAGATTTAGTATATGCAGGTGCTTAGAACTGTGCCTGCAATATAGTAAGCACTACGTAATGTTTATTACAACTATATTGCATCAGTGTTACCTAATTTAACAAGGACATTTATACCCAAAGCATGCTCATACCAATCCAAGGAAAACCAGAATAATCATAACAATATAACAATATGTATTCTGTATTGCAATAATTGTATTTCATCATTCTGCATAATGTAGGTTAGATGATCGATCAATCATTTTTTTTTACTCACTGACAAACATTTATTAAGTGTTTTTGTTATCAGGTCTTGTAGTGGAATAAAAGGATGAATTAGACACAGATCCTAGCCTCAAGTACTCCCAGTCTCATAAAGGAGACTTGTGCAAACAGATCATTGAGAATTTTCCTTCTCTCCTACATAGAACATTATTTAACTCTCTTGTGACATTTGTAAGTTTTTTTTTAATAACAGAAGAGTTATTTTTGGAAGTTCTTAATGAAATAAGTGTGTATGATTATTGAGATGATTGGTGGTTTCAACAAGCATTTATTATAGTAACCCAGAAATAACTATTCTAACCACCTCAAGTTACATAGGATGTTAATTGTTGAAATAATAAAGGTTCCAGCCAGAAAAAAAAAAAATAGAACTATATCCAAGGTAGAGTGGTAGGAGAAGGATGGAGTTAAAAGAGGTATTTTCCAGGTGACCACAGGAGAAAGGCAGACATCCAAGGAAAGGATTATATAAAAAGAGATATTAGGGTAAATTTTGGGAATCACACATGGTTCGATATGGATGGAATGTAGGATAGATTACACTGCCAAGATCAACATCTTCTCAGGTAACTTGGGGTTTTTTCCCCTTGCATTAGCCCACCCCTTGCTGGCCTCTTGATTTTTTTTTCAGACTTACAGAAGCTGAGCATTTAATCTCCTTGGGTTGGTTCATCCCAGCTGGATATGTGTTGGTTATCAGTGTAGGCTGTGAGCGTACCCCCATGAATATAGTAATGAACAGGATCCCTTTTAAATGTCAGAGGAGCCTGCACCTCTTACCCCTGCCCTGGTGTATTCCATCTGAAATTGAGGTGTCCTTGGCAATTTCCCAGCCATTAATCCCAAACTTCTAGTGCCACCCCCTTTTTTTTTTTTATCCTCACCCGAGGACATTTTTCCATTTTTTGTTCAGGTAGAGTGGGAGGGAGAGAGAGGAACAGAGAGAGAGAGAGAGAAACATCGATGTGAAAGGGACACATCGAGTGGCCGCCACCCGCACAACCCAACCAGGGCCGGGGACAAACTGCAACCGAGGCACATGCCCTTAGCGGGAACCGAACCGGGGTCTCTCAGGACCGCAGGCCGACGCTCTAACCGCTGAGCCAAACCGGCCAGGGCTAGTGCCACCCCTTTTGATAAGATGCTATCTAAGGATAATTTTTAAAAATATTTGAATGATATATATCTTTTTTCTATCCTCACTCAACACTAAAGCAGTTGTGATTGCCAAGGACGCAGTGACAGAGTCTCCACGTGAACAAAAGACCCCAGCCCAAGTCACCTTCTCGGAGGTTAGATCTGGCCCCAGCCTCCTGCATCAAGTTTGGAGATTCACATGTTTAAAATTCTAGTCTTACTTGGTGCACGAATGGTGAGAGTTTGGGAATCCCACGCAAGACATGGACCTCATAACGGAGTGTCTGGGAGTTCAGTCTTTAGAGGCAGAATCAGGTTTGGCTCTTATCTTATCCTCGTATTAACTGAGTGATTTGGGATTAAACACTTTGAAAATCTGTTTTCATTGGGTAAAAAGGTGTTCATGATATGTATCTTGTGTTGTAAGGATTGAAGAAGTTTACGTATAAATATATACCTCTTAGCTCAGTGCCTTGCACAAAATCAATGTTCAGCGAAAGGACACCATGACAAAGCCAGTGGAGATTTGACCTCTAGCTGATGCCCCAAGCTTCTATTTTAATTCATAGCTACTCTTTATCTCAGATCAAGGCAGCTTTCTGACTCTTTGATATCTTGGGGGGTTGGCAGGGAGTTTTCTTCTTTCCTTTAGAAACATGGTTGCTTATACAACCAGCAGTGTTTGAGTAGGTGATTTATCTGGGTAACAACTCACTGAAGCTTGAACCCCCTTTCAAGCAGGCACCATCTTGTTTGGTACTTTGTATGGTCCTGCACAGGACAGAGAATCAGGTTTGCTGATGTTCCCATGAAAAGGCCCTTTCTGCATCCATCCACCCATCCAAGAAATTTGTTTTTTTGTGTGTTTTGTTTTGTTTTGTTTTGTTTTGTTTTGTTTTGTTTTGTTTTGTTTTGTTTTGTTGGCAGGCTTTCAAACAGGATAATCTCTCATGGTGCTTGCATGTGCTTGAGGTTACTCCACATGAAGTAATCTCCCAGGAGTATTCGTTATCTCGTAGAGCTCATTATGTCTGAAGGAGACACAGAAAGTGGACTCCTAGACAAGGCTTCCAGTTAATCCCTTATTGTCAAAAACACTTAAAATCTCTCTACTTCTTCCTTCTGTGATGTACATGAAAATTTCATATGGAAAACCAACAAATTAAACACATGATGTTACGTCTCCTGGGAACCATTCCTGGATAGGTGATTGGATAAGTAAATGAAAAGATCAGTGAAGTGATGTGTTCTAGGTACTATACAAAGTTCCGCAGATATGAAGTCAACAGGATGTGCCCCTTCCTTGAAGAAGTGTATGTGCTATTATCTAGTGGACGAGTGAGAGGAGTAAGTGAGCAGTTATATAGACTAGAGGAATCTGTGGGACAGTTGCAAGATCTAACGCAACTAGGGGGTTCTGCTATTCTTCTTGAGACAGTGATGCTAAAAGTAAGATTTTCTGGAGAGGGAGATTATTCTTCTCCCTAGATAAAAAAAAAAAAAAAAGTGGACCTAAGCTAAGGGAATAACTTGCACAATGTGGAGACAAGACACAAGAAGTATTTGGTGACTTCAGGTGGTTTGATGAGCATCAGCACAGAATGATTGAAGTAGTCACAGGTGATTACAGAGACATGCAATACCAGCAGTTTGTAACACCAATACCATGGTCACTTGGTGTTACAGAGTTAATGGAAAGTTTCCAAGCATACATTGTCAAACTCAAATAAGGTGAAGAACAAAAAAGTCAACTGAATTGAACATGAAGGTTATGGGGGCCAGCTCCATGCAGCAGTGGACATGGAGAAGGAGAAAGACTCAGAGCTATGGAGGGGGACAAAACTGAGACTCTTTTAAGACAAAGAAGGGAGGGAAAAATGGAAAGCTGTGGAAATATCACACTAGCTTTTTTAGTAACCAATTCATTGTTCCATAATCTTTTCTGTTAGGAAAACATTTTTATGTCCAACTTATTACCATTATAATTATTTTAAGATGGAAAGATTAATGTCAGTTTTTTTTTCTGCATACAATTAGTTTGATGAGTACCATGTTTATTATACAGATTTGGTTTATTTATTTTATAGTAACCATGGTAAAAATAATTGTGAAAGTGATTTCAATTCACTGATACTGGGATTATGTACAAGCACTTTTAAACAGTGTAACCAAAAGAGATTTCTGTTGCCATATGTTTTGATAACCCAAAGGAAAAATCTGATCCCCAGTGCCAGTAACATAAGAAGGCACTTGGACTCTCTCTGAATTGGGATTTTTAAATGTTTAGCTCTAAAGCTATTCCAATAAAACATTCTTCTAGAATGTTGGAGAGACTTCTATTATATCAAATAGATTTTCCATTTAGATGTGTGGTATGCTTATCCATCGGTTTAAGTTTTGTTATATTCTTCAATAACATCTTAAAGCTTTCTTTATGTAGGATTTTTATCTTTCTTGTTAAGTTTATTCTAAGAATTGTATAGTATTTTTCCCATAAAAAAGTGGAAATTCATTTACTTTTCTAACTTATTGCTGGGAAAAAGAAAACTATTTCAGAATATTGCACACTACCTGAACGTATCTTGTTATTGCAAATTATTTTCAGTCAAGTTTCTTGATCTTTCTATTGTACAAATAATATTTTCAAATAAAGATGTTTACCTTAAAACACACAACATCCTTTCTACCAAAGCAAGGAGGCAGGAAGACTCTAGTTCAAGGCAAATCTTATTTGGAATGCCCACTTTATGTGTTTGACATTTTAGCAGCAGCTGCTCTAACAGCAAAGCAGTGAGAACCTAAAATCTCTTTGGAAGAGAAGACTTACAAGGAAGCACAATCATTTAGGCAACATCTGGCATCAATTGCTTTATTAATTTTTCTTTATTTACCAGTCTTTTCTTGACAGCTGTGATACTTTTTTTTTTTTTTCCCAGAGCAGGAATCAGTAAAGCCCCGTCTTTTCACATCTGTGGTTCATTTTCCTCCTAGCAGAGACACAACTGGTTTAAAGGAAAGTTGCTTTATGTTCTGCTATATTTGCAATTCTTGTTTTGTTTCAGGGGCCTCCAGGACCAGGAGCAGAGGCAGGGAGTCAAGGCCATTTGGGAAGCCAAGGAAATAAAGTAGGTCACATTCTTTATTCCCAGCAAAGTTTTTTTCCTCGGGGGAAATGTATCTGGTTGTTATTAGCCAGAGCGCTTTCAACGGAAAGAACATATCCCAATGCCTCCACAGATTCTTAGAGAGCCAGCAATATCTAAGGACGTGGGTGTGGACCAGAATGAGGTCAGGGATTCCAGCTCAGTGTAATCTCACCAGGGGTCCCTCTCAATCTGAGCTGAATGATGTCAGGGAAGGGGGCCTCTTCTAGGGGCATGCTTTTCTCTCTACCTCCCTCCTTCCCTTTCTTTCTCCCTTCTTCTCTTCTCCATTCATACATACCTTTATTTTTCCATTGGGTTTTTTTACCTCCATTCATACAAACCCCTGTTGAACACCTTTTGAGGCAAAGGCACTGGACTGGCATTCTACTGGTCTAGGAAGTCAGCTCTGGGAGTGCAGAGAAATTTGTCTGCTTTGCTCACTGATGTGTCCCTAGTGCTTAGAACAGTGCCTGGCACATACTAAGCACTTAGTAAGTATTGGTTTATTGAAAGAGTTTCTGGGTTGTATAATGAGAAATATGACATGGAATCAACTCTACAGAATTTAGAATATTTTCAAGGCAATAATCTATGTTATAAAGTAGTCAGGAATACGGGACTGAAATGGAGGTTTAAACATAGTGTTAACAAAGTATTTCTGGCCTGGGAAAAGAGGTAACATAGAGGTTACAAACTTTGAATGGACCTTAGAAGATAAGAAGGATGTTGGCAAGCAGAGAGGGGGCATGGGAATTTCACGTGAAGAAGTAGGGTGAAGGGAAAGCACAGGGTTGGAAAATCCTGGGAACGGGTAGTTGGGAATGAACAATGATCCCATCTGGTGGGCACATAAATAATAAGAATGTCTGTGATGACTGACTTTATTAGGTAGCCTTACAGTGCTATTTACAATCTATGAATGGAGGCTATGAACACAGCCAGATTTTGGATGATTTTAAGTAGGCAATTCAGTGTAGAAATATTTTGAAGACGGGGAGATTAGAAGCTAGGAGACTAGTTGGTATGTTCACAGTTTCCAAGATAAGTGATGGTGGGTGACTTAGGGTGAGGACAGGATCAGCTCATGATGATTTTGTGGGACCCCTCAAGTAGGAAACTGAGTCAGAGAGAAGAGGGCTAGATGACTCATGGGCTTCCAACATGAGTGGTAATATCACAAAAGTAGGAAAGCCACAAGGAAGAGCAGGTATAACAGTGAAGCAACTCACTTGGTTTGGGGGATAGAGGAGAGGGTTTAGGGCTAGCTGGGGAAGCAGATTTCAGAGTCATCTAGACTTGTGGGGATGTCTATTTATAAGAAGGGGAAGAGAAGACAGACAATGAATTATTAGAACAGGAAAGAAACAGACAAGCATACTGGATGCTAAGAAGCGTTGAAGAGGAAGAGGTTAAGGGCATCAGCTGGCGCAAACTTTGCGAGCCACACTTTGGGATCCACTGCCCAGAAGAAAAGGCATCAGAGCAGGTTATCTGCTTCCCTGCCAGGGAACCCTCTTCTGTTTCAGCGCAGAGCTCAGTGCTGGTGGACATTAGTCCATTTGCACTTCTCACACTGTGTTACCTTTCTGTCCTTAGAATGAGTTCATCACTCCCACTCAGTGTGGGCCACAGCACTTCCACACAGTTTCTTCCAAAGACTTATGCAAAGGGCAGGGAGGAATGACTAGGCAATGGAACTTCACCAACACTGCCTCAGCCAGTTGATTAAGGTTACATCAGTAGTGATAGCCATGTTGACATGCTCTTGATGTGATGTGAATGGTACTTTCTTTACCTCTGTGGTCTTCATCCCCCAAACACATAAAATTCAATGTAATCATGAGGAAAAACATCAGAGAAACCCAAGTTGAAGGACATTCTACAAAATACCTGACCAGTATGCCTCAAAACCGTCAGGGTCGTCAAAATCAAGCAACATTTGATCTACTGTCACAGTCTAGAAGAGCCTGAGGAGATGATATAACATGATATATTGGAACATAAATAAAGAAGGTTATTTGGTAAAAACTAAGGAAAGCTGAATAAAGCATGGGCTTTTGTTAAAAATAATGAATCTAGTAATTTATTGTTGAGAAATGTGCTCTCCTGATACAACTAATGTAATGGTCAGTAGGAGCTTACAGGGACTCTAGATATTGCCTTCACATTTCTATAAGTCTAAAATCTAAAACTTGATAAACGATTTTTGTTTTCCTTTTTAAAGAAAAGGAGTTAACCTTCTTTGTAAACCTGTGCCAGCTTTCCCATAATTTTGAGATTGATTTAGATTCCACAGTGGACGTTCTAATAGACAGAAGTGAGAAACCATTGCCAGGGATGCTATGCTACTTTGGTTATACTGATGGGCACTTTGAATCTTAAAACTAGATGAATAATTCTGTTGTCTTCGCAGCAGCCAGATGATTTGCGTGGATCATCATGGAAAGCAGTTTTGTTAATTTTCTTAAATAGTCCAGAGCTTCCTCTTTGACTCGTGGTAAGACATTTCCAAGGGCGAGTTCATGGCACTAAGTGGCTAAGATGGCAACTTGCACTAAACAGCACAACAGACTCGAGGCTTTATTTACCACTGGCGGAGACCTCGGGCCCGGCAGCAGCAGTTCCTCTGGTATTGGCTCTAGCTCACTGTCCTGGCCACAGGCCCGTTGTCACTGTGTGATACACATGGATGCCGTTGAAGAGTGTTGTCTTGGGGCCATCACTTTTCATTTCATTTACAAAAACAACCTAAGAAGGACCCATTCTGTTGCTCTGTTTAACAGGGAGAACCTGGAGATCTGGGAGAAAAGGGAGCGATCGGCCTCCCCGGTCCTCGAGGCTTGCCGGTTTGTGTTCTGTCGTTACTTTTTATCTCACAAATCAAAAGAGTGTCCTTGCAATATTCAATGGATATCTGATGCGGTTCTCTGAAGAGAGTATTAAATATACTATCCCAATCTAGCCCTATAGCTTTCTAGAAATTGAGATGTTATCCTCATTTTGGATTAGCTCCTTGACCAGCTTTTCCAAGGTGGTCACTTCCCAGGTACCAAACATCCTGGCCAGGGTGCTCTTGAAGCCAAATGATCAAATGGACAGAACTTGTCTTCAGCATCCCTTCTTCCGTTCTTTCCTCCCTTGGGAATCCAGTCATCAGAAACCCAACTCATGCTTCCTCCAGCCCAGGCCTGATCACTAAGGCTTTCTGCAAGGGTCCAACAGTAGCCAGTGCCCAGGCATTTAGGTCTTATTTTTATCTAGCAAAGTGAAAGTGGCTTAGTGTTAAGGTATTAATATACAAGTGTACCTGGAAGAAAGAACACCATGACCTCCTTTTCTTGAGATGACTACATGCCTGAAATTTTCTCATTTGATTCTCATAACAACACCATGAGTGGGTGTTTATAGATACTGAGGGATAGCACTGTGTATGTTACTGCGATGTTTTAGTGCCACTGTCACCAAATGCCAGCGGCCTACCCCAGAGAATCCTGCTTCCTAATTTCCCCTAATTAAACCCAAAAGCTGGCTGTCTCATTCTCTTGTGAACAAGCCTGCTTCTGTTTGTAGTCTGGGATGTTTCTCATTAGTCGCTTTGTTTACAGGGTGGTGATGGCAACCCAGGTTATGGCAGCACCGGAAGTAAAGGAGCAAAGGTAAGACTCTGTCGACTGCGAGCAGGACATTTTCCATGTACTTTTCGTTGCAAAGAAAGTGAACAAGGCAGTGAACTTTTAGAGAGAGATTTTGATCATTTATTTGTTGATGTCCTGTGGAGACTGAGGGGGAAGAAAAAACAATTTGGTGGTTTAAAGTACAGACAACAATTGAAACTCGAAAGCTAGCATTCGGTCCTTGCAGAGATGTGTAGCCCAGGCCCGACTTGCATCAGCCGGAACAGTGTGCTGAATCTTAGCAACCCTGTGCTCAAGGCCTGAGGGAGGAATTCCAAACCGTGCCCTCGTCTTTTTCTGTTTATTTTCGCCAGTAGCAAGAGGTTTTACAGGGCCTGTACAAGTGCACTGGGCCAAGTAGTAACTCAAAAACTTTTAAACTACTCAGCAAGATGGTTTTATATTGTCACTGAGTATTAAGTGTCTGGAAGAAAGCTAGAAAAGTTTATCCAATGATTTATATATATTTATAGTAACCACTTAGAAATCATAATAACATCCACCAAAACAATAAAGTTAAGAATATCCTATGTGTAAAATGTTTGAGACCGGTGACAAAGACTTAGATATGAAACAGAAACTTCAGTAAATAGAGATACCAAGTTCATGTTGAAAAGTCTAAAACATTATAAAGAATCAGAGTAATTCCAAATGAAAGCCCAGTGGGAATTATACAGGAGGCAGTCAAGGAGAATAAACAAACAAAAAAAAGACTAAAATTTCTTTGGAGGGAAAAAAAACCATTGAATGAGTGATTTCTAGTGACATGTTCTTTACAGTAGAGAATAATTGAAAACAACCTAAACATCTCATAGACAGGAAATATTAAGTAGCCTACAGCATTGGAATATTAGCCACTTTTTATAATGAATGTATAGGAAGTTTATAATTATGTAAAGACATCATTATGTGACATATCAAGTTAAAAAGTCAGAATATAATCAGGAAAAAAAAACAGTTATCCTCATTGTGCTCAAATGCATCTTAAAAAGCTAAAAGAAAATAGAACTGTCCTGACTGGTTTTTCTCAGTGGTTAGAGCGTCGGCCTGTGGACCAAAGGATCTTGGGTTTGAATCCGGTCAAGGGCACATACGTGGGTTACAGGTTCAATTCCTAGCCCTGGTCAGGGTCCTGCAGGAGGCAACCAATAGATGTGTCTCTCTCACATTGATGTTTCTCTCTCTCTCTTCCTCCCTACCACTCTCCCACTCTTCCCCTCTCTCCCCCAGTCTCTAAAAAATCAATGGAAAAATATCCTCAGGTGAGGATTAACCAAAAAAAAAACAAAAAAAACAAAGGAAGGAAGGAAGGAAATCAAGTATTTATAATGGGTAATGGGATTCTGGATAATGACAATTGGGTGACTTTTCGTCTTTCTAGTCTTTTGTATTTTATAAGTTTGAGGAGATACTATATTTAATAATCAGAAAGTAAACTTTACTTTGAATAAAATGGGGATTCTCATACTTGGCTAACGTCTGTGGCTAAAGTAAGGTAAGGAGAGAACCAGAAAATGAAAGATCGAGTTTAGACTCGAGGCTTGACAATCTTCTCCATTGAAATCCATTTTAAGAAGACTGTTTCCGAGACACGTGGCCAAAGAAGCAGCTTTCCTATGATACGCTGACAGTAGAAGGAGAGCGGGTTTATCATTCCTCTGCAGTACATCTATCCACTCACCTTAGGTTGCCATGATATTATGGTGAAACCAGTAAATAGGTCCAACTAGAATTGAAGTCAGTTTCTCAAATAGTGCTCTACAGTTTTTTCAATCATTTTAGTCCTTCCTTGGTTCAGAGGCACTAAAACAAAATAAGGGAGCGGGTAAAATTAAAGTCAATATAAACCTACCTTGATGATATGTGCATATATTAATTTTCCGTATGGTCAATTATAGGGACAAGAAGGATTCCCTGGAGAAAGCGGACCTAAGGTACTGTGTGCTTCATACTAACGAGGATCAATCAGAAACACTTCTGAGTGATGAAATGCACCATGGGAGAATAGGACCATTCATTATCAATGAATTAAAAAATCTTTATGGGGGGGGGGGAGAAGGGAAGACAGCAGGCATTTTAAAAAATATATTAAAATAATTTTTAGTTTTTTAGTTCATAGGTAAAGGAAGACATTATCCTTACTTATTTTCCTCCGCACATGTGTTCCTCCTCCTCTGTCATATCTGTTTTCTTCTTTGTTCAAAGGAAAGTAAAATGTAAGGATTAGCACAATTTCCTGATCTCACCTGGCCCAATTTTCCCAATGTGTTTATAAATCACCTTCGGATAATAAGTTAGCCATGCTGCCCTCTACCGTAAGGCTTCCACATTGACTGAGCTCAGAAAGTGCCAGGTCCCTGGGATAGGATCAGGGACAAGATAAGGGACACAGTGCATGTCTCCAAAGAGGCTGGGTTCCGACTGGAGAGACGGAAGTAACAGTGAGCACGTGTGCTGCGCATAAAAATGGGGGGATGCCCCAAAGAAGACTGCTAAAGACAAAAATGTCTATAAAAATGTCATGTTGGAATTAGTTTCAAGACACGCTGAGTTATCTCTTTGATTTTAATAACTATTAATTTTATTTTTCTGAACTTATTCAGGGTGAGCCTGGGGACCCCGGCAGTCCAGGAGAAACCGGACCCAAGGGAGCTAGAGGCCAGACGGTAAGTTTCTTCCACGCTTACAACCTCGATACTTTGGGAAGCCCTCTTCGATGTTTTTCCAATAATTTAAGTGGTCGCTTGTTCCCAAAGATGTGTAAAATGCAGGTATTTTGTTGAGGCAAACGTGGGGAAAGGAATAGTGCTCATTTCTCCATGCTAGCAAGAAGGCGATGATGGTTTGCTTTTGGTGAGCCCGTTCACTTCTTCTGGCTGCCAAGGTACCATCCTGAATGCTGGAAATAAGGTTTGGGGTTGTGCTTTGTTTGTTTGTTTGTTTGTTTGTTTGTTTAAGGGATTCTAGTGGTCCGAAATGTTTTGCACTGCCAAAGTACGGTCAGTTTAATCACAGCTCCCTGGTAGGTTTAGTACATCCCAATGCCCGATGGCATCTCGTCTTCATTATGAAGGTTTTGTCAAACTGCTGACCCTCTTTATTGAGCTCAAGAGGGTATCTCTTGAGCTTTGCGAGAAAGTTTTTGTTTGTCATGTAACTGAAATGTATCTTTATTATTCCATGGAGGGGTTGAGATATTACCTAATGCCCTGGATCATTCAGACTGAACAGGAGTCTCCAGTACATCTCGTAGCCACCAGCCTCCTTGGGTCCCAGTGGCTCGAGAATGGAGTTTCGCATTTGCTGACTCTTCATGTACCTTAACTTAGTATGAGATAGTTGTTTTTAACAAAAGAAGAGCTTATGACTGTTGTCTCCAGATGCATTCTTTGCCTCTTTTGTTCAGAACTGCACAGCTCAGGTAAGCTGATCTTTACACCATGCCAAGCAGGAGAAGAAAAACATAAAATCTGACAGACCTTGAGACTTGACATGCTTTTCTAGTTTTTTTCATCAGGGTTCATTTTATTCTGGGAATTTTTTTTTTTTTTTGACAAAGTATAGCAAGAACTTGAGGGATTATTTATGTGAGTTTTAGAGGTGCAAAATAAAGAAACTGCTCTTTTCCTCCATCCTGCTTCTCCCGAGAGAACTGCTCCCCAGCTATAATTCTCGTCCTCATACATTTTTGGATGACTATCCTTTAACATTGTGCTCTTTATAAAAAATGAAGACCTATATAATTAGAAATATAATTGGAAAAAAATTTCAAATTAATCTAGATGTCATCTGCATTGAAGTGCTATCTCTGGATCCTCTTTCCCTCGGCTTGTTAATGAAGTCATCTACCCTCAAACATTGCAAACAGGTTCGGTAGCTGATTGGACTCCCTCCACCCAATGGTACATTAATCATTTTTAAAAATAACAAACTAGTGGAGGAATATGTAAACTTTTTCTCTTGGCCTTGGGTTCCCTGATTTTCTTCTTTTCCCACGTTGGGCAATTTATCACTGTTTGTAACTTGCTTATTTCATCTGCCAAACTGCTTTTTCATCTGCATTGTGAGCACTGCTGACTTTGAAGTTGAAGTTTAGATGCTGACAACTTCCAGGTTTTCCCTCTCAAAGAGTTGATGTTTCTATTGGAAGATTTTGGTAACGCTTTGCCTTAAATGTTGAATGCCTCTTGAGTTCTCTTGGAATGCTTACATATCTAGTTTAGGTTTTCTAAATCTTTACCTTGGCTTTTCTCCCCAAGGGGAGAACTTTATTTTTAATTTTCCATGATTTTTAACCTGTCTTATTTTGTGCATTCGTGCGTGTTGGTATGTATTTACATTTTGTGTTAACTTTACACATGCACATACTTTGAGGTAGGGTTTCCTAAATGCAGTAGTGACATTTTGGGCTGTAGAACTCTTTGTTGCGAGGGGCTGTCCTGTGCACGGTAGTATATTTGGCAATATCCTGGCCTCTATCCTCTAGGTGCCAGCAAGAACCACCACTGTCTCCCTCCTCCTTATGGGAGCTGGAAATGTCTCCAGACATTGAAACATGGCCCCTGCCAGGGAGGGTGGGAGTGCTTCAAAATTCTCTCCAGCTGAGAATGACTGGTGAGAGAATCAAGTAATTTCACAAGATTTGTTAGGAAAACAAGGGCAATGCCTCAGCCCCTATCTCTTGGCCTCTTATTTTTCAGATTGTCTTTTTGCTCTACTTTCTGGGAAATTTCTTTGACTTTATCTTACAGTGTTCTTCTCATATCTCTGGATATTCCTTTTTTATGCTATTCTGTTCTTGTTTCGTGGCTGAAATGTCTTACCTCTCTTTTTTTTCTTTATTGATTTTATTTTTTTCCCAATTTTTATTAATTTACTTTTGTTACAGATGTTTCTCCTTCCCCCCAGACACCCTCCTCCCGAGCTCCCCCCCTCCTAACAGCATTGTTGTCTATGTCCATTGGTTATGCATACATGCATATAAGTTCTTTAGTTTATTTCATCCCTCTTCTCCCCCCACCCTGCTCCCCTTCTCTGAGGTTTGTCAGTCTCAACCATAATCCTTTCTATGTCACTGGGTTTGTTTTGGTCATTAGCTTATTTTCTTCATTATGTTCCACAGATAAGTGAGATCATGTGGTATTTTTCTTCCTCTGATTGGCTTATTTCGCTTAGCATAATACTCTCCAGGTCCCTCCATATTGTCTCAAAGGATAAGAGATCTCTCTTTCTTACAGCTGCATAGTGTTCCATTGTGTATATGTACCACCACTTTTTTTATCCACTCTTCTTTATTGATTTTAGAGAGAGAGAAAGGGAGAAGGAGAAAAAGATAGAGACATTGATGAACAAGAACAACAATTGGCTACCTCCTGCATGCCCCTCACTGGGGATTAATCCCACAACTTGGGCATGTGCTCTGACCAGGAATTGAACTGGCAACCTCTTGGTACATGCATTAGTCAATGCTCAACCACTGAGCCACACCAGCCAGGCTCTCTTACCTCTCTTGAGGATATAAATTAGTATTTTTAAAGTCTTCTTTGCCCAAATAGTTTGTTTCCTGCAGTTTAGTTTTTTTTTCTGTTCTTCTGTATATTTCTCACATGTCTGGAGAATGGAGTATCTCTTCCTATTTAAGAATTGAGGTCAAAGAGGCTGATTGGCAGCCTCAAGGACTTGGGGCTAGTCATCCACAAGTTTCACTGAAGAGTGATCTGTCTGAGTTCTTAGCAAACCTCTGATACCATCATTTTAGGTCTTTCTTCTCTGTCTAGTCCGATTCTTCTGAGAAGATCCTGTTGCCTGCCTGAGGATGAAGGTCTGACTGCCAGCTTTCTAGGAACCACGTGGAAAAGGAGAGCTCAGGGGTCTCACATCTATCTCACATATCTCCATTTGATCTCTCTGTTCTCAGGGTAGAACCACTGGCCTTCAACTCTTCCTGGAGATTCCTAGTGTTGACATCTCAGTTTAATTTCTGTCTGGTGTTGGGGTGAAAGAAAGGACATTCACCCAGGTGTATAGAATGGGAAAGAGATTGGTGGATTCCTAAGGTGATTTTCACTGATCCTCATTTAGCCTCTCCCCTTTGTCTCTACTTCTACAAGTACCTGGTGCTGGCAATTCCTGAGCCTTTTGGGAATGTTATAAAACACATGAATTCTTGGCTTTCCCTGCTGCTGGCTTAGGATTCAGCTTTTTCAGATCTGCTAAGTTGCTTAATACTTAAACATCTGCTTTCCAGCCTCCACAGTTTTATGGCTATTATCTCCTTTCTCATTCTCCCTATGCTTGTCAGGGTTTTTTTCTTTTTTTGTTTTATTGCCTTTAAAAAAATCCACTTACTATTGTTGTAGTAAGTCATTAGGAGGACTCAAAATTAAATGCATATGCTCAATATACCATTTTCTCCTGGGAGGTTAATCTATATCTTCTAAATAAAAGGTGATTAGTAAGTGATTTTTCCCCCCACACACAACCCAGCATACTGTGAATACCATTAGAATACCCAAAGGACATCAATAATTATTTGCTGTTGCATGGACAATGCTTTTACAAATTAAGTTGATTTTAAACAACTTCATTTTTCATTCCTATAAAGTTTATTAATCCTGTGGCATTTTGAATGAACAAAGGAATACTGTTCTAATTTTTAAACTAAATTCTTACTTTTCTTATGATAAATTATATTGTTGAATGAACATGGAAAAATTCCTGGCATACAGTAAATGTCAACAACTGTTGTTTTTATTACTGCTGCCGTTCCCCATTTCATTGTAAGTCTTTCCAGTCAACTGTTCGATGTTTTCTTGTTGTTGCTTCAAGGACTTTTAAATTTAAATTTTTTGTTTTTCTGGGGGTTTTGTTCATTTGTTTCTCATTTTAGATACTGAATATATTAGATAAAAATTCATTCAGATAAAAATTTCTTCTTTAATCCATCAATTTCAATGCTAGCAATCTTTCAAAAAAAAAAAAAAATCAGAATTGCATGTGTAACTTTATAGAAGCATTACTTATTACCACAACAGCAAACAAGTGCCAATAGTAAGGGACTGATTAAATAAATCATGGTATATCCAGGTATTAGAATAATATGCAGCCAGTAAAAGTTATTTTGCAAAAGAATATTTAGTAACATGAAAATGTCCAAAGATAAATATTTAGTTTAAAAAGCAACAGGGAAAAAGTATAAAAATATATTAAGAAAAGGACATATACATTAATACCAAGAGAATAAATAAAAGACTAGAAGAAAAGACACCAAAATGTTAGCAAGCATTATTTGGGGGAGAAAGTCTTGCTGAGGGATTTTATTTCCTTCCATGTGCTTTTTGTACATTTCTTAATTTTCTAAAATGAAAGTGTATTGCCTTTGAAACTCAAAGTGCCCAAACCCACAAACACAAATATATGTATAAATATAATTTTTAAATAAATAAATTCTGCTTTAAGGTATCCACTGGGCTTCCAGGAGAACCAGGATCCCCTGGGGAGCTGGGACCTCCTGGACGCAAGGTAAGTTGAAAAGCCATAAATCACACCAGATCCTTTTCCAAATTAAAAGTCAATGCATGAGGTCTTCATTATCCAAATGTACATGCTTTCTGTCTCTGCAACTTGGCAACTATTTTCCACCTTTATGTGCTCAGAAAGAGAAAGTAAAAAATGCCGATTAAATATCAGTTGCTATTTCTTGGGAGGTGGGGGGATTGAGGGAGGAAATGAATAGTATTGAGACCAAAATGAGATTTTTCAATTATCAGTAAATTTTATTTATCTGTCCAATCCTTGTTCTCTTCTCACATTCAATAAATGATCAGCAAGTGAAGGAAGGTAAGAGGAAATTAATAAATAGTGAATAAATGATCAAAGTTGCATTCACATGGAACGTCCTTTCTTCAGGAATTTGGGTGGGCTCCATTGCATTTTTCTCTGAGTGTCTCTCTTAGCCAGACTCTTCCTGTTCCAAAGATGGAATTGGACACATGAAATTCAAACCAATTCCACTTTGTTCTTTCTATCCTCACCCAGACAGATATACATACATATGTATGTGTATTCATTTTTGGAAGATAATTGGGATTAACTTTCCAGATGTTCAGATTGAGTCTGTCCCAGTGATGGGAACAGATTAAGGTTCCGCTCAGCTGCTGCTCAGTGGCCAAGGCAAACATGGAATTAAGGACCTCTCAACTTCGGTCTTCAGGAGGGGCAGCCACACGAATGGGTCAGCCTTATCTAGTTCTAAGCCGTAGGCCTGCTCCAAGGCTTTTCATGCCAGGGTCAAGGGGTCAGCTCCATTCTTAGATTCTGGACAACCCTTATCCAGACATGGGGCTGGAGGAAAGTGGCCTTTGAACGTTTGTGTTCATCAAACTTGCTACTTCTAGGGTATTCCCCGTAGAATGTTATTGTTCATTAGGTGGTGGCTTCCCCGTAGAATGTTATTGTTCATTAGGTGGTGGCTGTCTACGTGTATTCTTTTTTCCCCTCTAACCTAATAAGGATAAAAGCTTTTTAAAAGTTTTCACTTTCGCCCTAGCCGGTTTGGCTCAGTGGTTAGAGCATCGGCCTGCGGTCTTGTGAGACCCGGGTTCGGTCCCCGCTAAGGGCATGTACCTCGGTTGCAGTTTGTCCCCGGCCCTGGTTGGGTTGTGTGGGTGGCAGCCACTCGATGTGTCCCTTTCACGTCGATGTTTCTCTCTCTCTCTCTCTCTCTCCCTCCCACTCTATCTGAACAAAATATCAAAAAAAAAAAAAAAATGTCCTCGGGTGAGGATAAAAAAAAAAAAAAAAAGTTTTCACTTTCTTGGGGTAATGTTGGTGCACATTCTGGCTACTGATGTGTGTGTCTGGAGCCGTGAAACCACATTTTGTTTGTTTGTTTCCCTAGGGTGTGAAAGGGGCCAAAGGATTGGCTTCATTTTCCGTATGTATCTCCTGACTCTAATGGAGTATTCTGTTTATTTTATGTTTAAACTTCAGGATCTGGCAGTTTGTTGGTTAATTCTTTCTGTTTTATTTTTTAACTGTAGGTATGTGAGCTCATTCAGTATGTGCGGGACCACAGTCGTAAGTACCCGGCTTAAAATGATCACCCAAGTTGTCAGCATTCATAGAAGAAAAGTAGCAATTTCTGCACTCAAAATTGAGACAATTTACCAGCCAATTTCTTAAAATTAGAGATGTCACTATACATATTTGGAGTCAGCATAGACTGGTAACTATTAACTAACTCCCTGTCTTGCTGCCAGCATGTCTAATGAAACCTGTGCCATGCACTAAGGAATAATATATCTAGTGCTTCTAGGGGAAATTGAGATATGAGGTCAAAACTCTCTTGATGCTGAAATCAATCAGTGGAAAATCACAGTGAACTCTTTAAAATGATTATTAACACCTGACCCTAACTGACAAGATTGAAGTCACCTGCTGTGAAAGAGCTAGCTGTGATAATAGGGTGTCCTGGTGGTTGAGCATCCAGATTTTGTTTTCTAGATTGGAAATATCTGGAAAGATGTCCATAATTACTTTTAGTTGGACTGACTGATTTACTTGTAAAATTACTCATTCTGCCAAAAATTTTTCCTTTCAAGGTTTTTAAAGCAAAAGGGCATTTTGATTTGGCAAGTGCTTACTCTTTTTAATTTGTTTTAAGACCCTATGACAGCTTGTTCTGTCAAAGTAGGTGTTACTGCCATCAAAGGAATTCCACGTACAAGGTCAGGAGAGTGTTGACTATTTAATGTTCATTTACAAATGCTCATTGACTTTCCAAATAAACACTATCACTGACAGGAAGAGTCAAAATTACCCTCAAGGCATTTGGAGGGAAGAAAAAGAGACAAATTGGAACTCATTTCTGTATCACTACTGAAATTGGTCTCAGAGACACAGACTTAAACACTTTGATCTTGACTCTTCCTTTGTGTAGCAGAATGGAACCATCTATGATGGGAATCAGTGCAGATATATAGGAGGTCATGAAGACTGGCTGTGTTGGGGCTAAGTTAGCACAGTAGGCTTTCTGACATGGGAGCCATGTGAACTGTAGTGACTCGAGGGTGGACCCAAGTATAATAAGGCCTCATCTTTTAAAATTTGAGGGGCTCAATACAAAATTACAAATCTGAAAGTGGATACACAACTATGTCAAAAAGTGTTCTTTGCGCCCTGGCCGGTTTAGCTCAGTGGTTAGAGCGTCGGCCTGCGGTCCTGAGAGACCCGGGTTCGGTTCCCGCTAAGGGCGCGTACCTCGGTTGCAGTTTGTCCCTGGCCCTGGTCGGTCGTGCGAGTGGCAGCCACTCGATGTGTTCCTTTCGCATCGATGTTTCTCTCTCTCTCTCTCTTCCTCTCTCTCCCTCCCACTCTATCTGAACAAAAAATGGAAAAATGTCCTCGGGTGAGGATAAAAAAAAAAGTGTTCTTTGGAACAAGAAAGAAAATCACAACCAATGATTTCTGCATATTATAGGAGCGTGTGTTCCTGTGAGCACATGGCCACGTGAGATCAAAGGCAGTGCCGTCCAGGACAATTTCTGCAACAAAGGAGACGTTCCGATGCACTGTCCAATATGGTAGCCACTGGTCAGGTGACTCTGCGTACTTGGAAAGCTGAATTGTTTATTTCCTTTCATTTTAATTAATTCAATTTCAAAATCAGATGTGGCTAATGGCTTCCATATTGGACAGTGCGGACCTAAAACTTGTTTCATTTTCTTCAGAGTAAATCTCTCTCTGATGCTTATACATACGTGTGTGTGTGTGTGTGTGTGTGTGTGTAATTGATAGCTGTAGAAGTCCACATGGGGAAAATTTAGAGCAAAGAGAGGATAGTACCTTTTAACTTTCCAAATTCCATGTGCTTCTCTGCAAAGTAATGTTCCCTCCCAGGCAAAAGTTCTTTTCCTCTGACAGCTGGTGGCAGGCTGCTGATTTGCGCCTGTCTATTGTCCCAGCTCTCCATTCCCATTCCCTGTGGAAGGAGCAGTGCTGGTACCAAGACGCTGGGATGCATCTGCGTTTTCTCCAAACCCTATCTGTTGCTTTGATTTTGAGGCACCTACAAAAAGCATACAGTGTAGAATCTCAGCTGCCCTGATTTTCCTACACAGTACGGAATTCTGTTCCCCTACCAGATGATAACCTAATCTTCTTTGTTCTTCTTCCTAGCTGGCGGACACGGTGAGTAATCTTTATTTACAGCGTATTATAATGAAGCCCCAAATGTCATACATCAGAAAAGGTGAGTTAGAATACTGTGTTGCCGGCCGAATGATATAAATTTTACCTGGGCTGTCTTGGCTGCCTCATACTGGTAGCACAGACCTGCCTCCAATAAATCACTGTTTTAGCTGAGTCTCACAATTTCTCAGCTAACTGGTTTGAATTTTTTTTTATTATTATTAATATTTTAATGACTAACATTCATTTATCTTATTGTTAGGGTTTTTTGTGGTTTTTTTGTAACAATACCCCCCTTGATTTTTTTTCTCTCTCTCTATTTTTCACGCTGTCTCTATAGTTTAGAGGATAGGAATTAAGTTGCAGAGGGGAAAATGTAGAAAATAAAAGTAGAGGTGCCCTGGCCGGTTTGGCTCAGCGGTTAGAGCGTCGGCCTGCGGTCCTGAGAGACCCGGGTTCAGTTCCCGCTAAGGGCGCGTACCTCGGTTGCAGTTTGTCCCCGGCCCTGGTTGGTCGTGCGGGTGGCAGCCACTCGATGTGTCCCTTCACATCGATGTTTCTCTCTCTCTCTCTGTTCCTCTCTCTCCCTCCCACTCTACCTGAACAAAAAATGGGAAAATATCCTTGGGTGAGGATAAAAAAAAATAAAAAAATAAAAGTAGAGGTGATCGCCCTGGCCAGTTTGGCTCAGCAGTTAGAGCATTGGCCCATGGGCCAGAGAGTCCCGGGTTCGGTTCCTGCTAAGGGCAGTTTGTCCCCGGCCCTGGTTGGGGTCGTGTGGGTGGCGACCAGTCGATGTGTCTCTCTCACATCGATGTTTCTCTCCCTCCCGCTTTATCTGAAGATAAATGCAAAAAATGTCCTTGGGTGAGGATTTAAAAAAAAGGTAGAGGTGATCAGACAGCAAGTAAGCCAAATGTGCAGTTCAGACAATGCTCAGATCCATGGAGTTCATGCCTGATGGTAATTACTAAGTTCGCTGATTATCTTTCAATGCTGATTTTTGTCTTTTACAAATGCCTGTTACATACTTTTGTGTAAACCCATCATCCCCTTACACCTTCACACCCTTATACCTTTTATGTAAATCCACCAATTCATGCCCTCTGATTGCTTGTTCACTCATTTAGCAAATATTTATTGAAAACCTGTTCTGTGCCAGTCTGTCCAGGAGTAGGGACACAGGGTGAATAAGATGAAGGTGATTCCTGTCTTTAGAAGTTTCCATTCCAGTATGGGATCCAGATAATAAATAGAACAAATTACAGATCCCTGCAGTTGTTGTGAAAAAGGTAAAGAAGAGGATGCTCGCCTGGCCAGTGTGGCTCCGTGGTTGGGTCGACGCACGCACCAAGATGTCGCCGGTTTGATTCCCGGTCAGGGCACATGCCCAGGTTGTGGGCCCGATCCCTAGTGAGGGTGTGTAGGAGGCGGCCAGTTGATGTTCTCTCTCATTGATGTTTCTCTCCCTCCCTCTCCCTTCCTCTCTCTCTCAAATCAATACAGAAAAAATATTACTTAAAAAAAAAGGAAGAGGATGCTGTGTCACAGAATAATGTTAGGGGAGGGGAGAAACCCTTACAGATGGCGTGCTCCTCTTTGAGGCAGTGGCATTGAAGTCTGGACTGAAGAATCCAAACACGCCGGCTCTGGAAGAGCCAGGCAGAGAGGAGTGCGAGTGCAAAGGCCATGAGCCAAGATAGACCGAGGCTTTGTCTAGGAACTGAGGGAAGCCCCTCAGGACTGAGACACATGAGGGAGGGGACATTGGCATTTGAAAGAACGAGGGAAGCCAAGGCCAGGTCAAGCTGAGCTTCATAGGTTACAACAAGGCAGCTGGATTGTATTTGAATTGTGATGGAAGCGTATTAATGAGTTTATTGAAAGTATGAAGGGAGGAGCATGAGCTGATGAACAATTTTTTGAATCTTATTTGGGCCACTATGGGATACGTGTCAAAGCCAGCAGACTAGTTAGGCTTTTGTGGTATTTCAGGCAAAGATGATGGTGGTCTGGACAAGGGTCATCAATGTTATGTGTTAGTTGCATGACCTTGCTTTGGTTTGCCACCTCTCTCCTCATCATCACCTGCTCAGTGCCAAGCAGCAATCCTCGGTATACAGTGCGTGGCCACAGAGCCACGCGGGTCTCGATATGGCCACCCATGCCTTGAGGAGGGCATCCTCAATGCCACCACAATCCAGCCCAGCATTCTCCAGGGTCTGCGGGTTCCTGGTAGCTTACTGAATTTCAGAGGATACATTTGGCAAGTTGAATTAGCCATTTGGTGTTTTTCTGAGAAACTCTAATTTGTTTATGTCTTCAGCGAGCGCTGTGAATCTTTTATCTCTTTATGTCAGTGACGTCTGAGGCCATGTTGTGGTCTTTCCCATATGGAAGGAACAGCCCAAACACAGAGCTGGTGGAACCACTTTTGTGTTTGGTCATAATTCTACTCATTTTTTTTTTTAACTGTAAAATGGACATGACCTTAATTGTTAAAAATCTGCTAAGCCCAATAAGTATCTGTTGAATGGGAGACTCAGAAGCTACTACATTCTGTCCTGTCTCTATTGAGATGCAGTTTAATTTGGGATGAATGTTTATATTTGCTGGTCCTTTTGCTTGTCAAGATCATGAAGTTGGGGAGCAGAAAGAGATAATAATCTGGCACTAATGGGGGTGAGACCCAGCTGGACATGGCAGAGAGACTCCCTCCTTAGCCAGCCTGGGCTTGACCCAGCAGGTCTGAATTCCTGAGCTCTGCATGAAGAACTGTGGGCCGCATGTGTTGATTGTCTCTGCATCGGACTTGCTGGCATTTGAAGGAAAGGAGACATCCCTCCAGGAGAAGCACATCATTGAGATTTCCAGGCATCCGCCCCGTTATTAAAGTGTTGTTCTTCTTTCTGTAACTGTTGCAAAGAACTGTTCTTTGGTTCTTTTTTTATTCGGTTAACATTTATTAGATCCCTGATATATGGCAGGGGCTAATAACTTGGCAGATCAAAAGAGACACAATCCCCGTCTCCACACTTCCTAAATTAGTAGGAGAGGCAAACATTAATCACATCATCAGACAAGTAGAAATTGCCAACTGTGACAAGTACAGGGAACTGGGATTAAAATGAATGAATTGGGATCATTGAGTAAATCCAAAGGCAATGCTTCATGTGAATTTAATAATTATAATTCCAAGTTTCTCTAAGTAGGAAGACATTTATTGATTAAACTTGCATTTTAGCTGTTACATAGAAAAATCAGTTAAAGTTTGTCTTTTGCATGATGGAGTTCTCTCTCTCAGTGAAAAAGTCTGTAATAACAATTGTAATAGTAATGGCTAACATTAATTGAGCACCTACTAGGTGCCAGGCACTGTTATCCTAAGTGTTTTACCTGTGTTGATTCATTTAATCCTCAACACAGACCTGTGCAATGGGTAATAGTAGGACTGACATTTCACAGATGAGCAAACTGAAGCATAGAGAGGGTAAGTCCTTGGACCAGGTCACATGGCCAGTAAGTAGTTGCGCCAGGGCTCTACCCACTTCCCTGTAGTGCCTGCTGTCTGCATCTCATAGTCTGTTCTGCATAGTGTATGTCAGTTCTCTTCTGAACTTTCTGAAATTATCAGCAGAGCTATCACACCCATTCCTTTTTGTCCGATTGCATTTCCTCATTAGGTAACAAAAAAAAAAAAAATACTTTTTAGTTTATTTAACTGAGTGAAATTCCAGCAATACACATGATGCCGTTGATCCAGGCTCTGTGGGTAAAAAGGAAGGGCATATCCATGAGCTCTTTATCATTTGGAAGGAATTTGGTAATCCACTTGCAAATGTCATTAAAACTCAAATAGACTTTCCCTTGTGCTTTATTAAAAGAGCAAATTCAGATTTTTAGAGTAGCATTTTGAAATATTCAAGATTTAAATATTTAACATTTTAAATGTTTAAATTATTACTATTTATTTAATGTTTAAACATTTGAATAGTTAACATTTAAAATTACTTTGTCTTGTATGTGTCTTTTTTTTTAATGCTACATGATCTGGGCCATGTTCTCGCCTCTTAGGAAAACCCAAGTGCCCCGTGCATCCAACCCAGTTGGTGTTCGCCATAGACCAGTCTCAGGATGTGACAGAGCAGGAATTTAAGCAGATGAAGCAGGTGATGTCCTCCGTGCTGAGCAGCATCCAGGTCCGGGAGAACAGCTGCCCCATGGGAGCGCGCATTGCTGTGGTCTCCTACAGCTCCCACGCCAGGCACCTCATCCGCTTCTCAGACGCCTACAGTAAGAACAGACTCCTCAGGGAAATCGAAGCCATTCCTTACACGAGGTCCTCGGATGGCAGGGAGATCGGCAGAGCCATGAGGTTTATTTCCAGGAACGTCTTCAAGCGCACCCTTCCAGGGGCTCACACAAGAAGAATCGCCACATTTTTCAGCAGCGGGCAATCTGCTGATGCCCACTCCATTGCCACGGCCACCATGGAATTCAGTGCCCTTGACATCATTCCGGTCGTGATCGCTTTCAGCAACGTGCCCGCCATCAAGCGTGCATTTACGGTAAGAGGGTTTAGCCTTTTGTTGACCTTTTATTTGGGGGGCGGGATACTATATTCAGAAGCCTGTATAAGATAGAATTACACTATTTAGTACTGTTACCAGGAACATGCTAAACCCTTTATATGCATTATCTTGTTTAGTTCTAAAATGTACTGTGTATGACACAGGTGTAGTTGTTATTCCCATTATATCATGAGAAAACAGTCTAGAGAAGTTAACCTGTGTGCCCAGAGTCACACAGCTAAGAAGTAGCAATGGCAGCACTTGAACTCAGGTTTGCTACTCTAGTGCTTCTGCAAGGGACTCTCTGAGTTGCCCTTGGGTGTAAAGATACTCAATCAGAAGGGCCAATAAACATTCTTGGATGATACTTTATAGCCAGAGTAAGTAATCATTACCCTATGCTGAAAACCAATTGACTGATTTTATAGCTTCACCAATCATGTAACAAATGTTATACAGGAAAAACTATTCTAGTTATAGCTTCTCAGGTTGAGGATTAAATTTTGTGTAGCATTCCTAAATAAACCTGGGATCAAGATGACCTTTTAAAAAAAAAAAGTGGTATAACTGACAGATAACATTATATTAGTTTCAAGTGTACAACATAATCATTCAATATTTGTATATATTACAAAATGGTCACCATAAAAAGTCTAGTTAACATCTGTCACCGTACATAGTTGCAAAACTTGTTTTTTCTTGTGATGAGAACTTTTAAGATTTACTGTCTTGGCAACTTTCAAATGTGTAATATAGAATTAACTATTATCATGCTATACATGATGTATTTATTTTAAAACTGGAAATTTGTACCTTTTGACGCCCTTCACCATGCCCCACCCCACATCTCTGGCACCTCTGGCAACTATCAGTCTGTTCTCTGTATGAGTTCGGGTTTTGATTTTGTTTTTAGATTCCACACATAAGTGAGATCATATGGCATTTGTCTTACTCTGTCTGATTTGTTTCACTCCAAATAATTCCCTCCAGTTCTATCTATGGTGACACAAATGGCAAAATTGTATTCATTTTTTATGGCTGAATAACATTTCATTGTGAGTTTGTGTGTATACATATATAGATATATAGATAGATGTCTATATAGACATCCATAGAGATAGATATCTATAGAGATAGATGGATGGATGGATAGATAGATAGATAGATAGATAGATAGATAGATAGATAGATAGATAGATAGATATGACATCTTCTTTATCCATCTATCCATTGGTGGACACAAGTTGTTTCCATGGCTTTGTTATTGTAAATAATGCTGCAATGAACATGAAGGTGCGTAGATCTTTCTGAGTGGGTTTTTTTTGATGTTGTTGTTTGTTTGTTTGCTTGCTTGATTTTTGGATAAATACCCAGAAGTGGAATTGTTGGATCATATGGTAGTTCTATTTTTAGTTTTTGGAGGAACCTCCATGCTGTTTTTCATAGTGGCTGAACCAATTTACATTTCCACCAAGAGTGCACAAGGGTTCCCTTTTCTCCATATCCTCACCAGTACTGTTACTTCTTGTCTTTTTCATGATAACCATTCTAACCTTTAAACACCCTGCCTACAGTGGCTCAGTGGCAGGGATCCCTCATAAAAGACCTGCTGGACCCAACTAAACCTCCTTCCAGTCACCTGCATTGGCCCAACATGGTGTTTTGTTCTGCACCCATGTGGAAACCATGAAGAGGGGCCCCACACATCAGTAAAAGGGTCTTGGAAGATGCAACCAGAACAAAAGACCAAGCATTTGAAAATTATTTCATTTAGAGGAAGGAAAGTAAAAAGCAACTGAATCACTGTCTTCAATATGTAAAAAATTATTCCTGCAGAAAATTAGCCAGCTGAACTCCAAACTTAGCAAAATTTCATATTAGAGAAACTGGGATTAATAGCAATAGGGAATTTCAGGTTAGAGTTAAGGACGAGTTTTCTGAAGCCAAGATTCATTTGCTATTGGCATGGACTAAATGGCCAAATGCAGGTGGTCTAGACATCACCTTTTCTGAAGGCCTTTTATAGGGGCAGTCATTCATCTGTCAGTGACTTCTGTCTGTCTTTCCTGGAGACTGGAGACAAGGATTAAGTGGGCTTTTGACCTTTCCAGCTTCATAATTTTCTGTGCAGATGTTCAAATAAGCAGAACTGAGTTAAAATAGAGCACTTGTCTGTAAAACAGAGAAAGAAGTGCCTGTTCCCTAGAGTTGCTGTGACGACGAAAGAATGCAATGCTGTGCATCGGAGCTTGGTACATAGTCAGCACTCAAGAAGGTAGCTTTTGCCTTCATTGTTATCATTCGCTGGCTTGATACTGAACTAACATCTGTTGAACAGGATTGAAGTCTAGGTTGTAGAGGCACTGAAACTGCTATTAGCATCACTGAACTAACTCAGAATTATGCAAATGAACAGGCTGATAATATCAGTCTCAGAAAAGAAAGTGCACATAAATTAGAAAAAGATGGGCCAGGTGGTGCAAACGAAGCTGCTGTGAGATGCAGGAGCTCCAAGTTCTGGAAGTGGATTTGCTTACTCGGAATCCTAATCATTCCCTCTGTTTATTGAGAGTCCCTATTGCGCCTTGGCTCTATTTAGTCACAAAACAAGAGATAACTTAATATCCCAATGCAAATAAATAATTGAGGGTACTTGGAATATAAACTTAAACTGACACAGTTCCACTGCTCACTCAAAGGTATATGCACAGCATATGACTTAAGAAAATGCATTGTGTTGGTTTCTTTTAAACCCTTTGCACGTTAACAATGTCAAAAATTCTACTCAAATCACCTAGAGATTCTTTGCTCCCTTCTTTTTTTTTTAGATGAGATTATTTTTTAATCTGAGTCTTTACTTCAAAGTAAGAATTAAATGTATTACATTTCAATGTATTCCATTTGTTTGTCCACATGACAATACACTAGAGACTCAGAACATAGTACAGCGGAAAAAAACATGGACTTCAGAGACAGACTGTGCTTATTTCCCTTTCTTCTACTTCCTGAGATGTTTGGGCAAATTACTTAACCTCTCTGAACCTCAGTTTACTCATCTATAAAATGGAATAATAAAGATTTGCAGGACTATGCAGAGGATTTTATTTTTTTATTAATTATTTATTTTTGTTACAGATGTTTCTCCTTTTTCCCCCTCTGATTCCCCCCTCCCCATCCCTCCCCGCTCTGTCCCCAACTTTGTTGTCCATGTCCATTGTTCATGCATACATGCATATAAGTTCTGTGGTTTATCTCTCCCCCACCATCCCCCTTCTGGGGATTGTCAGTCTGTACCCCACTTCCACGTCTCTGGGACTACCCCATTCCTCAGACTGTTATGTTCATTATATTCCACAAATAAGTGAGATCATATGATACTTGTCTTTCTCTGTTTGGCTTCTTTCACTTAGGATAATAGTTTCCAGGTCCCTCCATATCATCTCAAAGGATAAGAGATCTTTCTTTCTAACTGCTGCATAGTACTCCATTGTGTATATGTACCACTGCTTTTTGATCCATTCGTCTACTGATGGACACTTGGGCTGTTTCCAGATCTTAGCTATTGTAAATAGTGCTGCTATGAACATGGGGGTACATATATTCTTCCTGATTGGTGTTTCAGGCTTCTTAGGGTATATTCCTAGAAGTGGGATCACTGGGTCAAATGGAAGTTCAATTTTTAATTTTTTGAGGTAACACCATATTGTTTTCCATAGTGCCTGCACCAGTCTGCATTCCCACCAGCAGTGTATTAGAGTCCCCTTTTCTCCACACCCTTGCCAACACTTGTTGTTTGATGATTTGTTGATGGCAGCCATTCTGATATGTGTGAGGTGATACCTCATTGTGTTTTAATTTGCATCTCTCTATGATTAGTGATGTTGAGCATTTCTTCATATGTCTCTTGGCCATTTGTATGTCCTGTTTGGAGAAGTGTCCATTTAGTTCCTCTGCCCATTTTTTAATTGGGTTCTTTGTTTTCCTTTTGTTGAGTTGTATGAGCATTCTATATATATTGGAAATTAACCCCTTATCTGATATATCATTGGCAATTATGCTCTCCCATACAGTGGGTTGCCTTTCTATTTTGATGATTGTATCTTTTGCTGTGCAGAAGCTTTTGAGTTTGATGTAGTCCCATGTGTTCATTTTTTCCTTTGTTTCTGTTGCTTTAGGTGATGTATCAGTGAAAATTCTGCTGCATATGATGTCTGAAATTTTGTTGCCTACAGTTTCTTCTAGGATTTTTATGGATTCATGAGTCACATTTAAGTCTTTTATCCATTTTGAGTTTATTCTTGTGTATGGTGTAATTTGCTCCCTTCTTGAAGGAGTTCATCTCAAAAGGGCACCAATGAAGGTTCAAATTATTGATAAAGACTCTCATAAACCTGAGCAGACTTGGCTCCAAACAGCCCTTGAACAGAAGAAGAGAGAGAAAGATGCAGAGATAAATCAGAGTTTGTCCCCAGGTTCATTCACCCAGCAAATGTTTGTGATTTCCTCATACACACCAGGCGCTGTCTTAGTCTCTGGGGATACAACAGTAAAGTAGAAAACCAAGAGCCCCAGCCTCATGGAGGACAGAACTAAGCAGGGTTGTCCAGGAGGGCTAAAATCAGGCATATATTCAAGTTGTTGAGAACCCAACACCTGACATTTCAGAAGAGAAATTATGTTACTACTTCTCCATTTGCTTTCTTTTTCTTTCTTCTGCTATTCCTTCTCTTCAGTTGTGCTTACCTGCACTTAAACTGTGTTTTATTATTTTATGAATAGAACTCAAAAATTTCATGGCAATGAATTTTTAGTTGGGGACAATATTTTAACATCTGAGTCTATTCAATAATATAATGACTTTTCTAAGTCTCGGCTGATCTGAGAGTTCAGTGGTCTGGTGTGGGATCTGGAGCCTGTGCAGACATATGTGGCAAGACTCAGAAGCAGCTGCTCGGACAGCATGGTCTGATTTCCTTCTGTTCTTTAGCAAATGGAGTTACGGTCACCACCTTGGAAATCGTTCGTGCTCATACGAAGCTGAGTGACCTTCTGAAATAGAAAGCCATTTTTGACTGGAAAAACTTCAGTCTCAGCTTTGTTTTGACCTTCTGAAATAGAAAGCCATTTTTGACTGGGAAAACTTCAGTCTCAGCTTTGTTTTGTCACTAGGGTTTTCCTTCTAAATTTTCTTGGCAATGATCTCTTCTGGTGAAATTATACGTGTTGTACATTAAGAATTCTAATATTGAATGGGTCTCCCTTTCTAATATACTTATAAGAAATGTCTCTTTTTTAGCTAGCCTAATTTTTTTTTCTTTGCTCTGCCATATAGTATTGTAGAGGAGAGAAAAATTAAGAGTAATAGTTGACATTATAGATTGTTCTTGTGATTGAAGACAGAGATGAAATGAGTGTGGTAGGATTTTTAATGGGAAATTAGCACAGCACCCAACCTTTCATTTTAAAAGGATTTCCTTTGTTAATATAGAATTACCTAAAGAAAGAATACTATACATACTATTAATTGTATTTTTTTCTTGTACGCACCAATTTATGGAGTCCCTAATGTTTAGAAATGAAAGAACCCAGTGTCATCCAGAACCATTTGCTGAATGCTTCATTCTGTCCTTTGGACTTTATAGCTGTACTTTCATCCAAGGTGGAACTTCTTTGAAGTCACAGAAAAGCGAGAAGAAAAGTGGACACCTTTCTTTTAAATAATTTAAAACAGAATCCTTTTGAATAGGACTCTTTTAAATTCCCAACCCACCTTTAGTTGAAGGAATTTTCTGTAATATATGCTAACCATAGTTGCTCCAGTGACATGTGGCAGGATGAGTGATCTCTAACACCACACTTGGCCAGCTTTATGGATGAGGAGACACCTGGGAGCAGGGAGGGCAGGCAGAGCACACTCCCCGGGAATCTCCCAGTAAAGCAATGCACTAAAAAGGATGTTTTAGGTTGCCATCAACGTGTTGATACACGCTTAAATATGAAGGCCAAATTATCAACCTATTAAAAGCCATTGACGTCCTGATCAGTTTGACTCAGCGGTTAGAGCCTCAGACCGAAGGATGGTGGGTTCAATTCCAGTCAAGGGCACACACCTGGGTTGCAGGTTCGATCCCCAGCCCCTGTTGGGGTCTTGGGGGAGGCAACTAATCCATGTGTCTTTCTCACATTTATGTTTCTCTCTCTTTTCCCTCCCTCCTTTCCACTCTATCTAAAAATCAATGGAAAAATATCCTTGGGCGAAAATTAACAGAAAAAAAAGAAAAAAGCCATTGACAATACAGACTAATTGTTTCTGCTGGTGTATTAGTCAAGACTTTATTTATAGATCACCAAAACCAATTTAAGCTAGCTTAAGTACACACAGTTACGTATCCCAAGTAGAATTTACTATAAGGGTCCAGATATAACCCAGATGTCCTCTGCCTCTGAGTCAGGTAAGCAGCCTCTGTTTTCACCCTGTGCTCACCTGGACCACACAATTCAGCATTTCTTCAAAGGATTCATTTGCGCAAAGAATCAGTGAGCAATGCAGATTTTTATTTTATTTTAATATCTTTTTATTGACTTTTTTTTTTTTTTTTTTTTTTTTGAGAGAGAGGATAGGAGAGGGAGAGAGAGATAGAAACATCAATGAGAGAGAAACATTGATTGACTGCCTCCAGCATGCCCCCTACTGGAGATGGAGCCTGCAACGCAGGCATATGCCCTGACCAGGAGTCAAACTGGTGCCTCTGTGGTGCGCAGGATGACCCTCAACCAACTGAGCCACACCAGCTGGGCAGCAATGCTGATTTTTCAGAAGAGTCGCAAGGGCAGGTACCATTGTGCAGAGCACTGCGTTCCACTACAAAAGCTGCCCATCTATGTCAGCACCACCTGGTCCCTTCTCCACTGCCCCGCATCACAGGGTCTTTTCTCCCTTCCTCTTCTCTCATTCCACACAGTGCTCACCATTTCTACTTTGACTCCTCTCTCGCTGTCTTTCCAGGGCACTATGCATTCCTTTCTCTACATATGTGTGCATAGAAATTTAGCTAGAAGCTTCAGTTACCACATATTCCCTCTCAGTCTCCCCCTCTCACCCAAACGACTTATAAAGGCAAACACGGTGGTCTCAGAGGAATTCTGTGAGCACAGATTTCTCCATCTCTCATACGCCAAGTGAAAGACGGACAGAAAAGGAGATAAGCCTCTGGGAAAGCCCCGTCCCTATGCCTCTCCCCATTTCCCTTGCTCCTCAGCCCACAGATCAAAGACGGCCACCCACAGCTCTGTTGGTGTCCACGAGCATGGATACACTCACTGCCCTCAGGACCCCAGGTCCAAATTCCTAGAGAATGGATCCGATTGGCTCAGGTGTCCATCCTGGTGCAACCGATCCACTTAGAGAGATGGAGTTACCTCATGTAAGCACGGCTGTCAGAGTCCTCCGACCGTGGATAAAGAATGAGAAGGAAATTCCCCTGTGAAAGAGGGAAGGAAGCCAGTAGTATTCATAGGGGAAACCAAAGGCCAACTGTCCCATCTCTTAGGCATTAGATAGGATCACACCTGCAGTTTCCTTCAACTATCAGTAATCTCTGAGTGAGTTAACCGGTAAGTGAATTATTCTCCATTATGTAGAGCCTCCTCATCTTCTCCTTGCTTTCCAGCCTCAACCTCCCCAGCAGGTTACTAACATTAGGGGCCAAATTGGGAAGGGTTGGGAGTTTCTCAGAGGAGAGCTGCCTAGACATGGACCTGGGTCTGCACTGCAAAGCTAGCTTCAATGCCTGGTTCATAGTGGGCACTCAAAGATAACTGTAAAGTGTGTCCTGTAATTTCACTTGGCTCTCTGAGATTGTGTCAGGGCAGAGGGTTGGGGAGGGGGGTGTCTCTGATTCTCCTCTTTAAATGGCTTCTGTAGCCAGTGTCTTCCTTTGATCAGTCCTTTTGTTAGAGAAATCAAGGGGTTCACTGCTTGGGGTGTTCAATTCAAGAACAAGAAGTGGTTGTGGTTGTCCTTAGGTAGTTTTATTTGCTTTCACCAAGTGAAAGAGATGGGATTCACAGCCAAACTTCACCTCCCCCAAGGGAGGCTTAGCCATTGCTTAGATCCACTATTTGGTTAATTACACATTGATTTCTTCTCTACAGTTGGCTACACTTATCCAGCTGGGTTCCAGTCCAGCTCCTGCTGTCTCAGCTGCCTCTACACTACATTTTAACATTTAGCAAGGATAGCATTTCGTAAGAATGGCCCAGACCTTGAGACCCTTGTCCTAACACTTGAAACTTTCTTTGCGCTTCATTTTCTTGGTCTGTAAAGTGGAGATGATGAACATGAGAAAAAACTCACTGGGTTGTTGAGATAATGGATCGGAAAGTGCTTTGTGGTCTCTCATGACCCAGTGGCACCCACCCTGTGCCAGTTAAGTGCTTTCCAATTATGAATCATTCAGTAGCCCTGTCAGCTAGCAGTAGGATTATTCCAGTTTACATGGGAGGAAACAGAGGCAAAGGAACGTGTCATACAGCAAAAGGGAGCTTCAGGGCTCACACCCTGCGGTGATGCATCTCCCGGGACCTTCTTAGAAGCAGCAGCAGCAGCAGCAGCAGCAGCAGCAACAACGTTGCTCTCTCCACATCAGTTCTCGGAACAATCCTGGGAAGTTCTCGCAGCCCCACCCACTAAGCTGTTCTTTCTCTCACTTCTGCTTCTTGCAGATCGATGACACTGGCACATTCCAAGTAGTAATGGTTCCATCCGGGGCTGACTCCACGCCAGCACTGGAGAGACTACAGAGATGCACGTTCTGCTATGGTAAGACCCACAGAGAGAACATAATGTGATCAGGCTTGTTAAGCACATTGAGTCACCCTTGGCAGGAGTGGCAGCAAGGACACATGTGGTCTTGGGAGAATTTCCCTGGGGATCTGGGTTCGCCTCTTCACACCACATCGCCCACAGATGGAGCCTTTCAGCTTGGAGGAGGCTCCTCCTAGGTATCACAGCAGGAGGCTTACATTTCAGGCCCCTCTGCTTCTTGCGGCTTCCAAGAACCAGTGATGGTTTTTAGACAAACGTAGTCTCTCTCACTGCCGACTTTTTTTTTTCATGTATGAAGTAGATTTATGTGTTTTCTAAATCGCAAGTATTCACACCCCCAAAGAAATGTTTCACAGTACAAGTGGAAATTAGCAGAAATTCATGCATTTGTCATGGGAAAAGGTGCTTCATGGACTCCCAAATGTGGAGCATTAAGATTTGCAGTGCTGGTTCACGTGTTGTTTTACACCGTCTGCGGGTCTAGCTGGAGAACTGGCGACCTGGTTTGAGTGTCGTAGCCATTGTGACACGCATATAAGCGGCTGGGCTTCCTGGTGGGTGTGATCACTGAGTTTCAAGCATTTATTAGAAGCTGTGCATTGATCTAATCGCTTTACAGAACACTGGTGATGGTGATGATGATAGTTAATACCTAAGCTGTTGTGTTTATTGTGTCCTGAACACTTTCTGTTTCATTCTGTTGCTATCATCACCCTAAAACATTTGCATTATTAGCTCCATTTTACAGATGAGGAAAATGAGGCTTAGAGAGATGAAATAATTTGTTCAAGGCCTGGCAGCCAGATCAACGCCCCCCCTCCCCGAATCAGCTTTAAGATGCCTGCAATTTATGAGTAACAGAGATCCCAGTATTCTACCCCTTGAAATGTTTTTTGTCCTTGAAGAAAATGCTTAATTCCCCTCCTTCTTTGTGTTTATCAATGAGATACGAATGCTTGCCATATAAATGACCTCACAGGGAGGTGGTAGCTCTGAGGCAGATGCTGGTTATTAGAAGAATCTAATAACACTCTCTTTTTCCTTCTTCCCTCTAATGAGTCTGTCTCCTTCCCTCCTTCCACTCCACTTCTGTCCCTCTCCTCTCCCACTCTCCCCATCTCTCTCTCTCCTCCCCCTCCGGCCTCAATTACACAGTGTTAGGTCCTGGCATTCTTACACAAGGCTCTTAAAGTGCTAACTGAACTGTGGGGAGCTACATCCCACCGTCTATGACCTCAGCGGGCTTTCGAACATGTCAGTTACAGCCGTGTGCTGGTAGGTTGCACAGTTAGAAATTGCACATGTGTGACTGGGGATAGATTTTGGCTTCACTTCTTGGCTTGAACCCTTGTTTTGTCTCATAGGCATATCAGGGAAGATATTTTGGCTGTCATTTCCTGCAGTTAAAAAACCCCACAAAATGGAACAAATGGGCAGCCGGCTGTCCCTGATTTTAGAAACTGCCTTGCACACAGGTGACTGTTCTGTCATCTGACCATTAAATATGGTCATAAAATTTTACTGAACTTTAATAAGAGGGATATCATTTGTCCAGAGCCACATGGAGTCCATGAACAAGAACGAAGTTAGGAACTTTGCTACATCCCCTCGATCTGCATTCTGGTTATTAACCTTTCATCTAATAGTTCTTGTTTGCAACCCAGGCCCATATCTAAGTACCAGCTGTCCACACACATGGTATTTCATTCTCTTTCTTCTTTTTAGTTTTTAAAAGAAGAGGCCATTCTCATCCTTAACCATTAAGTATTACTGAAAACCTAGGATTACAGAATGTCAGTCCTGGAAGGGCTCTCGGGCGGAATCTCACCCAACTACCTAGCTGTGCAGAATCGAGGCCCAGTGGTGTCTTGGATAGGTGCACAGAGAATGTTACTGGGTAGAGTAAGACCAAAACCCAGGTTTCCTGGTTCTCAGGCCAAGGGGCCACCCCACCATTATACCACATGGCCTTGTCTCTGACAATAGAACACTGACTTCATATGCAGAAACTTCTAGAAACACTAGTATATCCTTTGACAAAATTATTTTACTCTCCAACCCTCAGTGTCACCTGTAAAATTAGAAGATTAGGTGACCTTTAAGATCTTTCCTTTTTTTTTATTTCTCTGAATATTCATGTAGTCAGAGTCAATAACATTTCCTGTTTTTATTACTACATATTTTTGTTAAGTGAGATATACATATTTATTTAAATGACCTCATGCTGTCAAAGTTCCTTAATATGCAATATGTATATTCATTGATTTAATAAACACAGACTGAGCTTTCAACTAATAGTCACTATGGAGATACAAATATAAGCAGGAGCTTCATCCTGTTTGTCTATACACAGATGAACACTGAATTATAACCCTTGATTTAAATTGAAATAAAAAATTCATTGCTTTCTTCACTCTTACTTTTTTTTTTTTTTTTTTTTTGAGTCCTCACCGGAGCATATGTTTAGAAAGAGAGAGAGAAACGTTGAGTTGATGTGAGGGGGAAATATTAATTGGTTGCCTGCACTAAGCACCCCAACCGGGAATCTAACCTGCAACCGTTTGGTGTATGGGATGATACTCCAACCAACTGAACCGCCCCACTAGGGCACTTCACTCTTACTTTGTAATCAGATGACTTTTCATAGAACAGTGTGAGCATAATGATAAGGTCACTGGTTTGACCTGTAAATTGTCAACTAGAGAGATCATTAGCCCTTATGTCATGATACAGTATACTCTTACAAGCATGAGATAAATTGTCCACTTCAATTTTTATAAACTTAAAAAACTTCTGAGAAGAAGCAACCGCTAAGAAGAAACTTCTGTTGAAAGCAGCTTAAGTTTAAAAGTCAGATAGTGTTAGTGAATGGAATTTAAGACACGGGCTGGGTATCAAACCTGTACTTTTTGGATATAGATGCAAGGCATGTACTAGTAAGTAATCCTGGTGTTGACAGCAAAGTCATTGAGTGATTGTTTCGAGATCAAAGATCAGGCAGCTTCCAGATGTTGACATAATTGAAATGCTATCTTTCCTTTTCTGTCCATTTCTGCTCAGTAACCCTAAGTGCCTTTTGGTCTGCAGATGTCTGCAAACCAGATGCTTCTTGTGATCAAGCCAGACCACCACCCGTGCAGTCTTACATGGACGTGGCTTTCCTTCTGGATGGCTCCCGGCATGTGGGAAGTGCTGAATTTGAAGACATGAGAGACTTCCTGGGAGCACTGTTAGATCACTTCGAAATCACCCCAGAGCCCGAGACCGCTCTCACTGGAGACCGGGTGGCCCTGTTAAGCCATTCCCCACCCAGCTTCGTACCCAACACTCAGAGGAGTCCCGTCAGGACAGAATTCAACCTCACCACCTACAGCAGTGGACGCCGCATGAAGAGGCACGTGGAAGAGCTGCTGCAGCCACTAGATGGAGACAGGTTCGTCGGCCACGCCTTGCGGTGGACTCTGGACAATGTCTTTCTAAGTGCCCCGAATCTGAGAAGAAACAGAGTCATATTTGTGATATCTACTGGGGAAACCAGTCAGTTGGACAGAGACACCTTAAAGAAAGAATCTCTGAAAGCCAAATGTCAAGGTTATGCCCTGTTCGTGTTTTCCTTCGGCCCTACCTGGAACGATAAGGAACTGGAAGACCTAGCCAGCCCCCCTCTGGATCACCACTTGGTCCAGCTCGGCCGAATTCATAAACCTGACCTCAGTTATGGTGTGAAGTTTGTGAAGTCTTTCATAACCTCCGTGAGACGTAAGTCATGAAATCAGTTGTTTCTTGCACATTTAGAGTGTGCTTAGTTGTCTCAAAGGAAGGGTTGATGAGCTGACCTGGATTCTTAGAAGCCTCTTGTGTGTCTTCAAGGGCACTCCAGGGTCAGAAAGGAAAATGTATAGTGATGAACGGTGGAGAGAAGAAGCCTCCGATTCCTAAGCATTTTATTTTCTGGCTCATCTTTTTTATGACTCTGGCTCCTCTGGGGAATCATAACAAGCAGCTGCTCACATCTGTCTGCATAGGGCAGTATAGTCTGGGGGTATGAAGTCTCAGCCTGGACTTTAGCTACAAAATAAAAGCCCTTGCCATGTAACATTAACAAGCTGCCCTTTGATGGAAGGCTTCACCAGTTAATACATCAAAAAATAAAAATAAAAAAGAGCCAAAGAAAAAGTCAATAATTCTTGGCTTTGCTTTTACGTGTTCAAAAGGCAGGGTTTGAAGTATGAGGAGATACCATTTTACATGTCAGAAAAAAAGATATGTACTTGCAAAACTTTCTCAGCCTTGTTAATGACTTTTTATGATGCCAATAATTAGTGCAACTGGTACCAATAAAAACAACAAAAAAATTTTACATCATGGCTATATTTCTTGGAATGAGCTTGCCTTGAAAGCCTACAATTCATTTTGCATGCAACAGGATGAATAAAAAGAAGCCATGTCCTGGTAATGTGTGATTCCAGAGGCTGAAAAGCTTTCGGCTGAATTGCTGAATGTTTTCATGATAAATGAACCCCTGGAGTTCAGATAAATAAAAGTGAATGCACAGGCAAAAGAGCAGCCTGTGTAGGAAGATTCTAATTGTGTCTCAAACTTGTCCCTGGCTGTTCATGGTAAGAGCAGTTAAGGCTGCAAAGACACCGACGAGTCTGAGGTCTGAGGAGCCTTAGGAAATTGTTGGTGGGACGCTGCTACTCCAAGTGTGAGTCTAGGACCAACAGTATTGGCATCACCTGGGAGCTTAGGAAAAATGCAGGATCTCGGCCCCATCTCAGCCTTCGGAACCCGAGTCTGCATTTTATCAAGAGCCCCACGTGATTCCCATGCACAGGTGGTTTGAGAGACACTGGTACAGGAGCAGGAAGCTCCCGGAATGAAATGTGGGTGGATGTGTTCTGGAACAGGGACCAGAAAGAGCAGCTAGAAAAAATGAGGGCTAAGGGTCATTCTGAAGGAAGTAACCTGAAGGCATTTGTAAGGGTAAAATAAGAGAACACCTTGAAAGACTCTGAGACACTTATAAAGAAATACTTCGTATGAGGCAGAAAGCTGAGAGGAAGTTTAAGATGGAATTTCCTTCCCCAGATCCCCACAACTTCTTCCTGGTGTTTCATGATAATTAGACACACTACAGGCACACCTCAGAGATACCGAGGGTTTGGTTCCACGCTACTGCAAGAAAGTTGTATTTATATTTATTGCAATAAAGCGAGTCATCATCTTTTTGCTGGTGGAGGGTCTTGCCTTCAGTTTGTAACATACACAACATCTGTGAAGCACAATAAGTGGGGTGTGCCTGTATATGATTAGATGAATGATACCCCCTCACCACCCAGAAAAAGGGGAAGAAATGTTTTCAGAATTACCTGGGGTAGGTGAGAGATATAGAAAGTGCTTTTTGGAAAATTAAAACCATGACAGAGTTATACACCACTTTTCTAGAAATTAAGCATCTAGAAATCTTCTTTTATTTTTTTTCAATTTTTATTAATTTATTTTTGTTACAGATGTTTCTCCCCCCCTCAGACACCCTCCTCCCCACCCCACCCCCACAGCATTGTTGTCTATGTCCATTGGTTACGCATACATGCATATAAGTTCTTCAACTTTTAATATGTAGCTGTATGAGTACAAGAACCAGAGTCTGCATTTTATCAAGACCTTGAACAAGGCTTTGACGTCATCGTAATGGAGCCAGCATACTGAATTCCACAGCAGGCCCACAGACCCACACTCACCCACTCAACATTAACACACATCTATTAGGTGGAAGCCACTCACTGTCTAGGTGCAGGGTGCCCAGCAGTGACCAAGCCGGACATGGTCACTGCCCTCCTGAACTCTAGCCCTCCCTCTCTAGGTTGTGTTTGTTATTTAAACACAGTCCATGGCAAAATCAACACCTTTTCTAAGAGAAACAAAATGACTAACAACCCGATGCTTAGAGTTAAGACAGATAAAAATTAGAATTCAGATGCACAGTAAGAGAAACATCACAGTCTGGGGCCATTCAGTCTGGAAGCCCACAGGCCAATCCACAACAGTGCTGTCTCCCAGCCCAAGGCAAACTTGTCCTTACGATGACCCTGGATCACCAGGAAGAGATTTAATTGTTTTTAATAAGTCTGTTAAATTTAATGTTTCAAAGAAATAAATAATACATTTTTTTAAAGTTTCCCATAAAAATGGCTTTTAAATGGTGTGGTAAGAGGCATGCTTTTATTATCATGAAAAATTAATATACTTCCAAATGAAATGAGCCATGAATGAATTCAACCCAAGATGGCGCTATTGTTTCTGCTATTGTTAATGATACAGAGACCATAAAGGGAATGTTGTTTTCCCTTTGCATTTTGATATTTCAAAGGAGCAAATAGAAATAACTATTCTGATTAATTCATGTCCATTAGAGGCCAGACTCTTAGGACTAGCTCAGAATAACTCCTCTAATGTTTGACCAACTTTAGAAGCTTTCACTTTTATTGGAAAGTAAGTCGCTTTCTCCACCTATAAATTCGGCAGAGCTGTATTTTTAAAACCCAGTTTTAGAGACTCCTCTGAGAAATTGACTCTCATCTCATATGGCCATCCTAGTTGGTATCTTCCTTTGGGGGATGTTGAAAACAGTGATATAACACTTTGCATACAAAATATTTTGCTTTAGTGGTAAAGGCCATGAGTAAGAGGCTCATCACAGTTTTTCTCTTCCTAGGTGCAATCAACAAATATCCACCAATAAACTTCAAAACCAGGTGCAATAGACTCAGCTCTACAAATCCGAAGCAGCCCCCACAGCAGTTGCGAAGGTATCTGCTTGGTATTACTTGATAAATGAATGTATCCTCCTCTCTCTCCTCCTCCCTTATCATTTCCTCCCCCTCCTTTTCTTCCTCCTCCTCCATCCTATTTGTTCAAAAGCTATTGCTAAACAATATGAAAATACAGTTTGAGGGGACAAGAGATAATCAAAGGTGACCAGGTTGATTTGAAAAACAACAAATATAGTTTTTTAAATTAGAAAATCAATTTTTTTTTTTATCCTCACCCTAGGACATTTTTCCATTTTTTGTTCAGATAGAGTGGGAGGGAGGGAGGGAGAGAGAGAGAGACATTGACATGAAAAGGACACATCGAGTGGCTGCCACCCGCACAACCAACCAGGGCCGGGGACAAACTGCAACTGAGGTACGCGCCCTTAGTGGAAACCGAACCCAGGTCTCTCTTGACCGCAGGCCGACGCTCTAACCGCTGAGCCAAACCGGCCAGGGCAGAACATCTAATTTTTGATCAAAACAACTAATGGGACTCCCCAGCGGCAAGGAGCATAACTAAGACCTGATCTTGGTTTCTAAATCTCATTCCCCACTAAAAGGAACCAAGGTTTCTTAGAGAAACAGCTAATTCCAGCAGGGAAAGGACAGTGTGAGCCTGGAATATTTGTGAAGCAAGACAACAGTAAAAAATTAACAACAGCATATCAATAGGACAGAGGAGCTATCTTAAAGGATTCTCACTGGCCCAACTGGAGACAAAAAGAATAGTGATGGTGACAGATTAAAACACATTGATTTTTAAAATCCACAGGTCGGTAGAGAGACTCAAAAAGAGAGGAAAATCTCTTTTTATAGAAGTAGGCTAGCTAATAAAAGTAGAAGAAATGATAGCATGAGAAAACCGCCAATCTGTAATCCCAAACATCTGGCAGTAAGATTGGGCAGCACCCACTTTGACCAAGGTCTGATAGCATGTGCCTCCTGAGATAATCCAGGAGATACAACACCTGTGGGAGATTCTTGCTGGAAATGTTTGACCCAAGTCTAAGAATGAGGAACCTATTGGGCCATTCCAGAATGTGGAATATTCTTCAGAACAGTTGGTCTATATTCATCATAGGTTTTGATATCACTGACTGCAGAGAAATGTGGGGTAGTGTTCCAGAATGGGAGAGACCAAAGACACATAATGCCAAATGTAATGGTATAAACCTTGATTTGATCCTACTTCAGAAAGAAAAGCGTATATAAATGACATCTGGGGGACAGCTGGGAAAGTTTGTGTATAAACAATATGCTAGATGATATTATTGATTCATGTGGATTTTCTTACACGTGGTAATGGCTTCAGGTTAGTATAAGAATTTCTCTGTTCTTGACGCAGTTGTGCTAAAGTATTTAGGAGGAACATGCATGATGACTGCAGCCCACTGACAGGTGGTTTTCCTAAGGGGAAGTAGGGTGTGTGTGTGTATGTGTGTGTGTGCACACACACATATATGTGTACATAGAGATATATGTTTGTGTACGTACACACAGAGTAGCAAGATGGTAACAGCTGGAGAATCATCCAGGTGAAAGGTATACAAGTATTTATTCATGGTGCTGTTCTTTACAATATTCCATGAACTTGACAATTTTTAAAATAAAAAAAACTTGTAAAACTCAATAGATGGATTAAAGAGAATAATAGACACATCTGAAGAAAAGCAATAGACTGGAAAAGAAAGATGAAGAAATGACTCGGAATGCAGAGAAGATAAATATAAAAAGTTTACAGACAGTATAGAATGAAAAGATGTAACCTGTCTCATTGGACTTCTAGAAAGATAAAATAGAAATATTAAATGAGAGACTATTGAGAGACATAAAGAGACGGTCACTTTCAAGAACTTATGAATTAAAAGATGAAGAAAAGGCAAGGTGTAACAGGCAGGATAAATAAAAAGGAAACAACATTGGACATGGTGGAGGGGAATGCAGAATACAATGCAAAGATTAAGAGCAGCTGGAAAGATTGTGTACACAGAAACTGGAATTAGGCTGGCAGCTGGATTTTAGTAACAGTGGAAGTCACAGTACTATTGAGAACCTTTAAAGTAGTGGAAGGATACTTGTGTCAACTTAAACTGTCTTTCAAAAACAATGGTAACTCAAAGACAACTTGAGTAAACAAAAAGCAATAGTTCACCACAAAAAGACCTCTGCTAAAGGAACTTCTAAAGTATGTACTTCAAGGGGAGAACATGACCACAGAAGTAGAGGCTGAGATGCAAGAAGACTGAATGATAAAAATGTGCCAGTATTTAGATAAAGCAAAATAAATGTTATATTTTTAAATAATAGCGATATCTAATTTGTGGGGTTACAAAATGGCTGTACTTGTTCATAAAGCTATGGAGATAAAACATTTGGTACATGGTGATTTTAAGACAAAAATAAAATTCTAAGACTGTGTTAGTAAGTATTTATGTCTGTATTAAGTACCTAACCATGAGAAAAGTATTAAACAATAAAACCATCTTTTGTTACTAAAAACAAACAACATAATAAATAGTTTTAATAAAAGGCAGGAAAGGGGGAAAGGACAAGTAGAAGGCAGAAGATAGCAGGATCAAATCTATTGACATATACCAGCAAGAAAAATAAAAATACATAGACTAAACATGCCAGTTATAATCAGAAACTGATGGATTTAAGAAACAAAATCCAGCTATAACTGTTTTCAAGAGACACAGCTACAAAATAAGAAATGTAAAAGTTCAAAGTAATATTATGGGGAAAAACATACCAGGCAAATGTTTCAAAAAGAAAGCTGGAATAGCTATATAAATATTGGATAAAATATACTTTTTTTTAATCTTCACCCAAGGATACTTTTGCATTCATCTTCAGATAGAGTGAGAGGGAGAAACTGAGGAAGAGAGAGAGAGAAATACTGATGTGAGAGAGACACATCGAGTGGCTGCCACCCACACAACCCCAACCGGGGCGGGAACAAACTGCAACCGAGGTACGTGCCCTTAGTGGGAACCAAACCCAGGACTCTCTGGTCCACGGGCTGATGCTCTAACCACTGAGCCAAACCGGCCAGGGCTGGATAAAATATACTTTTACATAAAACTATTTTGTGGGAATAAAGAGGGTTACTACATGATGACAAAATGTTTGATCATGAAGAAAATATAACAATTCTAAATTTATAAAAGGGTAATAAAATCTTAAAATATACAAAGTGGGAATTAAAAAGCTACGTGGAGAAACTGCCACAGAACGGTTGTCAGAGTGGGAGGTCTCAGTATACCAGTCTGAATATTGACAGGCGAAGCAGACAAAAATCAGTAAAGAGGTAAAAGATTTAATCATAAGGAACAAACTGGATGTAATAGACTCATTTAGAACCCTACATGGAAAAATGAGACATTCTTCTGCAGAACACATGGAACATTAACAGCTGCTCAATCAAGGTAAAGAGTTTACAGGTGTTCATTGTGCAATTTTTAACTTACCAAGCAAGTATCAACACACCTGTAAGAATCAGTGCCATCAATCCAAACAATCTGATCACAATGCAATGAAGTTATAAATTAATAAAAACAATACTTTTAAAGCCCATACATTTTTCAATTAAAATCACAATATAAATAATGGGACCAAAAATCATAATGAAAATGTAAACATACTTAGAACTATATAATAATCAAAACATTATATGTCAAAACTTGTGGGGTACGTCAGAATTTATAATTTAAGAAAGTTTTGGTCTTAATCATTATGTTAAGCAAATTTTTAAACTCTAAAAGTTAATGCACTAAACATTACTCTTAAGATGTTCTAGAATAAAAAAATAGAATATGGTATACCCAAAAACAGGAATCAAGTATAACTTAATATTTTTAATTAAGGTATTTTTAAAGTTATCAACAAAAGCAAAAGTTAGTTCTTTTGAAACTTAATAATAAACATTTATATATTTTTTCTGTATGAATACTACTTACATTTTTTAAAATTAGAAATAATTTAAATCAAGTAGTTAGAACAGGATTTGTTTCCGTGGCCAGTCATGCTATACTAACACACACACACCTGCCCACATCCGACTAAAATCAAATGTGCACCAGCCGCTGGGAATCACACTTAAGCAAATGCCTTCGACAGTGTGCCAACTTTTGTTGTGCAGTGTGTGCATTTCTGTGTGGTGGGCAGGGCCAGAGAGGCCCTCCCAACCCAGAAGCTCCAGCTCCAGAAAGAATCCTTGAAGCCTCTTTCTCCTCACCCTGCTGGGAGGCAGGGGAACTGTCCAGCAGCAAATGCTTCCTGAAATCAGGCCTAGAACGGCCTGTGCGGTCTGTCCACCGAGAGCAGGGCTCCCCTTGCTGCCGGTGTCTGAAAGTCTGGAAAAGGACTTTGCGTTTGCATTGGGCTCCACACAGGATGCAGCAGGTCATAACTGCAAGGGCAGACGCAGTGGTCAGCTTATACAAATTAAAACGCATTTTGGGAAACCACTCCCAGCTCGCATTATTTAAAGAGCAATATGAGTAGAGGAAGGAATTCACAGTGCTTTTGGACTTTGGACAGAAAATTTATTTCGCCCTCTCCACTTTGCCTGTGTGTCCAAAATAGTGAAATGTTAGGAATGGACTGCAGCGTCAGAAATTGAGATGTGAAACCCTTACCTCTGTCAGTGAACTCCCTGATGGGGTGTTGGCTGGGACACCCCAGGCCTTCTCTAAGGGACTGAAGACTGCCACGTCTTCAGAAGGACCTGCATCAGAAGTATATCATTCTGCTGTAAGATTTTACGAAATACAGGTAGAAGCTGGTTCCTATCAAGTGGAAAAAAAAAGAAACTGGACCAAAACACAATCAACCAAGGACACATATGGTCAGTGAGGGTGAGATTACGGGGCGGCCTCTTTGTAAGCACTGAGATCTGCTCTGAGGCAATAAAAGAAAGACAGCCACCTGCTTATTGCTTCAGTCAGTCAGGGAAGCACTTGTGCCAGACTCTAAAACGTTGACAGACCAGAGCCAGAACAATTGAATTGTAAAAATGGACACAGTCGCCAATGCCATATGAATAATACATCTGTTGTAATTCTGCTTTCCAAAGTGGGTTTTTTGGACGCACAAAATGTATGTTAAAATAAAAAGAATTCTCGAAATAGAAGCAATCTTGTCTGCATTTTCTACTCCAGTGAGTCCCGTCGACTAGTAAATGCAGTATGGCTGAGTCCTGACTGTCTGCGTAGATGGAGGCATCACAGAGAATTGAAATCTGCAGTTACTCCCATCCACTTCACTTTATCTAGTCACCACATCTTTCCACAAGCTTTGTTAGAGATGGGCACAAGTTGCAAAATGAATGGACTGTTTCATCCCTGTTCCCTTATCTTGACCACCTATTGTTGGAGTTACTAACCAGTAGAGAAGTATGGGAACAATATAGAGCAAGAGAAAGAAATATATAAGTCCATATGATTCCCAAATAAGGTAATCAAACGATTCTGATCAAGTGTTTATCCAATACAAGCTCCTATATACAAAAGAGTGAAAAAAATGGGAATTCAGAGATATGGTATTTATCATGTTCAACCCTTTTGAGAATATAAATATTTGAGAAGGAAAAAGATAGCAATGCTATGCTAAAGAAGCAGTTATCAATTTAACAGCATTTTCTTAACAAAGAGGGAGGAATATAACAAAGATAACTAAACGCACCATAAAAAGTATCCAATGGAAAGGGGAGAACTGGGAGAGGAGAGAGACCAGCATAGATGAGATCAACTCAAGCCATGAAAACAGTGGTTCCAGATTCAAAAGAATGTAATCTCCATGATCAGTGGAGCCATGTTTGGTGCATATAGACAATTAGGACTTTGGGGAATTTGGGTTCATAATATTTAGTCTGGAGTTTAATAAGAAATACAGAGAGGAGCAAAAATGTGGGAAGGTGTGAGGAAATTGTATTTGCACTGAAATTGAGCCATGACTCTGTTCTTGGTAACTGGGAGAAGTTGGTTGATCAACAGAGCACGTTCCTGAAGGCATTGACAGAAGGGCACTGAGGCATACTTTGGGATTTGAGTTTCAGAAGCCCAGACATACAGCGTATAATGCATGCAGGTTTCAGGTCTGTGTAACAGGAATGGCATGGTATTCTTTGTTGATGTCTCCTTCACCTGTAGCTATCATTATAGATGAAAGAAGGTATGTGGTGTGTGTGTAAGAGAAGTGAACTTAATTTTAAATTCTGTAACTTTCAGTTTTCTAAGTAATGATGTTCTTGTGAGAGAGATCAGACTTTGAGCTGGTGAAAGCAGAAAAGTCCAAATGAAGAAATAGGTCATAGTAAATATTGACACCATTTTTCTGGTCTCCACATTTGGAGTTCTCTTGAACCTTCTCGACCACAGTTCAGCTAATTTCTAAGGTTTATAGGTATTGATAAACCTTCTCTTCTTATACTACCAGGCTGCCACACATTCGCTTGAAAATGTTTATGAAAAGCTTACATGCCAGGTTCCTTGCACCTTAGGTGTCCAGCCTACCCCAAGCCATCTGCCTCCGTGTGGTCCTGCACCCATATCCAGGGGCTCTGAAAGCATGATGTTTATCATTTCACTTTCTTATTCCAATCATCTTGATGGTTCTTTACAGTATCCTGAATAAAAACCTAGTTCAATGGAAGTACATTGGACTCAGTATCAGAAGAGTTGGGTTACTCTCAACTCTGTCGCTGACCTTCAGCCCCTCCATGCACCTGTTTCTTTGTCTGTAACCAACAGAGCACCATGGTAACTAGTCTAGGGGACTTCAGCTGTTGCTCACAACACAGGTTGTTTTTATCCCCATTTAATACCCAAAGAAACAGGATTACTATACTTAAATGATTTGCTCAAAGATACTCAACTAGTAAGTAGAGAAAATGGAATAAAAAAATGTCTTTGGAACCCAGATTCTTTCCACCACCTCTCTGTAAAATAGTGTCATCAGAAATGGCTCCCTTCCTGTGCTGTCCAAGAGGAGCCACTAGCTTTCCATTAAGTGAAATAAACAATTTAGTTTGTTGGTCACATCAACCACATTTTAAGGGCTCACTAGCCACATGTGGTTAGTGTCTGCCATACTGGCTAGCGAAGATTAGAGGACACTTCCTGCAGCAGAGTTTTAATGACAGGCTAGAACTTCTAGTCAGCTCTGGGCTTCTAATTCCTTGATTTCTCAGGCTGGCATTGGCGGCATTTCAGAGCCCGACTGCAGCTCTCTTTTCACTGCTGGGTTACTCACGACTGCCAGTCAAACCCTTCATGCACCTACCCGCCAGGGCACTGTTTCTAAGCGCCCCGCGGCACCTGCCACAGGGCCTTCTGTAGAGCAGAGAGTGAACATCTGCGTGGAAGATGGCTGGGGGGGGGCGGGGGGAAGGGATGGCATTCACTCATGCTTCCATTAGACAAATACTGAGAGTCTTCTCTGTGCTCAGCACTTTTCTCAGTTCCTGGGCTCACTATGGTGACCAGGCATGGTCTTGGGAAACTTAACTGCTGTCTGGGAGGGTGGAATAGTAGGGGACAGATCACCAAGAGGTTTACAGATAAATAAAAATTCAGACAGTGGTAAGTGTTATGAGAAAAATAAGAGCACGTTGTGCTGCGTGCCTAGAAACGGAAGTGGGACTGGGAAGCTACAGATACGGCGGCCTCTCACGAGGTACTATTGGAACCCAAATCTGAACAAACAGGAGCCAATAGGAAGTATTAAGTGGAACAGTGTCCATGAAGGAACTTGGCCATTGAAATGATACTCTTGCACTTTGACAAGATTTCTTGTCAGCTTCTGATTATCTGCCCAGTTTAACAAAGCCCAGTTTAGTAAATCATAATAAAATTACCCTGAAGGAAGGATGCAACAAGAAAAGGGTACAACAGCCCCGGCCTGTTTGGCTCAGCAGTTAGAGTGTCGGCCTGTGGTCCAGAGAGACCCGGGTTCGGTTCCTGCTAAGAGCGTGTACCTCGGTTGCAATTTGTCCCCGGCCCTGGTTGGTCATGCAGGTGGCAGCCACTCGATGTGTCCCTTTCACATCAATATCTCTCTCTCTCTCTCTCTCTCTCTCTCTCTCTCTCTCCCTCCCACTCTACCTGAACAACAAAAAAAAAACAAAAAAAGGAAAAAAGTCCTCGGGTGAGGATAAAAAAGAAAAAAAAAGAAATGGGTACAACAATTAATTTAGGAAGAAAGGTTAATATAGACTGTATTAACGTTGAAGTGGCATTTATCTTCTATGATGTTTTTCTTCTTTTGTTGTACAGCCTTGTTCTTGGACTACAGAAAGCTGCCCTTAAAGAAGATGCATTACCAAAGGCAAAATTCTTTCAAGATAAGAAATATATTTCAAGAGTAGCAAGAAACAGCAGATATAATACTGTTCAAAATTTTACCAGAAACACATTCCATACTTTTAAAAATGTAAAAAAGATAATAAAAGCTGTTCCCAAAAGACATGATAAAGGAAGTGCTTGAAGAATTTAACCTTAGGAAGCATGGTAAGTCTCTGGACTTAGGTAACTAAATCTACTGCCAAAACTCGGGGTAACTTTTATGTAGATATTTGCCTGTATCCGGAGGTACACTCTGGAGGGCTGGACACACCACAGTGTGTAGATTGAGGCAACTTGACCCCTTGCACTCATTGGTATTGATATATCTTGTCCATTTATGTGACCGTTCCTGATCATTCCAGCATGCTAAGACTGATATGTTCAAGAAATACTGTTATTAAAAGATGAAAGAATGAAGAAGTATTTGTAAAAGTCTAACGGAGATTATAATTTGAAGGTAAATGTTATACAGGGTATACATGTATGTACATGAGCCAATGCTAATTCTGTTATCATCGGTCTCTGTCCAACCCATTTTCTGCAAACCAAGCCATCTTGCTCGATTTAATACTGTTTAATGCTCATCTAACCAAAGGTTGTTCTGGAAGACCCCAAGATTTACCTTAAAAATTGGTGCTGTTGATAGGTCATAACTTTGGAAATTTGGCCTTCCACAATGAGTCCATTTGAACACATCGCTGTCTGTGTGGACTGAGTGGTCCTCCCACAGGGCTGTGCTGGAAGGGTCCTCCCATCTTCTGCAGGGGTGAGCTTGGACAGGTGACAAGCAGAGGGTAATTTTTCTCCTCACTTCCAAATCCTCATCAATGCCCCCAGAATATAAATTATGCTTTTGAGCTGGAAGTTCCCCCTTCATTATGTAGAGCCTCCTACCTGGCCATTTTTATGGGCTTTTATTCTCTTTCTCTTTCTTTCCCATTATTGTCTTTTTTTTTTTTTTTTTAATCACCCATATATTTCTTAGACAAGGAGAGTAAAGACACAACTTGTCATTACTCTCTGAGTTCCTTTTGCCCATCAGGTAGCTACTTAATCAATAGTGAACAGCACCAAACAGATTTGGAAAAACTCTAAAAAGCCTTAAATGCACACTGAGTTTGGATAAAAACAAAATAAGCAAGTTGTTAATGTTTTAATCTTCAAATATATATGGAGTTGCCAAGATGCAAAAGAGGTTGGAGTGAGTTAAAGCAGGAAAAGTCTTCAAAGCGCCTGGCCTCAACTAGCATTCTCCAATGGCTCTCTCCTTACCCCTAGCAAGTTCATATAATTAATTATTAAGCTTATAGAGGGGCTGATATCTGCAACTGAACATCAAAGTAGCATTATTTAACTTAGACACAATGTCCAGCCCTTACCTCAGATTGTAAGGACTGGCTCCACGGTTGGTAGCAGGGGCCCTGTGGGCAGAGTGTCCCTCGCTTCAGGAAGGCAGAGAGACTCTGCTGGGGCAGGTGGTTACGGACACCTAACACCCGTAGGTATGGTCCGATTTTCCTTCCTATACCTCTGTTCATAAAACCTGAAAAAGAAGGGCTATCTATCTGCATGTGTTTTGAAACCACTTCTGCCATCCTAACTCAGGCAACTCCAGAGAGCTAGCTCCCTGTGTCTTCAGGGGCAAGGAGTTTAAATGTCACATTCATACTCAGGTAATAGGGAAAAATAGAGCATGACAGGTTTCTTCATCCTCAGTGGTCTTAGAGGTTCAGAAAAAAAATGTTCCAATGACAGGAAGTTGATGAGCATTATTTAAGAGGTATTTTAATAAAAGGACTTTTCTGGTTAACTTCGGATTAAGCAAAAACGCCTTTCTTTTGCTTATTGCTGGAAATACTTTCAAAATGTATCTTTTTTTTTTCTGCATAATAAGTAAAGTACATCAAACAATTATTCCCTTGGTCGTTGAGATTATTTTAGCATTTTGGGTCATCTTTTTAATCATTAATAGGTAAACGATCTGAAACATGCTACAAATATTAAATTCTTTTTAAAAATAAATCTCTAGTGATGGTGTTTTCGTTGATTGTCTTTCTCCTAAAGAAGGAACTCTGCAAAAGTTAAATATCAGTTTAATAAAATTTATGTGATTCTAATTACCAAGAATCCCACAAATAAGCAGTGATGTTTCTTGGTTTAAAAATGTAAATTGACTGGCCTGGCTGGTGTGGCTCAGTGGTTGAGCGTCGACCCATGCACCAAGAAGTCACCAGTTCGATTCCCAGTCAGGGCACATGCCCAGGTTGTGGGCCCAATCCCGAGTGGGGGGCATGCAGGAGGTGGCCAATCGATGTTCTCGCTCATCGATGTTTCTTATCTCTTTCCCTCTCCCTTCCTCTCTCCCTAAAATCAATAAACAAACAAACAAAAAAAATTTAAAAAGTGTAAATTGACTGTAAAGAATATGCTTCCTATTATCTCTGCTCTGAGTTATGAGTCAAACATATTAAAGAAAAAAATATAGAGGTTGAAAAGGAATGCAATACAACATAGCATCAGATTTTAACAGTAACAACTCAACCAAATGACCTCTTTTAAAAAGAGGGGAGGGCCCTGGCAGGTTTGGCTCAGTGGTTAGAGCGTCGGCCTGCGGTCCAGAGAGACCCGGGTTCGGTTCCCGCTAAGGGCACGTACCTCGGTTGCAGTTTGTCCCCGGCCCTGGTCGGTCATGCAGGTGGCAGCCACTCAATGTGTCCCTTCACGTCGATGTTTCTCTCTCTCTCTCTCTGTTCCTCTCTCTACCTCCCACTGTACCTGAACAAAAAATGGAAAAATGTCCTCGGGTGAGGATAAAAAACAAAAACAAAACAAAAGAAAATAAATAAAAAGGGTGAGGGTATAAGGGGGAGAAGCATGGATAGTAGGACGATAAGGTAAGAAAATAATATTTCCATCAGCCCACTCCATTTATTTCCTCAGCATTTCCACATTTCTCAGTCCTGAGTTATCTAACAGCTCCAGTCTTGAAGCCCATTCTCAGCATAACAGTTCATATCCCAAAAAATTTCCCCCAAATTCTGCAGGCTCTAAATCTCACTTAGTAGCTGGAAACTATGGTCTTAGCAGACTTTATGAGAAACAAAGGCAATGCAACATAATGTAAAAGCTTTACAGTTTGATGTAATCCCATTTCTTTATTCTTGCTTTTGTTGCCCTTGCCCAGGGAGACATATCCCCCTCCCCCCAAAAAATGTTGCAGGACCGATGTCAAAGAGTTTACTGCCTTTTCTTTTTTTTTTCTAATTGTATGGTTTCAGGTCTTACATTTAAGTCTTCAATCCCTTTTGAGTTCATTTTCATATATGGTATAAGAAAGTGGTCCAGATTCTTTATTTTTGCATATATGTATAGTTTTCCAATACCATTTATTGAAAAGACTATCATTTTCTTATTGTATATTCTTGCCTCCCTTGTCATAAATTAACTGACCATATATTCAAGAGCTTATTTCTGGGTTCTTTATTCTGTTCCATTGATCTATGTGTCTCTTTTTGTGCCAGTACCATGCTGTTTTGATTACTATAACTTTTAGTATAGTTTGAAATCAGGGGCACAACACCTCCAACATCATTTTTCTTTGGCAATTTAGAGTCATTTGTGGTTTCATATAAATTTTAGGATTATTTATTATACTTCTGTGAAAAATGTCATTGGTACTTTGATGGGATTGCATTGAATCTGTAGATTGCTTTGGGTAGTATGAATATTTTTATAATATTGTTCAATCCATAAACATTGGTATATCCTTCCATTTATTTGCATTGTCTTTCACTTCTTTCATCGGGGTACAGGTCTTTTAGCTCCTTGGTTAAATGTATTCCTAAGCATTTTATTCTTTTTTTTTTTTTTTAATCCTCACCCGAGGACATTTTTCCATTTTTTTGTTCAAATAGAGTGGGAGGGAGAGAGAGGAAGAGAGAGAGAGAGAGAGAGAGAAACATCAACATGAAAGGGACACATCGAGTGGCCGCCACCCACACAGCCCAACCAGGGCTGGGGACAAACTGCAACCGAGGTACGTGACCCTAGCAGGAACCAAACCCGGGTCTCTCTGGACCACAGGCCGATGCTCCAACCGCTGAGCCAAACCGGCCAGGGCAACATTTTATTCTTTTTGACACAATTATAAATGGGGTTGTTTTCTTAATCTCTCTTTTTGATAGCTTGGTACTAGTGTACAGAAATACAACAAATTTCTGAATATTAATTTTGTATCCTGCAACTTTATGTACAGGTATTTTCCCTCTATAACCATTTTGTTAAGAATTTTTATTGTAAGTGGATGTTGAATTTTGTCAAATGCTTTTTCTTTATCTATTGAGATTCCCATATGATTTTTATCCATTTTTATTCTTTTGTTAATGTAGTGTATCATGTTTACTGATTTAAAATGTAGATCCATCCTTGCATCTCTGGAAAAAAATCCCACTTGATCATGGTGTATGATCCTTTTAATGTACTGAATTCAGTTTGCTAATATTTTGTTGAGAATTTTCCCATCTATGTCCATCAGGGATATTGGTTTATAATTTACTTTTTAGTTTGTTGTTGTATCTTTGTCTAGTTTTGGTATCAGGGTAATGCTCATTTCATAGAAAGAATTTGGAAGTGTTCCTCCCTCTTGAGTTTTTTGGAATAGTTTGAAAAGCATTGGTATTAGCAATTTTTACCTTATTAAGTGTTTGGTAGAATTTACCTGTGAAGCCACCTGGTCCTGAACTTTTATTTGTTAGGTGTTTTTTGATTACTGATTCAATTTTGTTACTAATACTCGGTCTGTTCAGATTTTCTATTTTTTCCCTTGTTCAGTCTCAGAAGGTTGTATTTTTCTAGGAATTTATCAATTTATACTAGGGTGTCCAATTTGTTGGCATGGTATTCTTTTATGATCTTTTATATTTATGTGATGTCAGTTGTAACTTCTCTTTCATTTCTGATTTTATTTGGGTCCTGTTTTTTTCTTAACAAGTCTGGCTCAAGGTTTATTAATTTTGTTTATCTTTTCATAGAATCAGCTCTTAGTTTCATTGATCTTGTTTTTTTAGTCTCTATTTTATTTATCTCCACTTTTTTATCATCTTGTTCCTTCTACTCATTTTGGGCTTTGTTCTTTTTCTAGTC